TCCTAGGATAACTTATCACCTATTTTGAGGTACTACACATGTACTCACATCGATAATATCTAGATAAAAGTTGCGGATCTTCCTATTTTTGTCGCAAATTTTGGTCTTTTATATGTCACAAGAACTCAGGGTAAAGAAAACTAACGTTAGTTATAGCTAACACCAGAAAAAGTGGCGTTGTGTACAGTCTCTGCCGAGCGTCCGCCGACCATCAACGGCTTTGCCAGCTCTCGTAGGCACTCCCTACAACCTTATTTTGCGTATCTACCTGGGGCCAATGCGCTATCTGAAAGTTTGCTGAAAATCATAGGGCGCAGCTCGGAGAATTTGCACGGGCGCAGCTCGCGTCTTGAGCGCAGCTTGAAAACAAGCCGAAACTTATCTCCGGCGAGCTGCGAAACGTTGTTTTCCGAGCTGCGCCCTACCATTTTCAGCTAACTTTCAGCAAACTTTCAGATAGCGCATTGGCCCCTGCTTTACGCGCGGTATCGATCGATTTTGTGTCGACCCAAACTGTCATCGACCCAAAAAGTCGGAACGCCTCCTTGGTAAATCTTCATAACCACTACATAGTATGCAATTTTTATAACCTTTGCATGAAAACAAAACATACCAAAACATTGAAATTCCCACCTTCAAAAACACAAATAACACAAATAACCTAAAAAAAAGAAAATTCACCCCGCAAAGGTTACATGACAATATCACATGGTCATGTAAAATTCTTGGACATGACAATGGGAAGGAAAGAGGTATGAAACAATTCAACATTCACTGGGAAACCCGGGTCCAAATGAGCCCATACGGCCCATCAAGTAAGGGCTGATTACATTGAGGGTGGGAGTGGGAAAATGAATGTTGTTATAAGCAAAGAAGAGGAGGATTCTCTTGCACGCTATCAGAAATCCTAATTGATTTAGCCGGCAAACAAAAGAAGGCGTTCAAGTGCGACTCAGATTTTCTTCTAATTTCGCACGAACGTCAGGCAGAGGCCACAGATTAATCCCTGAAAATTTTAGCTCACAGTTGGCAAGAGTATGCGAAAGGTGGAGAGCGGTCAGAGATTTTGGTTTTGGTTTTTTGACTATTTAAAAGGGCGCTATTGAGCTTTCGTGGCTTTATTAGAAAACAATGACATGATCTTATTAGTGTCAGAGGCCCCCGGCGTTTTTGAGTCAAGTTGAAAGCAACACATTCATTCCAGTATTTTTCATGCAAATGGTTTCACGAGACCACGAGATTTTTACTTTTCTGAACGCTAAGAAGCCAGGCTCCCGGATCGCGGCCGGAGCCCCTCAGATCCGGAGCCAAGAGCCGGCTCCGGAGCCAAGAGCCGGCTCCGGAGCCGCGTCACCCGCGGATTATATCCAATATTGCGAAATGGTTTGACTAGTCAACGGAGTTAGGGTAATCCGTGTTCACAACGGACGGTACATCACCGATGACCAAGCCCGCGACGTAGGTCGCGACCAAGGCCGAGGTGGTTGCCTAAAGCTATCCGAAAATGGTCTCAATGCACTTTCCTAGTCAGGAACGTTCCAATTTTTCACTTCATCCTTTCACCTTTCACCCCACATTCTTCACTCGGCCCTCTATCCATAACAAGTGAGTACCGTGAAAGCGAAACGATTGCAAAACCGCCGGCCGTTCTCCCCAAAAAAAACAGCGGTTTAAATATGCGCAGAAAAACACATCGAAGGGCCGCGATGAGAGCTTTTTCGGGGGAGAAACGTCATGCGAACATGAGTATTATAATTACTTCGAGAGCTGCAAAAGTCCAAACCAAGGGTGGGGAAAGAGTTTTCAGGGCTTGAGTATTCAAAAACTCGGTAATTTAGAATAGTGTAAAATACGAAAAAACTGCGGAAACCGATGAAAAACCCTCTGGATTCGCAATTTTTTCAGCTCAAAACAGCTCATAACATTAGCTTTATCGACCAATAAAGCGAAGGGAAATTGGCCGGAACCCTCGGCCGGCCTCGCGTTTTAATTGAAAATGAGGGGAAATGTAGCAAAATGCACTTGAAGTGTACTGGAAATGGAGTGAGGTTGAAGAAGACATCAAGTATAATGTAATTGTGCATACAAAAATATTGTTTTTGCCGAAAATACAATTTTGAAACGAAATGGCGATTTTATAGCTCAAAGTTTTCGAAACAGAACTTTGGTGGGACAAGTGTTCAAGATGACATTTGAAATGGTCTGTCGGGAAAATAATAACGACTCATCGCCAAAATATCTTTCCTTGTCGCAGGATCAAATTCCCAGCCGTCTCACAGCGATCACATTATTTTCCCGACAGACGAATACTTCACCCTCCGCGACAAATCCACATTATTTTCCCGACAGACGAATAATTCTCTCGCGGTGACAAATCCACATTATTTTCCCGACAGAAGAATACTTCTCCATCCGCGACAAATCCACATTATTTTCCCGACAGACGAATACTTCTCCCTCAGCGACCAATCCACATTATTTTCCCGACCGACTAATACTTCTCCATCCACGACAAAACCACATTATTTTCCCGACAGAAGAATACCTCTATATACCCCCACGACAAATCCACATTATTTTCCCTACAGAAGAATACTTCTCCATCCGCGACAAATCCACATTATTTTCCCGACAGACGAATACTTCTCCCTCAGCGACCAATCCACATTATTTTCCCGACCGACTAATACTTCTCCATCCACGACAAAACCACATTATTTTCCCGACAGAAGAATACCTCTATATACCCCCACGACAAATCCACATTATTTTCCCGACAGACGAATACTTCTAACTCGGCGACAAATCCAAATTATTTTCCCGACAGACTTCACTATACCAGTATTTTGTAAAGCGCGATAATATACCAACTTCCGATTTTTTCTGGGACCGTCCTCAAACTTCAATATCGCAAATTTTAGCTCGCACTTGAATTTTTACAACGCAACTTCTTTTGGCCATCAAATTAATAGGGTGAAATCCAAAAAAACAACCATAAAATCAACAAGATGGCAGACTCCCGTCGCCGGGTAAACCATCAAACCTCGTTTAATATGGACAAAACAGACTGAGGAGTGGCACGACCAGAGGATAGAAAATGAATTGAAAAAATATTTTCGCCCAGAATTAAAAATATTTTTCCCCAGAAAAGAGCATTATAGAAAAACTCCTATTTTCTCCCAGAAAAAATATATTTTCTCCCAGAAAGAAAATATTTTTCCCCAGAAAAGAGAATTATGAAAAAATGCTATTTTTTCCCAGAAAAGAAAATATTTTCTCCCAGAAAGCATAATTTTGTAAAAATAAAGCACGGAAGTAGTAAAAATTGATGAATAAGTAACTTTACTAGTAAAATAAATTAAGCAGTAGTGTAAAATAGTATCTGTGGTAAGTTTTTGAGGAAATACTGGAAATAGATGTAATCGACGGTGCTGATTTCAAAAATGATTCTCATTTTTTGTGATTTTCACTTTTTTGTGGTCAAAGGGTGCACTGACAGCCTGTCTGTGTCGTCTTCAGCGCCAAGAAGAACATTCAGATTTACAATAAGAGAAACCCATCCTTATTTTCATTGGGAACAAAAGATATCCAAGAATAAACCATTAAAGAATTCATTCGTACATGTCTTTGTATAAATCATTATAATTCTTACTTGTTTTTAAACTCAATTAAGAAGTCGTCTAAAGTAATATCTGGAAGTTGAAAATCTGAAAAAAGATTGGAAAAACGTGGGATTTCCAACTTTATTGCAAGTCGATGCATGGGTCCCAGAGAAGTGCGTAATATTGGATTCGAACTGACATATTGCCTTGTCGTGCTGAATTAAACCTTTACGGTATCTACGTCTTCGACGTCACTATCTTTTAGAAGGTAGTAATCTCTCATGTTTTATTCTTGAATGTCTTTTTTCCCGATGAGTATAAGGATGAATTTCTCTTATTGTAAATCTGAATGTTCTTCCCGGCGCAGAAGGCGAAAAAGAAAGGCTGTTGATGTACACTTCAATGCACTCTTTGACCACAAAGAAGTGAAAATCACAAAAAATGAGAATCATTTTTGAAATCAGCACCGTCGATTACATCTATTTCCAGTATTTCCTCAAAAACTTACCACAAATACTATTTTACACTACTGCTTAATTTATTTTACTAGTAAAGTTACTTATTCATCAATTTTTACGACTTCCGTGCTTTATTTTTACAAAATTATGCTTTCTGGGAGAAAATATTTTCTTTTCTGGGAGAAAATAGCATTTTTTTCATAATTCTCTTTTCTGGGGAAAAATATTTTCTTTCTGGGAGAAAATATATTTTTTCTGGGAGAAAATAGGAGTTTTTCTATAATGCTCTTTTCTGGGGAAAAATATTTTTAATTCTGGGCGAAAAATATAGACCCAAAATGAATTGGCTTGAGATTACACTTGTTTTTTGAGGGGGAAAAAATTAATTTCCGGGTATACTAAAAGGGCTAGACAAGCTTATCAAAAGTAATTTACAGGGGAAGTACCCCAAGTGCGACGCCCAGATTTTTTTAAAATTTTGCATACGCGTCGGGCATAGAATAGGTATCAATTCCTGAAAGCTTTAGTTCGCGCTTTGCTGACGCAGCCGAGATATTGAACTGTCTTTTCCGCCGAGAAAGTAAGCTAAAAGCGGAGAGCGGTCAGAGAGAAAAACGCCTTTTGGCCATAACTTTGTTATTTTCGTGCGGAAAAAATTGATTTTTTTTGGAAACATTACCCTTGACAGTAGAAATAGGTATGATAGTTTTGGTGCCGAAATTCGGCAAAAATTGTCAAATTTTCGCCCATCTTCGATCTAAAAATCTCGATTGTTTTAGCAAAGCGCGAGCTAGGATTCTCGCATATATTTTAGTAAAAATCATTCTAAATTTGTGCCAAGTTTCATCAAAATCTGCTCGTCGCTGCTGGGGTACTTCCCCTGTTAGTATAACAGTAAAAAACGGAAAGAAGATAAAGAGTCTCTGGCTTACCTTAATTTTTATTTACTAATGTCGATGACAATCACATCGGTTTGCATGGCTCCACGCCGTTTGAGGAGTTGATTGGACTCGGGCGGAGTCCGTTCTCGTGATCGACGCCGATTCCAGAGTCGGTATAAAAATGAGTTGAGGGATTTGTTGGTGATGAGTTCGACGATCCTGAAAATAGAATATTTTTGGATATAGAAACCCTCATTTGTCAGCAGCAGAGGTACCATTAAATTTACAGCTTTGGTTTTCGACAAAATCTAGAAGGGTACCCAAAAAATCAATTTTTCCACACGGAACTGGAAAAGAAACAGCCAAAAAAGTATTTTTTCTGTAACCTTTCTCCGCGTTTCGCCTACGCTCTTGGCCGCAAAGATTTGTGCCCGGCTGCCCCTGAAAAGCGCCAGCTAAAACTTTCGGGAATTAATTCAGTGGAGGACCTGATCCAGTGGCAAAAAACGTGCTATTTTGCATCCAGGAAGTATCAAAAAATGTGGAAAAATGCTTCCCTCTCCGAGTGCAAAAACTCAGATTTCAAAAGCGCGTCCGCTCTTTTTGTGAGGAAAAAGGGCGCGCCCTTCAAAACGAGTTTTTTTCACTTGGAGAGGGAGGCATTTTGCCACATCTTTTGATACTTCCCGGATGCAAAATGATACGTTTTTTGCCACTGGATCAGGTCCCCAACTGTATGTGTCCTATACTCGAAGTATGTGCGAAATTGAAAGCGCAGCAGTGTACTTGGGGTACAACCCGTTGTAGACCAAATAAAAATCTTCAAAATTTTTGTGGACTCACGCTTCGATTTGATAAATTACGATGATAACCAACATATTGAAGGTAAAGTTTAAAACAATACTGTCGAATTTTGTGAAATCCGTAGATCGGACGAAAAACAATGCGTGTTGTAAAAGAAGAGTAAGAGGGAGTACGAATGTTTGCGTCAACACATAATCTTCGCATCGCTGGCGCGATGCCCGTTGATGCTTGGTAAAGGAGGACTGGCGAGTGAGTTTCTGCAAAAAATAGAGTTGCAAAACGTGGTTTAAATTTAGTCTTAGGACTTGCAATTGCCTACAGAATTCATATTTTTCAGCTTCAAATAAGTCATCGTGTCCAAGGTGAAAGTGAGCGCCAGCGTTGCCAGCATAAAACCCAGGGCCGCTAGGCGATTTAAATGCAGTTTACAGTCATCTCCGTCAAAGGTAAAGACGACGTGCTTCATGTCGTAGCCGCCTCTGCAGTGGGTCAGAAACCAGAAGCCTTCTGAAAAAATGCACGTAAATAGTGAACATGACGTGTTCTAAAGCTTGGCTGACCAAGCAACAAGTGCAGTCGAGTCATCGCAAGGGGAAACAAAAACTTTTGTTGAAAGGGAAGATCGTCACGTCATTTTACAACTAGTTCAGGATTTCCCCACGGGACATCTACATGGCGGACCTGATCCGGTGGCAAAAAATGTTCCATTTTGCATCCGGGAAGTGTCAAAAATGTAGCAAAATACCTCCCTCTCCAAGTGAAAAACTCCGATTTCAAAAGCGCGCTTGCTTTTTGAGGAAAAGGGTTCTTCAAAGCGGAATTTTTTTAGTTGGAGAGGGAGGTATTTTGTTACATTTTTGATACTTTCCGGATGCAAAATGATACGTTTCTTGCCACTGGAGCAGATCCGTCACTGTATGTGGCTTATGCCCAAAGTGTGTGCAAAATTGAAAGCGCAGCGGTGTATTTGAGGTACTACCATTTTTAAGACAAGTAAAAATCATCAAAATTTCAGATCCGTCACTGTAGGCATGGCTCAGCCCGGCCTGGGACGGTTTTAAAGAAAATTTGGATTTTCCGAGAATTCTCAAAAGAATGGCGAAATTCCTCTTTAAAATCGCTCGAAAATATTGCAAGATTACATCAAGAAGGCCAAAAAAACGTCGGGTCTTGCTCAGATGAAATAGCAATAGTTCCGTGGTTTTTAAAATTCCAAATTTCCAATTCAAAAAATTACACAAGAACTTTGACCCGAGCCGGGCTTTCAAAGTTTTGCTGGCCCGGGCTTGGAAATTTTTATCTCGTGCACATGCCGGATTACAGCCATGCTTACCCGCCGGTGTTAACAAACATGCCGACTTACGAACAAAAACCATCGAAAACGCAATTGTCCCCAAAATCGAGACCTTTACAAGGATCGTGTCCGAAAAGGCCATGTGAAGCAGTCCATGGCAGATTGCGAAGTGCCTCTCGATCACTGTGATCACTTGGATCATGATGGAGCAACACCACAGAACCGCGCTGAGTCGGGTCAACGCGCTGCCAATGTAGTCGAAGAGCCAGCCGGAACTAAAACAGGAAATGTTCTACTACAGTGGGGGACCTGATCCGGTGGCAAAAACCCTACCATCTTGCACCGAGGAAGTATCAAAAAATGTGGCAAAATACCTCCCTCTTCAAGTGAAAAAATCGGATTTCAAAAGCGCGCCCGCTCTTTTTGTGAGGGCCTTCAAAACGAAGTTTTTTTCAGTTGGAGAGGGAGGCATTTTGCCACATTTTTTGATACTTCCCGGATGCAAAATGGTACGCTTTTTGCCACTGGATCAGGTCCGTCACTGTATATATATTTTGTGAATGTTTACATTTTCCCAAAATTACCTTTGAAAAAACGTTGTCGGCGCGATCCAAAACGCCACATATCCTATCTGCAGCGCGTCCACAACACTCCGACACACCACAAACTTCTCCCTCGCACTTCTCACCCCATTCCGCAGCAGCAACCCAACCAAATACATGTTCATTGCGCTCGCCTCCACGCCCAGCGCCGTTGTTGCGGCCGATAGCACTCGAATATTCATCGTTTCTTCACATATCGCCCGAGGAAGGGGGTTCGTAAAATATTTCCGAATAAATTGGAGGGAATTTGTTCGATGTAATGGTAACGCATAAATTGCGGCGGGTCTAATTTCCGCCCCAAAAAATTGGAAATGACTAAGGAGGAGGGGGGGAGGAAGAGCCGGAATCATTGCTGTTTCTGGGCCCCACAAATTGAATCTGATCTGTTTTTGGGGAACTGACGGCTTTCCCACGGGCAATGAGGTATTTTGGAATGCATTTTTGGGAATTTTCAAATTTTTGTTTATATCAAATTCGGGTTAAAATGAGCTAAATTTCATGCTATCATTCTGTCGGGAAAATAATGTGCAAAATGTCGCAACGAAAATCGTATCGGCGCCGAGAAAATTAATCGTATCGCGACAAAATCAAATTGTTTTCACTTCAGCAATGCGATTGACGCAGCGACATTGTGCTCATTATTTTCCCGACAGACTGAAAAGGGCAAGATTGGCTGAAAATGGTAGGTCGCAGCCCGGAAAAACTTTCACGGCGGCAGCTCGCAAAACAAGCTTTTGCAGCTTGCCGGAGCTAAGTTTCAGCTTGTTTTTGGGCTGCGCCCAAGACGCAAGCCGCCCGCGTGCAAGTTTTCCCAGCTGCGCCCTACCATTTGCAGCCAACTTGGTATCAGCGAGAAAACTCCCCACTGATAAATCTACAAAAAAAAATCCAACAGTTACAGTCGATAGTTTATTGATAGGCCGCACAATACAAGATACCAATGTGAGAGGCGGAACGACCGAGCTTCGAGGATTTTCCCACAAGGAACTGTCTTCATTTATTCAAATTCGATTGTACTTTCCTACGTGGGGCTTCCCTATAAAAGGCCTACTTTCCACTGACAGGGGAGGTACTCCAAGTGCGACGCTCAGATTTTGATGAAACTTGGCACAAATTTAGAATAATTTTTTCTAAAATATATGCGAGAATCCTAGCTCGCGCTTTGCAGAAACAACCGAGATTTTTAAATCGAAAGTCGGCAAAAATTTAGGACTTTTTGCCGAATATCGGCACGAAAAGTTTCGTGCCTATTTCAACCGTAAAGGACAATGTTTCTACAAAAAATCAAAATTTTCCACACGAAACTGCCAAAGTTATGGCCAAAAAGCGCTTTTCTCTCTGACCGCTCTCCACGTTTAGCGTGCTCTCTCGGCGGCAAATATCGTTCAATATCTCGGCGGCGCCCGCAAAGCGCGAGCTAAAACTTTCAGGAATTGGTATCTAGTCCATGCCCGACGTGTGTGCAAAATTTAAAGAAAATCTGAGCGTCGCACTTGGAGTACTTCCCCTGTGAATAAATCACTTGACTCTTTAGCTCTCGTCTTGTCTCGTTACTGGGTTGTTGGGCCCTTCGACACAATGGATCCAATGTTTCAGCGGGGCCAAACGCACGACCGCTCTCAAACCTTCCATTCCAACGCGCTCCACCTCCGATCTTCCCAATCTTCACCTTTCCTTCCACGTTGCTCTCTTACAGTAGGCTGCTCGTTGTCGTTGCGGGACCGATTGAGGGTCCAGATGCTCCGGTGCCCACTGCTAAAATTTGCAAAAAAATTCGAACATCCTATGTAACTAAAATTCATCAGAAGCCAATCAACCCTCATCATTTCCAAATTTCCAATTATTTTAATTCAATTTAGCCCCCGAAAATGCAAATTTTATGGCTTGTCAATACAAATTGTATCAGGTTCCCCTTTATTCCTCATTTATTTCAAAATGACAAACCCACTGATAGTGTCTCTGTTTTTTGCTGTTCTATTCGGAGAAGTGCTCTCTCAAAGCTCTTCCGCCAAGGTCTTGGAGAACTTGAAGAAACGCTATCCCGAGCGGCGATTCGAAAATATCATCGATGGCGACTTCCGGCGCTACCTGGCCATAGCACGCGTCAACGGTTCGAGTGCATATCACATCGGCGTTGTTGAGGCGGGACAAAAGTTCAGCGAGATCGCTGTGGAGGCGGGGATTGCGGTAGGTTAGAAACGTATATGTAGTATCAGTTTGTCGGTAAAATAATGTGGATTTGTCGATGAGGGGGAAGTATTAGTCTGTCGGGAAAATAATGTGGACTTATTCGCTGAGGGAGAAGTATCCGTCTGTCGGGAAAATAATATGGACTTGTCGCTGACAAGGGAAGTCACTTTTTTCGCAGACGGACTTTGGAACGGGACCTAGTAGGTTTCAAACGTGAAGCTTCTGCGATCATAAAACTGATTTCCAAAAGTGTTTACGGGGCTTCTCGGCCGAGAAAATCGACCACAAAGTTTAGCCGAAATGAGCGAATAGCCTCCTCAAAAGAAACAGCTTATTTCATCTGCAGTGGTGGCCGAGTGGTCAGCGCGCTCGCTTTTTGCGCCAGAAGACGTGAGTTCGACTTCGGTCGTCTGCGGATGCATTTCTTTTGACAATTGAATCAAATAGAGAGATGCCGTTAACATCACATATCCTAATTATTAGCAATTTTTAATAAAACACAAATTTAGAAAGTATATCTTCATCAACCCAGCCCTGTTTTGACTTTACAATATTCATGAACATTCAGCTTTGAATTTATGTTTAAATTACTGTAAAAAATTACAAAAGTGTATACATTTTATGTTTACATACTAAATCAATATTTACGAACCAAAAAAGAAAATAAACTGCGCAAAGGATCGAACCCGCCTCTTCTGGCGCAAAAAGCGAGCGCGCTGACCACTCGGCCACCACTGCAGATGAAATAAGCTGTTTCTTTTGAGGAGGCTATTCGCTCATTTCGGCTAAACTTTGTGGTCGATTTTCTCGGCCGAGAAGCCCCGTAAACACTTTTGGAAATCAGTTTTATGATCGCAGACGCTTCACGTTTGAAACCTACTAGGTCCCGTTCCAAAGTCCGTCTGCGAAAAAAGTGACTTCCCTTGTGAGGGATAAGTATTAGTTTGTTGGGAAAATAATGTGGAATCGCCTTCATCGCCGGGCGGTTCACAGCGACGGCTGGCTGGAGATTTGGTGAGCGATTGCAAGGAGGCGAGAGATATTTTGCTGCTACAAATCCACATTATTTTCCCGACTGACTGATATTCGCGATCCTAGCCCGTCCGGGAAGTCGCTAGAATGATTTCCGCGACATGCGCTTGATAAAACAAAAGTTCACTTTGCACTGTGCAACTTGTTGTTCGCACCGTGCAATCGGTTTTTTTAGCTGCGGCTCGCACCCTGACTTTTTCTGCACAGTGCATGTCGCAAAAATCACTTCAGCGACTTTGCGAAGGGACCAGTATCAGTCTGTCGGGAAAATAATGTGGAATTGTCGCTGACGGGGAAATATCAGCCTGTCGGGAAAATAACGTGGATTTTTCGCTAAACAGTGATGGACGGTTCCAAGGCGCGACTAGTCCACATTATTTTCTCGACAGACTGATACTTCCCCATCAGCGTCAAAACCACATTATTTTCCCGACAGACTGGAAATACACACATTTTCTCTTCAGACCGGCGCATTTGCCGTCTTCCTCCTACCGCAGAAGAATGCCGATGGCAAGTTCACAGAGTTCTTCGAACCGCTGGGATCCAGGAAGGCCTTACGACGGTTTAACTTGAGGTAAAAATGAGATTGCATTTTATTTTTTCTCCTTAAAAGCAATATTTGGCTCTCGACTGTGTGTATACTACATATATTTCAGCGGTAACGTTTGCGATTTCCCATACAATTACACGCAGAACGGATATCGTCACATCTATTCGATTGGCTCACATGTGAGATACGGGGCGAAGGAAGTGGTGAATGTTGGGGGTCTGAAATGTGGCGACGTTTTGCAATCGAAGGACATCGCAACGCTACCAAATTCCACCTTAACACCGAGTGTTCAGAGGCTCCTGAATCGATGCTGGGTGAGTTCTACTGTAGCATAGAAAAGACAAAAATTTGCTGCAAAGAACAACGGTCCGTTAGCTTTATCTGGGTCCTAGGATCATAAAGTATCCTAGGCTCCGATCACTGTTGTACAATTTCAAATGACTGATTGAAATTTGTTTGGTTTAGACTTCAAAAGGAGACGAAACATGCGTCAGAGACGAAGGTGGTAACGGCACAGTGCTAGTGAACCGCTACCACCCCATTCTTCATCTCAACGGAATCACCGTGTATTCCCATTGCTGCCGTAACAAGATCTGCGGGAAAATCCCAGATAGATGCGCCTACTTTGTGTATGATCAAGCCAGCGGGTAAGAAGGAAGATTTTTTTATCTACATGTGGCATAAAGCGCTGTCGCCGGACTGAAATCGTAAATCAGCGACATGAACTGTGAAAAAACCAAAAATTTATCGGTCTGTCGGGAAAATAATGAGCAAAAATTTGTCGCGGGAAAATCAAATTGTTGCTCGGCGACGCGATTGGCGCATCACGGCAAAACGAAATAGAACAAAAATGTTTCCCGCCCACTTTTGAGTTTCGTCCAAACGAAGTGTCACAACTGACAAAAGCAATAAAATAATTTCGAGAAAAACATTTTTCCATCGAAACACCACACGAAAAATTCTGTTGTGATATTTCGTGTGAATTTGACCGATTCTGGGTGTGCGAAGTGCCGAAACGAGGAGGGAGACTCCTTGGGTTGGCGTGCGCAGCAACACTACGCTCGTTATTTTTCCGATAGACTGATACAGTGGCGTACCTGATCCAATGGCAAAAAACGTACGATTTTGCACCCGCGGGCCCATCCGCTAACTGAAACTTGGCTGAAAACGGTAGCTTGGAAAATATGCAAGGGCGCAGCTCGCATCTCGTGGGCAGCTCGGAAAGCAAGCTTTCCCAGCTCCGCAGAGCTAACAAGGGAATGGACTTTATGTGTAAATCGATTTTGGCTTGGGACATAGTCAGATCGAAAGGTGTGTGGTAGTCGATTATTCACTTGGGGGGAAATCTCTGCGTGGGGCTTCAAAGCCGAGAAAATTGGCTTCAAAGTTTGGACGAAAATCAAAGGATAGGGATCCCGGAAAATGAGGAATAAAAAGTGTGAAGCAGTGGCCGAGCGGTCAGTGCGCTCGCTTTTTGCGCAAAAGGTCGGAAGTTCGAATCTGCTTCCATTCATAACTTTTTTAAACAAAAACTTCTATTAATTTTTTCCCCTGAACTGGATCATCGATGCAAGAAGTATATTTTAAACGGAACCTTCCCATTTTCAACGGCTTTGCACCTTCCTTTTACAGTTTTAGAGCGCAGAGCCCACCATCAACCTGATGTATTCAAAAACAACTTTCCATTATGTTAACTTTTTTTTATCTATACCACTTTTTTAAATGTATAGCCGGATTAGCACGAAGAAAGCAGAAGTAAAAACGATAATAATGATTTGGGCTTGGAAAGACTCGAACCTGCAACCTTTTGCGCAAAAAGCGAGCGCACTGACCACTCGGCCACTGCTTCACACTTTTTATCGCGTCTTTTCCGGGGTCCTTATCCTTCGATTTTCGTCAAAACTTTGAAGCCGATTTTCTCGGCTTTGAAGCCCCGCGCAGAGATTTCCCCCCAAGTTAATAATAGACTACCATACACCTTTCGATCTGACTATGTCCCAAGCCAAAATCGATTTACACATAAAGTCCATTCCCTTGTAAGTTTCAGCATGTTTTCGAGCTGCGTCCAAAACACGAGCTGCCCTCATGCAGGCTTTCCGACCTGCGCCCATTTTGAGCCAACTTTCAGCCACGTTTCAGTCACCGTATTCGCCTGTGGAGGTGTGAAAAACGCAGCAAAATACCTCCCTCTTCGACGAAGAATGCTCCATTACAATACGTCCAATTTTAGGTGCAGGGGACCTGATCCAGTGCAAAAAACGTACCATTTTGCATCCGGGAATTATCAAAAAATGTGGCAAAATACCTGCCCCTCCAAGTGAAAAAAACTCAAATTTCAAAAGCGCCCCGCTCTTTTTTTGAGCAAAAGGGCGCGACCTTCAATACGAGGTTTTTTCACTTCGAGAGGGAAGCATTTTGCGACATTTTTGATACTTCTCGAATGCAAAATGGTACGTTTTTACCCTTAGGTCGGGTCCTTCACTGTATTGCTTAACCGCAACTTTCAGCGTTGACTTCTACATTGACGATCAACTCAACTGGACCGCGGATGCAAAGAAGGACCCATTAGTTTTGATTCCACTTATTTCTGGGGACGATGAATTCGTTAAGAAGAGAAGATACAGTTTCTTCCCTGCAAATCCAGCTCAATCGCCGGCACCCGTCCCAATCCCTGCGCCATTGAACTGCAGTTCTGGATTTAACTTCAATTTTGGAGCCTTTCTGGGGAAGTTCCCAAAGTTCTCGTTCGGAAATTTCAGCTTCTTCAATTTTTCGAGATTCCCGTTTTTGAAGATCGGCCCAAGGAATATGAAAGGATTACAAGGCTTGAACGGGTTGGGCAATCTGGCTAACCTCTCCAGTTTGGTTAAACATTGAATACTTCAAGTCAACGGAGAGAATGAATATTAAATTTAACTTTAACATTCAAAAAATTAAATACTTTGATAAATATTCAAAAAAAAAAAAAAAAAAAAAAAAAAATAAAAAAAATCTATTATAATTCTGTCGGGAAAATAATGTGGACTAATCGCACTTTGAAATCGCGCATCTTCGCTTTGAAACGGCTAGAAAATTTTTCGCGACAAAATCTCGAATTTTTTTCTGCGACAAATCCACATTATTTTCCCGACAGACTGGTATAAGTTATATTGCAATTTCTACATTCCAACTTCTTCACAATTTTTTTACTTTCGGGCGGTTTCGTAGTTCTCTTCGAACCACTGAACCGAAGTTTTGATGGCCTCTTCGAATGGGGTGAACTCAAATTCCGGCAAATATTTGCGGAGTTTGGCGTTCGAGGCGGTCTTCTTGTACTGGCCATCGGCTTTGCTCGTATCTTGCACGATCTCACCCTAAAATTTTTTCAAAATTTTTGTCAAAATTGTGTTAAGAGACTCAAAATTTGGCAGCACCACCAAAAAATCTTGATTTTGAAATCAAGCCAGGGCGCAGACTGCGGTTCTCAAATTCCGGGAAATTTTTTAAAATTTGGATTTCTTCTCGTTTTACAAGTCACTGAGACTCAATAATACCTATTTTCAAAAATTTTCAATATATTTTTTTCGTTATGTAGGGCGCAGCCTGCCAAACAATACCCGATAAAAACGCTGTCGTATTTTACAAAATCTTTTGCATTACTCACCTCAAACCCGGACGCTTTCACAACATGATTGAAAGCATCAGCGATCGAGATTTCATCCTTTTCGTCGACGGACAAGATGATTGGTTCAACCTCCTAAAACAATATCGTATTTTAGAGCATATCAGACCACAAAAATCTTAAATATCACTCATTTTTCCTCAAAATTGCATTCCAACATTCTCTAAACCTTTTCCCGCCAAAATCATCAGTGACATTTTATACGATGAAACATGTACATGTTCAAAATGGTCAAACTGACCGTGCGAAACCAAAAATGAACTTACAATATACTCTCTCATGACCCATAAGATCAGATGAGCCAAATCGATGGAGTAAATGAATTGCCTGAGGGGCTTTCCGGAGCCGAATAGCGTCAATGGAGTCGCATTTTTCTTGGCCAAATAGGCTTTGTGGATTAGGGCGGGGATAACATGGCCAGATTCGAGGTTATAATTGTCGTTGGGACCGAAAACATTGCACGGGATGATCGAGGTGTATCTGAAATACGATTTTCAAAATTTCAAAAAAATTTTTTTTTTTTTTTTTTTTTTTTTTTTGTAAAATACCACTTACTTTCGGCCGTGATCTTGCGCATAGCCTTTGTTGAGGACGTCGATCATTCTCTTCGCATACGAATATCCGAAATTGCTGTCATGCGGGGGGCCATTATGGACCTAAATTTAGGTAAAATAAGGTGAGAATTATATCAAAAACAACGCAAAAAATTCTCATCATGCCTTCATTCTACTATATACAGCATGTTGACTCATAACGATATCATTTTACCAACAATTTCTTCAATTTTCAAGTTTTTTCATCAGATGTCTGATGGATAATATAATCCAAAAAATCCAAAAATTTCTCCAAGAAATCAAGTAAAACAACCCACCATGGTCTCATCAATAGGGTATTCGGTCTTGTCCGGGAATATACATGTGCTCAGACAAGAGACGACCTTCTGAACATCGGATTCGTGGGCACACTGGAGGACATTCTGATTGATCGCCTGAAAAAGATGAAAATCTGCAAAATCCGTATTCAAATTATGTTTTACACAGCTTAAAGTTTAGTTAAGATACTCAAAACGGCCTTTAAAAGTCGTTTTTGACAACTGAAATTTTCATAAATCATCAAAATTTTATGTTTTTGAAAAAAAACGGCAGAAATTTCAAAGTGATTTTTCGCGTTTGCACCGTGCAAAAAAAGTCTGGGTGCGAGCGACAGCCCAAACAAGCCCATTGCACGGTGCAAAACGCAAAAAATCGCACAGTGCAAAGTGCCTTTTTGTTTTCGCACAGTGCATGTCGCTGAAGTGCTTTTTGGTTTTTGCACGGTGCGAAAAAAAGCCAGGGTGCGAGCGACAGCCCAAACAAGCCCATTGCACGGTGCAAAACGCAAAAAATCGCACAGTGCAAAGTGCCTTTTTGTTTTCGCACAGTGCATGTCGCTGAAGTGCTTTTTGGTTTTTGCACGGTGCGAAAAAAAGCCAGGGTGCGAGCGACAGCCCAAACAAGCCCATTGCACGGTGCAAAACGCAAAAAATCGCACAGTGCAAAGTGCCTTTTTGTTTTCGCACAGTGCATGTCGCTGAAGTGCTTTTTGGTTTTTGCACGGTGCGAAAAAAAGCCAGGGTGCGAGCGACAGCCCAAACAAGCCCATTGCACGGTGCAAAACGCAAAAAATCGCACAGTGCAAAGTGCCTTTTTGTTTTCGCACAGTGCATGTCGCTGAAGTGCTTTTTGGTTTTTGCACGGTGCGAAAAAAGCCAGGGTGCGAGCGACAGCCCAAACAAGCCCATTGCACGGTGCAAAACGCAAAAAATCGCACAGTGCAAAGTGCCTTTTTGTTTTCGCACAGTGCATGTCGCTGAAGTGCTTTTTGGTTTTTGCACGGTGCGAAAAAAAGCCAGGGTGCGAGCGACAGCCCAAACAAGCCCATTGCACGGTGCAAAACGCAAAAAATCGCACAGTGCAAAGTGCCTTTTTGTTTTCGCACAGTGCATGTCGCTGAATTAAGGTGTTTGCACCGTGCAGAAAAAGTCAGGGTGCGAGCGACACCACAAAAGCCAATTGCATGGTGCACAGTGCAAGCCGAACTTTTGTTTTCTCACAGTCGCCGAAATCACAGCAGCGACTTTGGGAACGGATGATTTTGCGACACGCACTGTGCGAAAACAAAAGGGCACTTTGCACTGTGCAATTTCTCGCATTTCGCACGGTGCAATAGGCTTTTTTTGGGTTGTCGCTCACACCCTGGCTTTTTTCGCACAGTGCAAACGCCAAAGGTTAATTCAGCGACATGCACCGTGCGAAAACAAAAAGGGCACTTTGCACTGTGCAATTTCCCGCATTTTGCACGGTGCAATAGGCTTTTTCGGGCTGTCGCTCGCACCCTGGCTTTTTTTCGCACCGTGCAAAAACCAAAAAGCACTTCAGCGACACGCACTGTGCGAAAACAAAAGGGCACTTTGCACTGTGCAATTTCTCGCATTTTGCACGGTGCAATAGGCTTTTTTTATTGGGCTGTCGCTCGCACCCTGGCTTTTTTCGCACAGTGCAAAAACCAAAAAGCACTTCAGCGACACGCACTGTGCGAAAACAAAAGGGCACTTTGCAGGAATCCTTCGATTGCGACCCCGCTCGATTGCGACCTCGCATCGATTGCGACCCCGCATCGATTGCGACCCAAAATGGGGTAAAGCGACCCCGGGATGAAAATTCTTTGATTCTCTTCGGGAAAAACTTGCTTTAGGGGTTTTCGAGGGTGCTGATTTCGAAAATGATGTTCATTTTTCCTCTAGTACTACATAGTACTGTCTGATACTATATAGTACGAAGTGAAAATATGGCTTTTGACGTTAATGGTGTTGGTTTGATGCTTAGTACTCTTCAAAAACACGTTTTAAAGACTTGGTGCTATCTAGTACTCTCTGATACTATATAGTACGAAGTGAAAATATGGCTTTTGACGTTAATGGTGTTGGTTTGATGCTTAGTACTCTTCAAAAACACGTTTTAAAGACTTGGTGCTATATAGTACTGTCTGATACTATATAGTACGAAGTAAAAATAGGCGTACTAAACACCAGAACAACACCACAAACGCCTAGAGGCCAACTTTACACCTCGTACTACATAGTATCAGATAGTACTATATAGCACCAAGTCTTTAAAACGTGTTTTTGAAGAGTACTAAGCATCAAAACAACACCATTAACGTCAAAAGCGATATTTTCACTCCGTACTATATAGTATCAGACCGTACTATGTAGTACTAGTTGAAAAATGAACATCATTTTCGAAATCAGCACCCTCGAAAACCCCTAAATCGAGCATTTAACGTCAAAAGCGATATTTTCACTTCGTACTATATAGTATCAGACAGCACTATGTAGTACTAGAGGAAAAATGAACATCATTTTCGAAATCAGCACCCTCGAAAACCCCTAAAGCAAGTTTTTCCCGAAGAGAATCAAAGAATTTTCATCCCGGGGTCGCTTTACCCCATTTTGGGTCGCAATCGATGCTGGGTCGCAATCGATGCGGGGTCGCAATCGATGGAATTCCACTTTGCACTGTGCAATTTCTCGCATTTTGCACGGTGCAATTGGCCTTTTTTGGGCTGTCGCTCGCACCCTGGCTTTTTTCGCACAGTGCAAACGCCAAATGTTAATTCAGCGACATGCACTGTGCGAAAACAAAAGGGCACTTTGCACTGTGCAATTTCTCGCATTTTGCACGGTGCAATAGGCTTTTCTGGGCTGTCGCTCGCACCCTGGCTTTTTTCGCACAGTGCAAATCACTTTTTGACAAAAAAATTGCATCAAAAAAAATTTTTTTTGCTCACAATATTTCAGCCTCAAAAATCGATCTTACCATATTCAACTGGAAGAATTCGAGATTATGGTTCATATTATCGAACAATCCGCCGACTCGGGCAGCCAAATGGATCACATGGGTGGGTTTGACTCGTTCGAAGAGTGCTTTCGTGGCCTCCAAATTGGTCAAATCGCATTCCTTCGAGTTGATAAAGACAAATTTCTCATTTCGACGGCGATTCGCGGGGTCTGTTACTACCTGAAATTGAAAAAAATAGTATTTTTTGGGATTGTTTGGTGGGAAAATTAAATTTTTTTTGGGGGAAAAATAAGATTTTTTTGGGGGAAAATAATTTTTTTTGGGTAAAAAATGAGATTTTTTTGGGGAAAAAAGAACTTCTAGTAAATTTTTTATGAAAATTCGAGCGAAATTTCATGATTTTTGTAAAAATCTTGATTTTTTCTTGGAAAAATTCGATTTTTTTTCAAAAAAAAAAATAGGATAAAAAATTCGTCATCCTTCATAATAAATCGATTTTCACATCTACAACCAAGGACGAGCGTATTTTACCTTTTCGATCGCTTTTTCCGACCAATCCCGAGCCGCCGGTAATTAGAAAAAATTGGGATTTTTTGGGGAAAAATGAACTTTTTTGAAAAATATTTTATGATTGTCTGGGCGAAATTTCATGATTTTTGAAAAAAAAATTTTTATGAAAAAAAAAAATTTTATGAAAAAAACCGAAAAATTTCAAAAAAAAAAACGAATCAAAAACTCTTTCTCCTGTACAAAAAATTGATTTTTGCATTCGCCACACGCTTTGCAGCACGTATTTTACCTTTTCGATGGCTTTCCCGACCAATCCCGAGCCTCCGGTGACCAACACCGTGACTGGCGGGACTTCCGGCTTTTCCATTGGGGATGGGAGCTCTTCTTGGGAGACCTGATTACCTGAACATTGCTTATTACATCGTTTACATTATAATCAAACATAATTTGACTAAAAAAATCTCTAAGAATTTGAAAAATAACAAAAAATTTAAAAATTTACCCATTTTTGCGGATTTTTCGATATTTTTGGTCAAGAAGTGCTGATGATGACGATAAATTCGATATTTTTCTGCAAAATAAGATTTTTCACATCAATTTCATTACTTTCTAATCAATTTCACGGTCTTGAAAATCAAAAAAAATCCCAAAAATTTCAAAAATCATCGAAAATCCCCATAAAAATTAAAAATTTTCTCATAAATCAGCGAAAAATCGAACACTGCCTGAGGCATGAAATCAAATCAATTTCAAAAACATAATCCACGTTCCACAACGTCTCTCCACTCCCTCTCGTCAAGCCGGAAAAGCCACGTTTTGCTTTGTTTCTCCCCCTCTTTTATGGGAATAAAAAAAATTCGAGAGAAAAAAATATTTGAAATTCAAAAAAAAATTATCATACGCTGAGATCTAGTAAATTTATTTATATAGCCCGAGGGCATTTAAAATTTTCATCCATTTTTGGCACTAAAAACTCGATTTTTTTGGAAAATCGAAGAATTTTTTTAAATTATAAAATTACAGTAACCCAAGAAAATTTTTTAGGAAATTTTTGATTAACCATAATCCAACAAGCCTATTTTACATTTCTATAACCATTTCGCCCCAGTAACTATCTATTTTCAACCAAAAATCGACATTTTTTTCAGCATCACCACTTCTTGACCAAGGATAATATAAAATCTCAAAAAATTCAACTTAAAAAAGAAAAATCAATCGAAAACGGCCTTTCAATTTATTCAAGAGGACCTGTAAAGCATTTCTCATTGCAAAAAGTCATTGATTTCCGCCTAATTATCATATAAAATTCGGGTTTTTTCAGACCACACCCTGACCCCAAGTGATAAAAAATCTGAAAATCAATATTCAAAACCCAAAAAATGCTTTCAAACATAACAAATTCAATATTTTTTCAGTATCGCAGAAGATTTGACATATTTCACCTTCAAATATACCAAAAATTTTGGTGGAATTCAAATTTATTGTGTGATAAAAATTGCTATCAAAAAAAATTCTTAGAAATACGACGATTTGACACAATGGAGATACGTTATTCAGTAGGACCCTAACACGTAATGTATATCGTATTTTTGACATTGGAGGAGGGGATTACTGTAACTCTGGTCCACTTTGACGAACAGATAAACACAAAATTTATGATGAAGAAAATGGATAGGGACAAAAAACAACCCATATCTTTGCAAATTACAGTAACCCATCGAAGATAATACAGTAAATTCTGAAGGAAAATCGTGTTACAGATAGACGACTATAACAACAATCAAAAATTGTGATTTCATGTGGGAATGGACTTAATCTCGCTTCTCCGCATGCTTCTTCGTGAAGTCCTCGGCAGTTTTGAAGAACTTTTTCTTGTCTTGACGATATTCCTCGGCCAGCTCCGATCGGAGTGGATGGTCAAGTTCGGGCTCACATATCAGGTCCAACAGCTCGTGAATCACTGAAAAAAATGAGATTAAATCCAACATCATGCTATGTGACAAGTGTATGAGCAATTTCAAACAACATTTTACCGAAAAAGACATCAAAATTCAACCTTCGGATATTAACCATCACCTAAAATCAAAAACACCAAAGAAGAAAGCCTCACCTTGAACAATCTTAGTCGCAGGCTTCCAGTTCTCGGGTAGCACTATCCCCAAGCAAACCTGCCCCTTCTCATCAACATTGGGATGGTAGATCTGGGTGTTGAAGATGAGCTTTGGTGGTTTGAAGGGGTACTCAGCAGGGAAAGTGACTTGAATCCGGAAAGCTCCTTTGCTGTAGGGTTCTTTTTGCTGAAACAAGTGGTTTACGGAAGTCTGCGTAAAGTTAGGCGGCACTTCTTTTCGCTCAGAAAACCTTGAGCGTTAAATCTGATAGCCAAAAACAATATCGGATTTTTCCGCCAGAAAAAGAACCAAAATCTAGCTATATTCCATTTGAAATCAAAGCTTATTATGTGGAGAAACTTGTTCGATCAGTAAAAAGTTGCTACAAGACTGGAAACAAAGGGAATTTATCATTTTCTTATGTGTAACATCAAAAACCTCTCAAAAGCAATTTCTAATCGATTTCGGCACAAAAAAGCGGAGACGACCCAAATCATTTGAAATGGTATAAACCTTTCATTCTCATGCAATTTGCACCACTTTTCACCTAAAAACCGAGCAGAAACATCAAGAACTTACTGGTAACAACAACAAGGTCCAGTTCAAGAAATTCTGCTCATTGATCTCAACAATTTTGCAAACAGTATCTGGCAGATTCTTCAGTTCTACAACTTCCTTCTGTAGACGACGATTTGAGGCCATTTTCACCTGATCGAGCTGAAAAATTCAAGGTAAAACAAACAATTTCGAAATTATTCTTGAAAACAGATAATTTCTCGAGGAATATCAATTGTTTCTCGCAAATAAATGTGAAAGCTTTGCAAACGAACAAAATCAGAAAACTCTAGGTGTGTTTCAACTCTGGAAGTGAATCACCAAGGCAACCAAACCCGGAGAATTGTGAAATTTGGGGAAAAACTTTGTTGTTCATAAAAAGGTGACCTCTAAAGAAGAAAATCGCAAAAAACGAAGACACTTTCGATGATTCCGAGTACAAAAACATCTCTTGAAGGAAGCGGAGTATTCTTAAGAACAAAGAAATAAGAAGAATATTTCTTTGTTCTGAAGAAAATGTTGCGAAGTGTCAACAATCCAATATTTTTGTGACACTTCGCCTAAAATCGGAAAATTCGATTTGGGGAGGATAGGTTACCCCGAGGATAGGTTACCCACCGGATAGGTTACCCCAAAAAACACATAACTCGGAGGATAGGTTACCCCACCGGATAGGTTACTCCACGGATAGGTTACCCCTTACCAAAAAAAGAAAAAAATTTTTTTTGAAATGTTTTCGCATCGGGACTTGGAAAAAAACGATTTTTTGTGAAAATTGAAAAAATTTTTAAATGTTTTCGCTTCGGGAGTTTAATAAGAAGGATTTTTTGTGAAAATTGAATAAAATTTGAAATGTTTTCGCTTCGGGACTTGGAAAAAAACGATTTTTTGTGAAATTTGAATAAAATTTGGAATGTTTTCGCTTCGGGATTTGGAAAAAAACGATTTTTTGTGAAAATTGAAAAAATTTTTAAATGTTTTCGCTTCGGGAGTTTAATAAGAAGGATTTTTTGTGAAAATTGAATAAAATTTGAAATGTTTTCGCTTCGGGACCTGGAAAAAAAGGATTTTTTTGTGAAATTTGAATAAAATTTGAAATGTTTTCGAGCTGACTGAATATGAAAACCGGGTTTCTGTTACTTTACTACCTTTAGGGATTCTTTTTGAAATTTTTTCGACTTATAACACTTTTAGACGTTAATGGTGTTGTTTTGGTGCCTAGTACTGCTTAAAAAACACATTTTTAACACTTGGTACTAAATAGTACTACCTGGTACTATTTAGTACGAGGTGCAAATTTGGCCGTAAGGCGGTAATGGCGTTGGCTTGGTGCTTAGTAGAACCCAAAAACACGTTTTAACACTTGGTACTATATGGTACCAACTGGTACTGTTTTGTGAGAAGTAAAAATTTGGCCGTAAGGCAGTAATGGTGATGGTTTAGTGCTTAGTAGAGCCCAAAAACACGTGGTACTATATAGTACCAGGTGGTACCATTGGTTTTAGACAAAATTTTAGTGCTGGCGGCACCACAGTTAATATTCAGTCAGACACCCTTTTTTCTACTCCCGAAGCGAAAACATTTCAAATTCTTTTCAATTTTCACAAAAAATCTTTTTTTTCCAACTCCCGAAGCGAAAACATTTCAAAATTTTTTCAAATTTCGCAAAAAATCCTTTTTTTCAAAGTCCCGAAGCGAAAACATTTCAAAAAAAATTTTTTTCAGGTAACCTATCCTCGGGGTAACCTATCCTCCGAGGTTACCTATCCGAAACTTGGGGTAACCTATCCGGTGGGGTAACCTATCCGCTGGGGTAACCTATTTGTTAGGGGTAACCTATCCTCCGAGAACGGGAAAATTTCGACATAAAATTGCAAATCTGCTTTCAAACCGGATTTATAAGATTTATCACGCCTTTATTGCTTATAATTAATACTTCGTATAGTCAGTTTAAACTATTTACAACCAATCTTGTTGCGTGAAGTCGAAAAATTCGACGCCTTCGAGTTTATACGCGAACGGAACAACAACATCCGGAAGGAGAATGTTCCCTTTTATGTCAAAGACAGATGCGTACGTCTCCAACGGCATTCCTTGAGCTTCCACTGTCTTTAGAGCAAAAATTATGGTGTCATTCGTGTCTGAAGCATGAATAATATAAAAACGATTGTAAAATACGCCGCAGCAAATGCCTTTCGGTGTGTCTTACCAGGGACGAACTGAAAGGCACTATAGCCTCGTTCGGGCACTACGGCGCCGATTTCTATGACCTCTATTTGTGAGAAATCCTCTTCGGCAATCATGAGCACGTTGGTTGAGCGGAACCCGTCCTGAAATGGGTTGAACACCTCGTGAGACAGCCTCCGCGGCAGGAAGAACCATTTCTTGTGTAGTTTTGACCATTGGCAGCCTTCATGCGCGATATAGCCGGGGAACGTGACGTTCACAGCGTCGCGAAGAGCCATGTAGTTGTTCTTCCAATTTTGATGTTCAACATGGCCTTGAGAGTTGACTGTCTGGAAATATGGGCTGATTATGGTCTATAGCTGTTAGTCATAGCTTAGTTTTCTCTGTCACAGAGTTCAATTTTTTTGAAACACGCACTATGCAAAATAATTAAAATAATTTTTTCTTTAATTTTCGCACAGTGCAGTCAAAAAATGTCTCTAAAATACGGTCATCGCTGAGAGTAGCACATTCAGTTTAGCCATGGGGTTTCGTAAATACGTACTCTTTATTTTTATCAAGTTTTTACTGCGTTTTGAAAACCGCACAGTGCGAAAAGCGAAAATTTTCATTTCGGCACTGTGCACTCAAAAACAAGTTGTAAAATACAACATGTCAAAATCATGAAAAAAAGTTGTTTTTTCGAGAAATTTCTCGCCTTTTTACCCTGTGTTTACCTTGATCCACATTCGATTTTCATCCATAATTGTCTCATTTCTCCTCATGACCTGTTCTGTTCCATGACTTCCCACATACAGAAGATCGTCTTTCTCCGTGATCCATTCGGCTTTGAATGCTGGAAAAGTAAATGTACAATTCATAAAAGTGGGTTTCCAAACCTACACATATCACTTTCCCCATCGCCATCCGCATTTATCACCCAAGGAATGGCCTTTGTTCCGGTCATTCTGAAAAAAACATCTTGATTATTTTGTTTTCCATAAAAAGGTGGAGTAAATAGCGTCAACTGACTTGAAAAGAATTCCTGTTTTGTCGTCCGGCGCTATTAGGTATCCCTTGTAGTATTTGAGGTCCGACAGTTCCATTCCTTTGTCGGCGAACCCGTAATTGGAAGTGTAGTTGTAGACTGAGTCGTAGTTCACATGAAACTTTGAGAGCTCCTGAAAATTGAAGCCATGCATTCAGTGGTTACATATCAGTGGAGGAAATATGGGCAATATTATTTACTATCAATTCTGTGGGTAAAGTAGTGAGCACAATGTCGCTGCGCCAATCGTGTCGCTGAGGTGAAAAGCAATTTGATTTTGTCGCGAAGACAATTCATTTTCTCGACAAAAAATTGCCTGTTAGAAAGGCAATTTTTTGCGAGAGAATTCGTAAAATGAGGAGAGTGGGTGAGAAACACAAAAAACTTTTTCGATTGTAAGCACATGAAATAAATAAATTTCTATGAAAAAAATGAATTTTAAGCCTTCGGAATACCCAATTTCAACTCTTATCAGTCTGTCGAGAAAATAATGAGCACTCTGACGCATCGAGAATCGCATCGCTGCCGAGAAAATTAATTGTCTTCGCGGCAAAATCAAATTGCTTTCCACTTCAGCGACGCGAATGGGGCAGCGACTTTGCGCTCACAGTTTTCCCGACAGATTCTTAACGAGTTTTCATCCAGCGCCGCACAGCAAAAATTAAACGCATAGTTACTTACCAAATTGTAATTCAGATAGCCCCGGACCGAGGGGGCGACGTACAATCCTTTCTGAATTTTTGAGCGTTTATCTTGGTCCGAGATCATGACAAAAGGCACACTGTAGGTCCCATTACTGACAGTGGCTTGGAATGCCGGCCGACTGGTGGTCGGCAATGCGGCCCAAGCATCGGCGAGCTGTTTCTCGGAGTACAGGATGATAATGACCAGGGTCACTATGATCATTGTGAGGCCGAGAGCAACTGAAAATAAAATGCGAGTTTTACTGCTGTCTGGTGATGCAGGCGGTTGATATTGGTGAGAATTATGTATTATATCAGTCTGTCGGGAAAATAATGAGCACAATGTCGCTGCGCCGATCGCGTCGCTGAAGTGAAAAGCGATTTGATTTTGCCGCGAAAACACTTCATTTTCTCGGCGGCGATGCGATTTTCCATGCAACAGCACGTTCATTATTTTCCCGACAGATTGATACATTCAAACATATGTGCCACGGTTTACAAGGGACCGAAAAATTTTTTGTTGTTGTAGAGGGGTGTCGTTCTACGGAGGTTTTGGCTTAAAAATTGACTTTTGGAATTTCTGACACCGTTTATTATAGGCAGGTTTTGCCGTAGGGGAGTTTGTTGAACAAAAGTTTTATCATCAGTCTGTCGGGAAAATAATGTGGATTTGTCGCGGCAAAATTTCCCGCCTCGTCGAGACAAACCTCCAAAATCCGCGGCTAGCCGTCGCAAAGCGATGATGGGCGATTCCAAATGCGCGACGAATCCACATTATTTTCCCGACAGACTTATTTATATTTTCTATAGTGTTGAACGCTACAGAGTAACAGGATTTGCAGCAAAAACAGATGTTTTTTGTTTTGACAGCGGTCGAAGGCTCAGCGATAAATAAAATAACACGCTGTAATCCAATGTTTTCAGCGACGTAAACAAAAAAATGTCTGCAAAAACTGTTGCTCTGCGGTTTCTGTTGGGGTCAAAATGTCAGCTCAAGTAAAAGTTACCTCAAGTAAACGGCGAAAAAAGTTGCGAACAAATAAAAGGTCGGCCTTCACGCTGCTTTCTTTGCCTCTTTTTTTGAGCGTTCGAAATACACGTCAGCCTTGTGCGGAATAAAAAAAAGCTCGGCACTTGTAAGCAATCTTATCTTTATGCTTTCAGGATACCGTTAAATGCGATTTTTTGCAAATTATTATATTTTAACAATCTTAAAAGTGTCTCGGGGAAATAATGAGCGCTCTGTCGCTGCGCCGATCGCGTCGCTGAAGTGAAAAGCAATTTGATTTTGCCGCGAAAACAATTCATTTTCTCAACGCGTTGCGATGCGATTTGCGACGCCACACGTCAAAACAATTCTTTCAGAAAATTGAAAAAAACAAGGAATCTCGGATCATTGATTTTTTGCGAAGTTCCACAGAATTATCGAGCTTGAACAATTACTTTCCTCTTCGAAAAAACATTTTTCTCGAAGTTCTCTGAGAAAGTTTTCTTTTGTGACTCGATAATTCAGCGAGATTTCGTCAAAAATCAATGGTCCGGGGCTCCTTGTTTTTTCACTTTTTCTTTGACGTGCGCCACAGAGTGCTCATCGTTTTCCCGACAGAGTTCATAACTTGCAAAAAATCTGGTATGTAATAAATACGAGACCATTTCACACAGTAAACAAAGCGTGCTGAGCCGCAATGCTCCGCAAGGTAAACAAAAATGACGGAAGCGTCTTCTGAATTTCTTAGCGATTGTTTCGCTTTGTTCTCTTGGGTCATAAAAGGCGTTCAAAAATTACAAAACGAATATTTTCAATTTTACAAATCAGGAACAAACAATGGATCCTCTAAACGTTTTGTCAAAAAAATCGGGTGAAAAGCTGTTCTTGATTTTTTTTTTTTGTGAAATACACCAAAAAAATGTTCTGGCCTGAATTTTGGCAGTGTTAAAAAAGTTTCGCCCGAAATTTTTTATTTGTCTGTCGGGAAAATAATGTGGATTCATCACGCATTGAAATCGCTTATCATCGCTTTGCGACGGCTACCGCGGCTGGAGATGAAAATTTCCCAACGAGACGAGATATTTCGCTGCGACAAATCCACAGTAGTTTCCCGACAGACTGATATTGAGACCTCTATACAACAAACTTTCGTACGACGAAACCCGCCTATAATAAATGGTGTCAGGAATCCTTAGAACCAATTTTTAGAGATTTGGTGCTAAAAATTCCGATTTTTAGGGCTGCGACGTGAATATAGCGGTAAAAAATGTGGAAGTCACCAAAAAAGTTTCGTTTAAACCTAATTTCGATCACCCATACGCCTCATGGAAGGTTTTCTTTTTGGTGACATCGACCAGTCGGGAAAATAATGTGGATTCGTCGCGCCTTGGAATCGCCCATCATCGCTTTGCGACGGTTTTCCGCGGCTTGCGATTTGAGCTGCGGCAAGGCGAAACTTTTTCTATGACAAACACACATTATTTTCCCGACAGACTGATATCCAGAAACATTGCGCTCATACTGGCAAACAATATTTATGATAGGCGATTCGAAAGCACACCTGCGGTGTTATAAATACGTGGCTTTATTTTATTATTCATTCGTATCAAAGCAAAAATTCAAAATGTTTGAAAACTTACCACCCAAAAACAACGTCAAATACTTGTTCTGCATCTTTGCTCTCGGCGAACACGGGTTCCACAAATCGTTGAGACTTTGAAGCCTTCCACCCAATGATTACCACTTCAATGTCACATAAATCAAAGGCGAGCAGTGGCATTCGTCGAGTTATAACATCAAAGCGGACATGACACTGATAATGACTTCTTGAATGGCCTAAAGGATGCGATAATATTGAAGTGTTTTTACAATTATAACGTGGTTGAGTGAAAGTGGAAAATTAAATTTTTCCGTGGGAAAAGTGCAAAAAACAAAGTCGCGAGTACTTGAAAGCCAAACAAGAATTATGTTACGCAAAAGATTAAGAGTATAAAATTTGGCAAGCAAAGTGTTCAAACAATTTTTTCTACAGACTTTCAACGCCTGCCAGGTTTGCGCCGAGTCACCAAATATGTATAAAACAGTTTGTGAAATTAGGATAATCGAGGGTGCTGATTTCGAAAATGACATTAATTTTTTTGATAGTTACTTTTTTTCTTTACTTAAAAGTAGCACTGTAAAGCAGTAATTTTTTGAATTTTTCTCATGAATACCCGATTTGGGGGTTTTCGGTGGTGCTGCTTTGAAATCAGAAGATTGTGAAAATGAATGTCATTTTCGAAATCAGCACCATCGAAAACCCCTAAATCGGGTATTTATAAAAAAAAGTCAAAAAATTACTAGCTTACAGTACTACTTAAGGATAAAAGTAACTATCAAAAAAATGAATGTCATTTTCGAAATCAGCACCATCGAAAACCCCTAAATCGAGTATTTATAAAAAAAAGTCAAAAAATTACTACCTTACAGTACTACTTAAGGATAAAAGTAACTATCGAAAACATGAATGTCATTTTCGAAATAAGCACCCTCGATTATCCCAATTTTACACTTGCATCGAAGAAAAATAATAATTTTCGGTTTCGCCAAAGCAAAAAGGTCAACATAGCATCGATACGACGCGTAGGGCAGGTGAATACCCAAAAAAGGTTGTAAGAAGTGCCTACGTGGCTTGGCAAAGCCGTTGGATGCTCGGCGAACGCTTGGCGGAGACTTGGCGGTGACCTACAGTATGACGGTCCTTCGGATTCTGGCTATTGCTGGCATTAATTTTCCACCCAACTACGCCCCTGCCTAAGCTGTCATTATGTATACCACAGTATGCTCCAAAAACGGAGGTCATACCTAGATATTATGGTGTGGAAGCATTACTTTCCACGTTAGAAATAGAGACGAAACATGTCAAAATTCTCAAAAATTGCCACATTTTTGCCATCTTTTGATGTGAAAACTTGATTTTTTCGGTAAACTGGGAGCTTCGAGTCTAGCATATGTCTTTGAAAAGCTTTTTCTAAATTTGTAACAAGTTTCATAAAAATCTGAGAGTCGCAATTTGAGCACTCCCCCTATGAAAAAATATCATTTTTTGGTCGATAACTGCAAATGGTCCCTCCCAAAAAATGTGATAAGTAAGAATAAAGATTTTCAAAAACAAACTGCAAAAATATCCAATAATCAAAATGGAAATCACCCCCGTTTTCCCATGCACAAACCCCACAAAATATAACATTATTTTTCGAACCGATCACTCACGATTTTTTTATATTTATATCCCAGCCAGACCTCAAAACGTTCCGCTAAAGCCCTCCCGCTGTTCGAGAAGATCGGAAAAAAGTTTTGTGCGGATTTTATCAGGAAAGAAGGCGTTTCAAACCCTGTTCAATTTTTCGAATTTACGTTTTTTTGTTTGCCCGGATTTTGCGCAAATATGGGAGGAAAGAAGCATGTCTGCATCGAAAAGCAGCTATATTTACCGAGTAGACGTGTACGGCAGTCGTCTGTGCCCAATGCCAAAATATATTGTGGTTTGGGGGAAGATGGTTTTTTCGGGGAAAGAGATATGTAATTACATGTAATTTTGTTTTGTAATGGCAGCTGAGAAAACAAAATTTGATGGCTGGCAGTCAACAGTAACGTGTCGGCCAAAACATGAACCTTTCGGAGCTACGACTTTTTGGGTCCGCGACAGTTCGGGTCAACGATACTACGCAAGGCGTCGGTTCGTCGTTGTATTCATGGAGGAGCTAGTAGAAGGCTCAGTTAGTAGCAATCACAAGATTGATCGGGTCTTAAGATAACTTATCAACTAAATATTTTGAGGTATTTTGCATGTACTCACATTAATAATCTTTAGAGAAAAGTTACGGATTTTCCATTTTTTGCTCCAAATTTTGTAGTTTATATGTTACAATTACCCAGGGTAAAGAAAACTAACGTTATTAATAGTCAGAATTAGAAAAGTGGAAATATCAGAGCTCTTCGCCAGGTCTCCGCCGAGATAATTCCGATCTTTTATATGTTACAGTAGCTCAAGGTCAAGAAAACTAAGGTTACCAATAGCTAAAACTGGAAAAAATGGTCGTATTGTAAGCCTTTGCCTTGCGTCCGCCAAGCCTTCGCCGAGCGTCCGCCGACTATCCAACGGCTTTGCCAGGCCTCGTAGGCACTTCCTACAACGCTTCTTTGAGTATACACCTGCCCTACGCCCCGTATCGATCGATTTTGTGTCGGCCCGAACAGCCTATCAGTCTGTCCGGAAAGTAATGAGCACTCTGCCGCATCGAAAATCGCATCGCTGCCGAGAAAATTGTGAGGCGGAACGACCGAGCTTCGAAGATTTTCCCACGAGGAACGATCTGCATTTATTAAAATTTGATTGTACTCTCCTACGTGGGGCTTCCCTATAAAAGGCCTCCTCTCCACTGAATAAATCACATGCCTCTTGGGCTCTCGTCTTGTCTCGTTACTGGGTTGTCGGGCCTCTCAAAAAAAAAAAATGAGTTGTCTTCGCGACAAAATCAGGTTGCTTTTAGCAACACGATCAGTCCACTGACATTGTGCTCATTATTTTTCCGACAGCCTACATATTCAAAGCTCAATCTACGGGCGGAATGGTTTAAAAATAAGATCAGAAAATTGAAGAAAAGGACATTTTTACAAGTAAACACCTGTATTGCACGTTTTAAGATTATATTTTTTGTCGGAATATAATAGTTACTCCGCTCTAGGAACATAACCCAATTAGTCTCCAAGTTCAGTTTTTAAACACTTTATTTTATCAGCACCAAAACTAATTATTAGTAACGTCACATATGTTGATGGCTTCGGAAAAAACAAAATATTGAATAAAATATTACTTTCATATGGTTATAATATTAGTTTGAGGCATTTTCGTGGCGAATTTTTGCAGTCAAGCCTGTGTGCAACGAATCGTAAGGGAGCGAAAAAAATGGTTCGTTATAGAAGGCTTTTGTTGTGCAGAGTTTTGTTTTGGCCTAAAATTGGCCCTTGACACCTCCGAAATTGTTTGTTATAGACATGTTTTGTTGTATGGGGGTTTGTTGTACAGAGACTTACAGTAATCAAATCTTCGGAAATCTCAAAAAAATAAAAAAAAAAATCGAAAATTTTCGAAAAATTCAAAAAAATAAAAAAAAATTGAAAATTTTCGAAAATTTCAAAAAAATTTAAAAAAATCGAAAATTTGAAAAAAATTTCAAAAATTTTCATAAATTTAAAAAAAAAAAAATTCGAAAATTTTCTCATCGCGGACTCGGCGTTGCCGGAGGGCTTGGGTCGGGCCGCTCCAGTTGAATTCGGCCGCCCACCGCCGTCACAAGCACCTTGGCGTTCCCTTCCACAACTTGAGTGCCCGCGAACAGCAATGGGTCCTGATCGCGCGACTTTCGCAACACAATCTGTTTGTCCAAATGCTTGTTCAGGTTGGTCTCGTCGACACGCAGGTCCCACGCCTGCAGCAGGACCCCGTCCACGGGCAAGCGATCCCCTGAAGCGGCAAACATGTTCAATTACGAGTTCGAAAAATTTCGTGAAGTGGAATTGAGGGAAAAGAAAGACTAAACAAATGAGTTTTTTGATCGCAATGAACGAGCAAATATTAGGGTTGAGGTTATAAAGTTGATTTGTTGATTTAACCTTTTAATTTCTTGATGTTTATAAATCAAAAATAACCAAATCAAAGACTGAAGTTTCAGGGTTTCACAAAGTTATGGTCTTCAATATTAAATTGGCTAACAATAAGACAAGGCCAAATTACAAAAAAAAAATTTTTTTTTGCAAAATTAAAAAAAAAATTTGCCTCGGGCAAAATAAAAATCTCGAGCTCGAAATCTCTGCCGGTAAAAAGTGGGCCCAGCCAGATGAAAATACGGCATCCCTCCGGATATAGGTTGGCTTTTTAGAGCTGAAAAACCGGCTCGCGTCGGCCTTGTTGCAACTTGCAAGCCTTCAAAATTTTCTTTCGCCATATCAACATTTGAATTGAGAAACATCGTTTCAACAAGCCTTGCAACGCCTACCAGTCTGTCGGGGAAATAATTAGCCTAATGTCACCGCGCCGATCGTGTCGCTGAAATGAAAAGCAACTTTACTTTGCCGCAACACAATTCATTTCCTCGGCGGCGATGCAATTTTCAATGCCACAGAATGCACATTATTTTCCCGACAGACTGGTATTCGAAAAATTAACTGCACATCACCTACCTTTCCCGATTTCCATTACATCTCCACACACGAGCTCTTGAGCATCCACCTTCGTCTGTTTCCCATTCCGAATACATTGGCATTGACTGGAAAACAATTCTGCCCATGATTTTTTCTTGGCCGATTCGTCGATTACGTATTGTTTTCGGAGTTTTTGAAACCGCACAAAGGCTCCAACAAACACAACAACAGCCGCAAAAATAACAACCAGAGTGGCGGCCTCGGCCGCTCGAACCATCCTCCGGTTATTGACGAAGTAGGAAGAGCAGGCTGCTGTTGATCCGATAGCCGCCATGCCGAGGATGATTGGTCGGAGGGACTGTAGGGAAAAGGTAATTGAGTATTAGCTTAGAATGCATGGAACACAAGACAAAGGAGCGCCTCAATGCAACGCTTAAGCTCGTCGTAGAACGAGATTTGTGTTTTTGTTATAGATATCAGTCTGTCGGGAAAATAATAAAATATTTTTCGCGAGATTGACACATACGCCTATAGACATGTGTGCACGTTGCGAAGACTTTCGGAGAGGTATTAGTCTATCAAGAAAATAATGAACACTCTGTCGCGTAGAAAATGGCATCGCCGCCGAAAAAATGAATTGTCTTCGCGGCAAAATCAAAATGATTTTCGTTTCAGCATGTCAGAATTATACTCGTTGACAAAATTTCCTTTCCACCTTGTATCTCGGGAACCGCTGGGCCTACAACCTCTTAATTCGGCATAGAAACGTCCTGGGACAACCTAACACCATACTCAAAAAATCATATCATTTGATGCACTTTCAGCGCACTTTTTACTCCAAGAGGCAAAAAGCGGAATGACATTTTCGACTTACACCGCGACATTGTGCTCATTATTTTCCCGACAGACTGACACGCTATTAGCTTTGGATTTACTCCTCGAAAAATTACATCGAACATCTTGGGGATGGCAAAAAAATTTTGATATTCAAAATTTTGTAGGCCCTCGAGAAAAACTTTATATGCAACCTTTGAATTTTTGCAAACCTTTACGGTTTCAGGGACGTTTAATTTTCTCACCAAATCTTTTGTCAGGGACATTTAATTTACTCACCAAAGCCGTCTCTTTCAACGCTTGTCCAAATTCCGGGGCATTTCCTGCGGGCAATCTATTTTTCCCATAAAGTTCCTGTCGTTTCAATAATTCGCATTCATTTGATAGAATGCCTTGAAAAGGATCAGTCCTGAGCTTTCGGCAGAGCCCCGAGATCCCTCCAAATTCAGTGTCGATATGTGTTTTGGCTTCAACTCCGCGCAGACTCATCAAATCGACCAGCTCTTCGGCTGAGACTTCGTAGTCGCCTGAGGAACGGGGAGAGCCGCTGAAAAAAGGGGAAATTGGGAGGTTACAATTTTTGATTAGAACTTCTCCAAGTGCGGTGTGACAACTCACTTTCCGCTGGCCATGTTCCCACTTTTACTTGGTTCTGGATTCTCAGGGGGGCTAAAATTGGTTGTAATTATGTAAGCAGTAACTAGATGCAAAATTTATTACAAAGCCCGGTAAAAATTCTTTCAATTATCTTGAAGATAAAAATAAATTTCTAGGGGAGATTTGGCGAGGAAACTTTGTAAAATATCAACGTAAAGAATAGTAAAAAAAATTTTAACCACCAAAGAATGCAAAAACAATACGCTTTAACCTTTTCATACAACAAAACCTGTCTATAACAAACAATTTTTAAGATCTCAAAAATGAATTTTTTATCGGAATAAGCCTCCGAACAACAAAAACCCTTCTAAAACAAACAATTTCTTGGGTGTTCAGCGATTTGTTGTACAGAAATTTCGCTGTAATACCCTGAATTCTATCAGCAATCTACTGTACGAATATATCAGTCGGTCGGAAAAATAATGTGGATTTGTCACAGGGATGACAAAACTAAATGTTTCGCCTGGTCGCAGTCCAAATCTTCGGCTATGAGAAGAGGTCGCCAAGCGATGACAAGACGCGACGAATCCACATTATTTTCCCGACAGACTGATATAAAACCCTTTCTCCATGTTCTTAAAATACCCTGGGAAGGGTGTCTTACATTTTTATTATGTGGTTGTCGGGAAAATAATGGGTATTTTTGGGGCAAAACCGTCAGCAGCGGCTTCGCCGTCGCAAAGCGATGACGCGATGACAAGACCCGACAAATCCACATTATTTTCCCGACAAACTGATATAAAACGCTTTCCTCCATATTCTTAGAACACTCTTAAAAAATACGCTTACATTTTTATTATGTGTTTGTCGGGAAAATAATGTGTATTTGTCGCAGTAAAATGTCTCGGAGTAGCACGCCAAATCTCTAGATTTGTTTGGGAGTTCGCTGTACAGGTGCTTTTTTATCGCTCTGTCGGGAAAATAATGTGTATATTTTGTGTCAAAATCGTCACCCGCGGCTGGCCGTCGCAACGCGGCGAGGCGATTTCAAGGCGCGCCAAATCCACATTATTTTCCCGACAAACTAATATCATCAAAAATCCTCATGCCTGAGGCATACGTACAAAATCTTAGTCGGGTTGAACCCATAAACCCACTTGAGAGCTCGTCAAATTGTTTTTTATTTTATTTCCTCCTCCATGACCCAAAAAAACCCCCCATTTGCCGAAAACTCGGATGGCCCGAAGACTTATGGGGACAAGATGAGCGAAAAGAATGAGGGGAGAAGAAGGGAGGAGCGCGGAAATCCAATCGCATAAAACGAAAGAAAAGAGTGCCCTCGGTCTTTTGGGCCGCGCTCTCGGGCCGCGCTCCAGTTTCTTCTCCACTTTTTTTGATGATCTTTCTTGGAGCGACATTGAATATTCAAGCGTAGGGTTTGTTAAACTGGTATTCTATGTATTTTTTGAGTTTGTCTGGGAGTTTTTGACAAGGAAAGTACTTTTATGGGGGCTCCTACTTTTTGACGGGACATATCTCAAAAAATCAGGAAAAATTCAAGGATATATAAATCTTAGCTGCCCATTTTAGGTTTTTAGGGGTGAAAACTCAATCGGAAGTTGACTTAAAGTCCTATATGAACCCCTTTTCGCCTAATTTTTCACGGGTTTACAATTTTTGTTTTGGCTTAAAATGATGTTTATTGAGTTTCTAAGGCGTAAAGAATCAGTCTTGGCCCAAAAATTTATTTTTCCGACCTTCAACTTCAAAAAACGTTGGTTCAGCCCAAAAGGGAAATCGAACCCGTGCGGCGTCCACCCTCTTGATTCCCAGACTACGGCACTAACCACTCGGCCACACCGCTCTCTTCCGAAGGAAGAGACCGACTGCGCTTTTGTTTCGAATCCCTGCGCCTTTTGTAGGGAAATAAAGCCAGTTTTTGGGCATTTTCACCCATAAAAACCCAAAATGGGCAGCTAAGATTTATATATCCTTGATCAGCACATTTTTTCTGATTTTTTGAGGTATGTCCCGTCAAAAAGTAGGAGCCCCCATAAAAGTACTTTCCTTGTCAGATAAAAAAGATAAAAAATAGTATTTTTTTGGTCAAGCGAGGCCAGAAACATCCAAAATTCCTTAATTATGCGTTATTAACATTAGTATTTTCATAAAGTGCCTGGAAATTTTTTCACTTTCGCACGGTTTATCTCGAATTTTTTCCCATGCTTGCCCGTACTACTTTGCATCCGGGAGGCATCAAAAATGCAGCAAAATACCTCCCTCTCCAACTACAAAAAAACTCCATTTCGAAGAGCCACTACAAAAAAAACGAGTGCGCCTTTGAAATCGGAGTTTTTTCATTTGGAAAAGGAGGTATTTTGATGGATTTTTGATACTTCCCGGATGCAAAATGATACGTTTTTTGCCACTTGATGAGATCCGCCACTGTAGAAGAACCACGGAGATTCTGCGGCCATGTTTGGAAATCAGAGAGCATTTGCTTACAAGAGGAAATTCAAACGATGAATTTGGAAGTTATTATATAATATAATATGTTGCGAATTAAGCTTCCTGGTGTATAAATGGCTTGAATACCAGCGATATTGGACTTGCACGACGAGATGTATTTTTGAATAAAAAAAAGTAAAAAAAAATAATAAAATAAATTTGTAAAGTTTAAATAAAAAAAAAAAAAAATAAAAAAATAGTAAAATAAATGTATAAATTTCGAAAAAACAAAGGGTATAAAAACTACCAAAGTCAAAAGAAATTGAAAAATGAAAATCCCATTTTCACTGTAAAAAATGATAAATCAAGCTTCAAGGCCTCTCGGAAAATTTTTTTTACAACTACCCTTCAAAAGAAACGCTAGATTACAATTCCAATCATTTTTCGCCTGTTTTTCTCAGCTTTCATTGATTACTCAAAAAAAAGTTTTATTCGATTAATCAAAAGCATATGGACAGGCGGTTAGAAAATGAAGTCTAAAAAAGCACTATGGCCGGAAAATAAGAAAAATTAAGTCTTGTTTTTGGCGCTACGACATTTCGGGTCAGGGACAACTCGGGTCGCGACAACTCGGGTCAACGACAACTCGGGTCAACGACACTTCGGGTCAACGACACCTCGGGTCAACGACAATTCGGGTCAACGATACCGTTTAATATTTTCGCTTCGGGACTGGAAAAAAAGAATTTTTTGGTGAATTTGAGAAATTTTTGAAATATTTTCGCTTCGGGACTTGGAAAAAAGAATTTTTTGAAGAATTTGAACAAAAATTTTTAAATGTTTTCGCTTTGGAACTTGGGAAAAAGAATTTTTTGAGAGTTTGAACAAATTTTTGAAATGTTTTCGCTTCAAGAACTGGGGAAAGAAATTTTTGCAGAATTGAGGTTTATTTTTAAAAAAATTTTCGGAAAATAGTGTATAAGCGACGAGTAAATAAGAAAATCGTATCCATTGTCTATGTTTTTAACTGGAAGCACGGGATTTAAGCGCAGACAGTGCCAGAGAGTGGAGTAAGAAGATAGTCGTAATGATTGTATGCACATAACGATTTTCTTATTTGCTCCTCGCTTATAAACACTATTTTCCCAAAAAATTTTTAAAATAAACCTCAATTACCTCTAAAATAACTATTTATCTAAAAAATTAAAGAAATAACATTCGTACCTTATTTAAAATAAAATTGTAACATTCAGAACAAAAAATCCTTTTCCCAATTTCCGAAGCGAAAAATTTTCAAAAATTTGTTGAAACTTTCCAAAAAATTCTTTTTTCCAAGTCCCGAAGCGAAAACATTTCAAAAATTTTTTAAACTTACCAAAAAATTCTTTTTTCCAAGTCCCGAAGCGAAAACATTTCAAAAATTTGTTGAAACTCTCCAAAAAATTCTTTTTTCCAAGTCCCGAAGCGAAAATATTTCAAAAATTTCTCAAATTCACCAAAAAATTCTTTTTTCCAGTCCCGAAGCGAAAATATTAAACGGTATCGTTGACCCGAAATGTCGTTGACCCGAGGTGTCGTTGACCCGAAGTGTCGTTGACCCGAGTTGTCGTTGACCCGAGTTGTCGCGACCCGAGTTGTCGTTGACCCGAGTTGTCGTTGACCCGAGTTGTCGCGACCCGAGTTGTCCCTGACCCGAAATGTCGGGACGCGTTGTTTTTTATTCGAAATAAAAAAATTCAAAAAAAATATTAAAAAAATTGAAAAAAACGATGAGTTTGGGTCTAAAAGTCCTAGTAAAGAAAATATCTAACCCGCCTGGACCTCCAATAACTCCCGAAATAATTAAGCCGCGATCTCATTAGGCCGCCGTTCGCGCACTTGAACCTCAAGACCGGAAATTAAAAGGACTGGGGTCGAAATCGCGGAAGAACAGAAGTCTTTATTGCAAGACAGAACGCTGACTGACAGATGGACAAGAAAAAACATGGTTTTTTGAGGTGATAAGCCGTCAATTCTACGGCTTATCGGTGTTTTATTGCAAACAGAAATCTTGATTTGCAAAAATATTGGACTATAAGGTCAAATAAAGCGAAATGTAGTCGTTTTCTTGAAAGGAAAATTATAAAAAAACAGTTGATTTTTCATCTCTTTGCAAAGAAGGAAAAAAAAAATTTGTAAATTCCTGTCAGTTTGTCGGGAAAATAATGAACACTTTGTTGCACTGAAAATCCCATCGCCGCCGGGAAAATGAATTGTCTTCGCGTCAAAATCAAATTGCTCTTCACTTTAGCGATGCGATCGGCGCAGCGACATTGTGCTCATAATTTTCCCGACAGACTGACATACAGCTTATTTGAAGTACATACGGTGTGTATACGGTCAAGCCTGTGTACAGCGAATCGCAGAGGCAAACAGTTTTTAGATGGACTTTGTTGTAGGAAGGCCTATTTCGGTCAAAAATTGACTTACAGAATCTTTAAAATTCCTCGTTATAGACAAGTTTTGTTGAACGTTTAGAAAACACATTGAGGTCTCTACAACGCAACTTCTCTATAACAAACAAAATCGGAGGTCTCAAGAATCAATTTTAGGCCAAAATGGACCTCCGTAAAACGAAGAGCTTGCTATAACGCATCAATTTGTCGGGGAAATAATGTGGATTTGTTATAGAAAATTTCGCTTTGCCGCAGAGCAAGTCGCATGCCGCGGAAAGCCGTCGCAAACCGATGATGGGCGATTCCAAGGCGCGACTAATTCACATTATTTTCCCGACAGGTCAATGTCACCAAAAATAAAACGATGCCTGAGGCGTGTGGGTAAATGAAACCACGTTTAAACAAAAAAATTTTTGGTGACTTGCACCTTTTTTTACCGTCATATTCGCGTCGTACTCCGGGAAGAGCCCTAGAAAAGTGAAAATTTATGCAAAACTTGCAGCAAACCCCTCTGTAAAAATTCCATTTTCCCGTTTTCGGCAAACGAACTTACCCCAAAAACTCCCACTCCCTTTCTCCTCAACAACCCCATAAAAGGGTCTTTAAAGCCCCCAACGAAGAACGTTTCAATTCCCTCGGAATTGCGGCAAAGTCATTGTTATGCCGGCGGAAAACGAGCCGTCGAAATGACAATCAATCTCCCGCCGCTCTCCCGGTGGGATGCGCGGACCGAGTGGGTGGAGAATCTTTTGGCAAAAACAACGAAAACGGCGAGCGGCTACGGGCCGATGGGAGGAAAGGCAACAGCCGGGGATTAACATAAACAAATGTGCTGAGAGAATCGGCGGAAATCCGAGGAGAAAAGGGGATTTTTCGGAAGGAAAATTGAATCGTGTTGGAGTGGGAGGACGTTAAAAAATCGTCGTACAACGAACGGCCAAACTAACAAGGGAAGTAGTTATAGCGCTCCGATTTGCTTAAAATTTTGTACGCATTGCACTTTGGTGAATACTAGTCCGTTCGCAAAGTCATCAGTCTGTCGCGAAAATAATTTGTATTTGTGACAGGAAAATGTCTCTCCTTTCTCGCAGTCACATACCAAAAATCCAGCCGAAGATTTTGAAGAGTGCTTGCGGACGAAGGAGCCAAAAAAAAAGCACTGATAAGGGTTGCATTGGCTTCAACTTGTGCTCAGTAGAACCGTGAGGCATTTGTACCACCGCCGAGTCCCGAAGCGATCTGATTGGTGGCGTTGGCATCCCGTCGCAAGCCGCCGAAACGTGAATAATGGGGACAAATTGGTTAATTAGATGGATTCCGCACGTAGGAAGCAGCCGAGAAGTGTCGAGGACCGCTCGAGCTAGCGGATTCGCCTGCGATTGGATATCTGATACGTTTTCATTTGATGGTATTGTACTCAGGTTGAGCCGGATAAATTGTGTGTTTTATTGTTGGGAGTTGTTGTTTGGCTGGGTGTTTTAGGAATAAGTCGTGGGAAGTTTCCTTGACTATTCCGGCTGAAACGATGTCCGAACCAGAGAGTGAGAAACCGGGATTTTCAGTAGTGCTCGGTGCAGTCCCAGAATCTTAAGCCAAAGAACCCCAGGAAAACACGAATACTGTTGGGATCACAACCAATTTCCCAAGAAATGTGCATACGCGCAGGACTATAAATACTACCGTTTGATCCCAAAATCCCTCATTCATTCTGTCTCTCGCTTGATTGGTCGGGTGGTGTTATTATGCGTTGTGTTTCAATAAACTCTTTTCTAATTCGCGTCTATTCCTCAAAGCGATGGTCAGCGGTCTCCTTCTCGTTTTTAAGTGCATCAAGACCTTGTAATACTCATTCGATGGAGTAGTTGGGCAGCCAATGCCAAGCCATGCTCAACTACGGTCACTTGGAGGAGATGTGAGGCGGAACGACCGAGCTTCGAGGATTACCCCGTAGAAGGGCCTCATTTCCACTGAATAAATCACTTGACTCTTGAGCTCTCGCCTTGGACAGTTACTGGGTTGTCGGCGCTTTCGAGAGAGCTCATCGGGAAACCCTGATTTTTTCGTTAACGCGCGATAATGCGTCCAGACGCTTTTCTTGACAAACCTTTGGAGCACTCTCGCACAATCTACAAACCTCCGAAACTTCACGATTCTCCGGCCGAAAGAAGTTTATGCTTTCTAGTTTGGAGTGACGACTAAACTTTCGGCGTTAAAACGTGACCTTCTCGATATAACCCCAATTTCATTCACCAACTTGTTGACAAATGTGGTCACAAACAAAGTCAAGGTGTGTTCTTAAAGTCGCAAGAATCAAGAGTTGTTTGTTGTGAGAGGCTTATTGGCTTCATTTGAAAGACCACTTCGATGAAAGCTTTCTTTATTTTTTTAATTTGTAAAGCATTTATATGAAGTTTCTTCAAATTCTGAGCGTCGAATTTTGAGCACTTCCACTGTAAGTAATTTTTTCTTTCAGCGATTCAAAAATGCCCCAGTACGAACTCGTTTATTTCGAATTCCGTGGCCGTGCTGAAGCCATACGGCTGGCCTTGAACTACGCTAAGATCCCATTCACTGATACTCGGCTAACCAGACAGGAGTTCGAAAAAATCAAAGGCGAAAAGAATCGTAAGTAAATCCCTCGATATTTGAGTTCGTTTTGAAGGCTTTCCCTACGGCCAAGTTCCAGTCTTGTTCTTCGACGGAAAGCGGATTGCTCAGAGCCATTCCATTATCCGATATCTCGCTGCGGAAGCCGGACTTGCCGGCAGAGATCGTGTGGAAGCCGCCGAGATCGATGAAATTTATGAGACATGCCGAGAACTGTTTGATGCTCTGACTCCGTATTTGAGGACCTATATTGGTCGGATTCCCGGTGACATAGTAAGCTCTAGAGTAAAAAAGAAAGATATCAGCCTGTCGGGAAAGTAATGTGGATCCGGCGCGCCTTGGAATCGCCTATGATCGTTTTGCGAGGGCTAGCCGCGGCTGGAGATTTGGACGATTTGGAGTGGTTGTGCGACGAGGCGAGACATTTTCTGCGACAAATCCACATTATTTTCCCGACAGACTGATAAGTGAAAAGTCACTACGGCAAAACTTCCTTTTTCTGGCCCCAGCGAAAAGATGGTTTTGCAGCTTGCGCCCGAACAATCCTGGTTGCAAGGAATATCAGGCATAGGCAGGTTAGGCTTAGTTTAGGCTTAGCCTCAGGTTTAGTTTAGCGCTTAGGCTGTTTCCTATTTTTATTCGCAATCTGCAAGGAAGCCAGGGCGCAAGCTGCGAAGCTCGGGGCCAGAAAAAGGAAGTTTTACCGTCACTAAGCTTTTTTCCAAGTTGTGTAGGATTTTTTGTCGAGAGGCCTTCCGTATCGTTTTCAGTATGTCGGGAAAATAATGTGGATGCCTTGAAATCGCCCATCATCGCATTACGACGGGAGCCACGGCTGCAGATTTAGAGCGTTGACATTTCGCTGCGACAAATCCACATTATTTTCCCGACAGACAAATACTGTTTTATTTCCAGAAAGCACTCTATAAAGACCTTCTTGTCCCGACCGTTGACAAGTACTTGCCGATAATTCAAGACTTCATTGGGCAAAATGGATTTTTCCATCAAAGCGGGATCAGCTACGCCGACTTTTATTTTGTCAATTACTTTGACATCTTCAACAGAATGCATCCGGAAGTCTTCAAGAGATTTGGCAAGCTTTTGGAGCACACTCAGAGGATCTATGCGCTTCCAGAGCTGCAGGATTACCTGGCCAAGAGAAGAGATCATACTTTTTGATTTTTTTTATTTATTGAGCTTATTTCTTTCATGCTTTGCAAATAAAAAATTTGACTTTGTCTACCAGGGCCTCACGTGATAAGCTGAGTGCGCTTTTTGAATTGTGTCTCAGTCTGTCGGGAAAATAGTGAACATATGTGCACGGTGCGGGGCGCGACAAATGTCCGTGCACTTTATGAAAATATTGATATCAGTCTGTCGGGAAAATAATGCGCACTCTGTCGCATCTATAGTTGTCGCCGAGAAAATCAATTGTATCGCGATAAAATCAAATTGTTCTTCACTTCAGCAACGCGATCGGCGAGCGTTATTGAGCTCATTATTTTCCCGACAGACTGATAAAAAGTCTCACGCATATTTCTATCGTAAGGTACAATGTTTCCAAAAAAACCTCGATTTTTTCCGCACAGAACTACCAAGGCTATCGCCAAAAAGTGTCTTTCTCCCGGATTGCTCTCAAAGTTTTGCGTACTCTCTCGTCCGAAAAGATCGTTCAATATGGCGTCTGTAAAGCGCAAGCTAAAATTTTCGGAAATTGATATGTTTTCTATGCCTGTTTAATAAAAACCTGAACGTCGTGACAGGCTTCATTTTTTACAGCGTCAAAATTTCACGATTTTTTAATTTTTTTTTTCAAAAAATCTCAAAATTTCTCTGCAAATCTGGAGGTGCAAAATCTCCATATATAATGCGAAAATGTCTCAAGTTTCGTCAAATTTTTATTTCGTTACTCCTTTGAACATTTATCAAAGACTTCTTGCATTGATTAGAAAGAATGTTCGGGTCTCTTGGCCAAATACTCTTGAAGCTCAGGGAGTTGGTGAATCCGTTTTATGTGCTCCAAGATTTTCGGGAACTTCTCGAAATCAGCTGGGTGCATCCTGACAAAAGCCTCAATGCTGTCGGCAAAGTAAAAGTCGGTGTAGGTCACGCCGCTTGGATGGAAGAAGCCGTTCTCCCCGATCAACTCTTGAATCACTGGCAGTTCCTTGTCAAGTGCTGGCAGAAAAACATCCTTGTAGAGTTGCTCCTGAAACACAAAATAAAGTTCAAAGAAACCTCTGTACTATTTGAAGATGAGGTTTTTTTCAGTCCGTGAAAAAAAAATTTTTGAAAAATAGAAGTAAATAGATGGCTGTAGCGAAATTTTGGCGTTCTAAGAAGCATTTCTTGACCACTTCCACTATATAAAAAAATGGCCTACCTTGTCTCCCGCGCCGAACCCCAAGTAGACTCTCAGATACGGAATGATCAAGTCGAAGAAGCAACGGCAAACTTCGTAAAGCTCGTCGATTTCCGCGGCTTCCAGACGACTTCTCCCGGCTACTCCGCATTCCGGCGCCAAATACCGGAGGATTGCGTGGCTCTGGGCCAGCGGTTTTCCGTCAATGAGGAGGACGGGGAGTTGGCCGTAGGGGAATCCTGAAGAACGTGAGTTTAATTTGAAGGATTAATACATGTTCTGGTACCATAGGGTACACGATGGAATGAAACGGGACTGGGTTAGTTCAAAATCTCAGCCAGATGGGCGAAAAAACCGTCAGGGGTAGGTACAGTGACGGACCTGATCCAGTGACAAAGGACGTACCATTTTGCATCCGGGAACTATCAAAAAATGTGGCAAAATGCCTCCTTCTCCAACTACAAAAAACAGCGTTTTTCACGGCCCTCACAAAAAGAGCGGGAGGGCTTTTGAAATCGGAGTTTTTTCGCTTGGAGAGGGAGGTATTTTGCTACATTTTTGATGCTTCCCTAATGCAAAATGATACGTTTTTTGCCGCTGGATCAGGTTCGCCACTGTATACTTTTGAAACGGTCGAAAATGTTAAAATAGTTACCAAACCGATCAAATTTTTTTTCACTGACCGATGCGGTAATGGATTTTTCAACATGCTCTTTCGAATGGCGTTAGCAGTTTTTTGATAGCTCTTACAGTGGCGGACCTGATCCAGTGGCCAAAAACGTACCATTTTGCATCCGGGAAGTGTCAAAAAAATGTGGCAAAACACTTCCTCTTCCAAGTGAAAAAACTCTGATTTCAACAGCGCGCCCGCTATTTTTGTGAGGGAAAGGGCGCGCTCTTCAAAACGGTGTTTTTTAGTTGGAGAAGGAGACATTTTCCGACATTTTTTGATACTTCCCGAATGCAAAATGGTGTATTTTTTGGCACTGGATCAGGTCCGTCACTGTAGCTCTTACCAAGCCTTAGATACTGCAGTCTTCCACGGGCTAGGCATACTTTCAGAACGGGGTGTATTTAATATGAACTGAGGAAAACTTACGGCTTTTATCTCCCTTAAGACTTGGCCACTCTTCGCGTGGAATCCTAGTGTCCGTAAAGGGAACCTTTGCGTAGTTCAGGACCAGTCGAGCGGCTTCGGCGCGGCCGCGGAACTCGAAATAGAGAAGCTCGTAGTTGGGCATGGTGATGACGTTCTTGTAAAAGTCGCTAAAGCATTTTGTTTATATGTTAGCGACAACCGAACAGCGCGCACTTTTACACGTTTAGTAAATCCTATTAAAATCAACACATAAATTGACAAATATTTGTCTCGCCTGCGTGTTAAATGAGTCAGATTTTTAGCCCACGCATTACAGAAACAACCGAGATGTTTGGCAGGGAAAGATGACCAAAAATCGACACATTTTTTTCATGTTTATTCATAAAAATTTAGCCTAATATTCAGCCTCATTCTCTCAGACAGCAGTGATTCACGTATTGTGTTTGTTAATAAAAATTTATAAAACGTGAATTTTTAAGGTCACATTATGATCTCATCACTTTTAACAGTCCAAATTTTCCGAGATAAAATTGTAGCGAGTGCGGGTTGTATCAGTGAGGGGCCTGATTCAGTGGCAAAGAACGTACCATTTTGCATCCGGGAAGCATCAAAAATGTGGCAAAATGCTTCCCTCTCCAAGAGAAAAAACTTCGTTTTGAAGAGCGCGATTTTGAAATTTCAATTTTTTTCACTTGGAGAGGGAGCTATTTTGCCACATTTTTTGATACTTTCTGAATGCAAAATGGTAAGTTTTTTGCCATTGGCTCAGGTCCCCCACTGTATCAGTCGAGAAAATAATAGTGACGGGTTGTCGCACGTTGAAACTGCCTATAATCGCTTTGCAAGCCACAACAGGAGATTTGGACTGCTGCGTTCTTTCGGCGAGGCGAAAAATTTTGCTGCGACAGATATCAAATTTGTTTTTCTTCATCAACTATGTAAATGCGTTCGGCACAAAACTGCTGGCGTATTGCTGAATACCTTGGGTGTATACTCCACCGATTATATAAATTTGGACCAGTCTGAAACTTGAAAACGGTTATCGCTATGAACTCCATTCTCTTGGACCAGATTGGTCCAAATTAAATCGGCGGAGTATACCCGCAAAGTGCTAAAATAAAAAAAAATGTCAAGAATTGATGTCTGCGGAGGCATAAAGTTAAAACAAGTCCGAGAATACCTCCTTTATCAAGTGATCTTCGACAGCCAAAAATCAGTTGATAGTATTACAAGTTCACCACGCACTAAATCCTATTAAAATTGACTAGTGGATTGACCAAAAGTTTATTGTGTCTGCGCAACCGTCAAGCTAGAAAAAGCATCTTCAACCCCGCCTTTTAGACGGCCCGTTTTGAGTTGACTTTTAGCGTTTACACACAACGATTTACTTCCTGATTCTTCCAAAGTTTTTTATGCCAAAAAAATCTCAAAAAAATTGTAAAGTAACACCGAAATTTTCGCTCAGCAGACCCGAACTCTCTGATCCATCAAGACCATGATAAATCAAAGGCTGGCAGTTGATCTTCACATTCTTAAAAAGCAAACAAAAAATGTTTGCTGATAATTTTTGTTTGTCTTTGAAAAAAGAATTGGTCGGCTTTTTAAACCCCAACCAGACGGTTTTTTTGTGAGATCATGATACTTATGTCGTGTTGATGATAAGATAAGAAAAGGTGGGATTGTCAAAGGCACACATTCGCGTTACAGGGTGGTTCAAAAGCATATGGAAGCAAAGCACAAACGATATTTTTTGAAGTTCCAATCTCTGTCGACCTTGATAAGAAATAAAAAAGTGGGCCAAGTGCGACGCACAGATTCAATTCAATTTCAATTTATTCACAATAATCACATGTAAAATCATGGAGTGTATCAGTCGGGATTCCATTACCTGGTCAGTATAAGGTCACTCCATCGCAGGCCATGGTGCTTACGAAAATCGTCGGTCCATCTGAGTGTCAGGCGTCCAGATGGTCGTTTGCAGGGTGGCGTCCATTCACTTGTTGTCCCATCTTCCTTCCTCGCGTTTTAGCTTTTCCAGCGATTTTTCGAATTGCTCCATTTAGCACTCGCTCCGAATTGACCTTACGTTGATTGCCAGTACCATGAAATCCTTTTGATTGTTGGCTACTGGCCCAGGAAGAACTCTTTGTGCCTGCAACGGCATAGGTGGCCAGGAAAAACCGACCGCTCCCTGGGCGAGAAAAATCTGATAATCCTCAGATTCGCTTTAAATTTTGCACACATTTTTGACATTAACATAGTTTTAGTTCTCGGTTTCGCAAGGGCAGGCGAGATATTCGACGATCTTTAGGGAGTACGCGAAACGCGGAGAGCGGTCACACAAAAAAAAACAACTTTTCAGCCGTATCTTTGCCAGTTTCATGACAATTGCCACTTCCAGTCCCAGCAAAGGTGCCTTGACCTAAAATGGGTTGAACGGGAACACCCGGTTTGCGGGAGACATTTTATACGACGGTCCAAGAACGTTTATTCAATACAGTGTTTCAGTCATCAAATCGGGCAAGACCATCCCAATATAGGCCGGGGATTTTTGGCCCAATCCTGTCACGATTCCGTGAAGAATTCCCAGGAATTAGCATAAACCGACGAATATTTTGATATAAATGTAATGGACCAATCGCTTTTCGGTCACTCGTTTGGGTAAAATAAAGCAATCTCTGATTTGTTGGAAGTTCCTTTTGATACAGTTCGGTGGTGTCCATACAAAGTGGAATCAATTTGTGTGGGCCTATTGCCAGTGTCGCCGGTTTTTCAGCTAGAATTTTTAATTGTGGTCCCCAGGTTATTAGGGGGAGTCAATCATTAGCCTAGCGGGCATGTTAGGGCCTCACAATCCTCGACTTATAGCTAAGTCTTTACAATCCGTAGCCCATATCGCTCAGTCCGTCGGGGAAAAAATGAGCGCAATGTCGCTACGCCAATCGCATCGCTGAACTAAAAAGCAATTTGATTTTGTTGCGAAGACGATTCATTTTCTCGGCGGCGATTTTCGATGCGACAAAGTGTTCATTATTTTCCCGACAGACTGATACCTATCCTCAGCATAATACACGCAATACCTTTATTAAAAATCTTCAGAAAAACCATCAAATTAGCTGATCGTATCGGGTCGGTTCTTCAGATACTCCTGCAGTTGTGGAATGTTCCTGACGTCGGTGAGATGCTTCACAAGTGGAGGGAATTTGTTGACCTCGGCGAAACCCTGCTTCAAGAAGGACTCCATGTATCCGGCGACATAGAAATCAACATAACTTGGGCCTTTGTTTCCGAAGAATCCGTTGGGCTTCAGAAGGCCGATGATTTTCGGGAAATGCTTCTGAACTGCGGGAACAAACTGCTCTTTGTAGAGCTGGTCCTGAAATACGGCACAATATTATCTGCCTCATTCCTTGTGAAATTACTCTCAAACTATCACAGCCTACTGTAAATATCTTACCTTGTCTCCTTGGGCATATCCAAGCGCGGTAATGTAGAAAGTGTAAGTTTCGTCAACGAAGCAGCGAAACACTTCGTAGGCCTGGTCCAGGAACGCTGTTTCGACTGGGTCAGACCCTCCGTCCAAGTTGGTCACTCTGGCAACGAATCGGTTAATGGCATGACTCTCGGTCAACGGCTTTCCATCGATGAGGAGTGATGGCATTTGGCCATAGGGGAATTCTGAAAAAACGAGGGAAGCTAAGGCTTTTAAACATGAGATTTTTTGTGGCACAAAATCTCATACTGCCCTCTTTCTTGCCGAAACAGGTCCGAAATCTAGACCTCTGTTGGACATTCAAAGCGTGAATGGTAACCGATCGATACGAGCATAAATACGGAGAATTTTATGGTAAAAAATCAATTGGCTATACCAGATGGTTTTTGCGGCAGGACCCATAAAAGGAGTTTCCGTTTTTTGAGTCCCTGTACTAGACGTGCCAAAAAAGTCTTGACATGTTTCCACTGCGCCGTCTACGCAAAGTGGCAAGGCATTTAGCCACGCTATCATCAATTTGACGCTGAAATTGAGTTTTTGGAAAAAGTTCCTTATTCTGGCCACAACACAGGTACTCTGCGAACTGCTCCCAAGCTTGGCAACCAAAGTGAGGAAAAAAGACTTCTACCTAACTGGCACTGAATTACTATAATGGCTCTATAGGTTTGAGGGTACCTAAGAAGGCAATGACGGCTCATTTAGTTCTATACGGAGGCAATAAGTTTAGTTCCGGACACGTTTTATCGTATAAAGTGTTAAATCGCAGGCTGCAGCCGTTTTTGAAAGGTAAGGTGGTACGTAAAAAAGGAGGCCCCTCCCTTTGCCAGCTATGCTCACATATTTTACTGCCAATTCTTATCTGATTAATAATATAACATTACACTTACTGCTAGTATCTCCCTTCACACTCCGCCATTCCTCATGAGCAATTCGACTGTCCTTGAATGGAACTCCGGCAAAGTGAAAGCACATTCTTGCGACCTCCCCTCTGCCGCGCGCGTTGAAGTAGAACAGTTCGTAGGATGGCATTTTCACGGCTGAAAAATGCGCGTAAATCAATTTGGAAGTGGAAAATGAAACTTTATGTGCGAAAAGTGCATTTATGATACAAATTATACTACTTTCTGGTTTGTGTGAGGTAAAAAAGCGGGCTTTAAAGAGAGCAAAAAAGAGCAAAAGCGGGGAAAAAGATCAAAATGGTGAGAGTTTTTGTGGTTGAGCAAAAATCAAAGCAGAAAAAGAGAGAGGCGAGAACGCAACGAATATAAACTAGAGACAAATCATTTGTGCAGACAACCCGTTGGAGTTCAGTTGGAATAGGAGAAGAACATGACTTATTTAGCCGTATCAATGAGATAGCACATTTTTCAAAAATTTTGCACAACTTTGTCGCCTGTACGGCTCTGGGCTGTCAGCACGGCTAGGACTCACGTTCAGGACAAGCCGAAGGAAAATTCAACCAATGGATGCCGAACCAAGTCCTATCTATACCGTGGAATCCGGTCAAATGAGGCCAGAGAGAGGCAGCTAACAAGGGAAGTACTCCATGTGCGACGCTCAAATTTTCTTTAAATTTTGCACACACATCGGCCATGAACTAAGTATCAATTCCTGAAAGTTTTCGCTCGTGCTTTGCAAGCGCCACCGAGATATTGAACCATCTTTGCCGCCGAGAGAGTACGCTAAACGCGGAGAGCGGTCAGGGCGAAAAACTCCTTTCAGTCATAACTTTTACAGTTTCGTGCGGAAAAAAATCGATTTTTTAATGAAAACACCCTTTATTACCCTATACGGTAGAAATAAGCAGGAAACTTTTTGTGCCGAAATTCGGCAAAAAGTCCTAAATTTTCGCCGACTTTCGATTTTAAAATCTCGGCTGTTTCCGCAAAGCACAAGCTAGGATTCTCGCATATATTTTAAAAAAAATTTTAATCAATTTTTGCCAAGTTTCAACAAAATCTGAGCGTCGCACTTGGGGTACTTCCCATGTAAGGAGAATAGAGAAAAACGAAAGTAATAGCACAGACTGGCGATGGTTCCGCTATGCAAGGAGCTCTGCAACCGGCAGTCGATCGTTTTTTATTTCGAAACTATTCGTTATGTTAGCCTGTCGGGAAAATAATGTGGATTTGTCGCGGCAAAATATTTATCTTGCTCCTTCGCTGTCACGCACAAAATCTCCAGCTGCGGCTAGTCGTCGCGCAAGCGATGATACACTGAAATAAAAAACATCATATATTTTTGATGTTTTTCATCAGTCTATTAGAGTTTGATGAAAACATCAAAAAAAGTTTTTTTGATGTTTCGTTTCATCAAAAAGAAAAAAAATACGATATTTTTTTTTGATGTGGGGCACATCAAAAATTTTTGATGTTAGGTAAATCAAATATTTCTGATGGATAATTTATCAAAAACTCAAACAAATACTGCTATTTACAAAATTTATTCGAATAAACCGTTTGTAAAAACACAATTTAAGTCAAATTGCAGTCATAGCAAACCTTGACCACGTCGCTTTTAACTCCATAGAACGGCCGTTTCTTGCGCTGATCCAAGTCGACGATTGGAAGAAAGGGTCGGGTTGATTGCGTCGAAGCGGAACAAGTCATTACCACCATCATTACCGTCGGGCATTTGCATCGCATGGCCTAAAAATCAAACCTACTACAATATAAATAACTCACCCGTTTGATGAATTCCGGCTTCTGGTCGGTCAAATACTGTCTTTCCATTGGTGATCCAGCTTCTTGACGGCCCAGCTCTACAAATAAACAATATTATTTTGACAATCACCAAGCGCAGCTCACCTTACCGAAAAAACATGATTCGAACTCTTCGACTATTGGCTGTTAGTACTGACGATGAAGATCGTCACGGGGTGAAAGCAGGTATTTGGCGGGAAAGTCGACATCCACCTGCTTTTCTTCGCGAAACATGAGACACCGGGAGCTAAATTTACATTTTAGACTCCAAATTGGACGCTTTTGTAAACATTTTCTCACCATCACCAATCGAAAACTGGATCAGGGAGCTCCATAGACCGTATTTAAAAACTTTTTGGACAAAATTTCAGAAAATTTTCCGAATTTTCAAAATTTTCCATCACGTATGCCCAAACACCTAGTACAATATAAAAAAAACTCACAATTTAGGTCCGATTAACGCTTGGTTCCTCCGGTATGACTATTTTGTCGTCAAAAACGCATTTGCGGACTGGATAAACGTACGGGAAGGCGGTATGCTCTTCGTCCAACATACACAAAGCTCAGGTCCAAACCAGCGAAGGCGGATAAGCATAACATGTCCAGCAATAAAAAAAAATTAATCTGAATTCTAAAGAATTACATAATTCAGAGAACAAGCTTACCTCAATCTTCGTTGCGATTTATAGCATCTGCTTATCATTGTCGCCCAAATAAGTGATCTAAAAATTAAAGAAAACAACAACAAAACTCGCTTACCTGATCTACAACCCTGACAATCACGACCTTTTACAAGAAATCGACAATTTATGAGGCATCTTATCGTGTAACAACCAACTTTATAAAAATTCGACAGAGTGAAATTTGACTGATTTCCTTTTTCTCTGTTGTGCAAACGCACATGTGTGTCCTTCCCTTTGAGTTCAATTGGCAAATTGGAATTTGATAAACCCAAACATCAAAAAAGTTTTTTTGATGAAAACATCAAAATCTCCAGCTTTTGATGTCGTGGACATCATAAATGCGTGATGTTTTATTTTGATGAATTTGAATTTGATGTTTTTTCTTTCAGTGTAGGCGATTACAAGGAGGCGACAAATCCACATTATTTTCCCGACAGACTGATACAATACATCATAATTTTGTTAAATCTTCGTCTTTTTCACACACTCGGCGACTTTTCTGATCTCATCCAAGTCTTTGTTTCCGGTCGATTTTTCAGATACTCCTGGATTTGCGGAAGCGAGTTTATTCTCTCCCGGAGCTTCTCAAACTGCGGATACTTGGCCATGAGTTCCGGGCAAAATTGTCTATACTGCCCAATAATTTCGGCCCAATAAAAATCGACAAAAGTTGGTCCGGCTTTGCCAAAGTAGCCGGAGGGCTTCAGTTGCGCTAGAATTTTGGGGAAATGCTTTTCGACGTTGGGCAGAAGAACCTCATTGTAAGATTTGTCCTGGAAATTTTTTTAATGAGGCAAAAAATAGAGTTCATTTACCTTATCATCATCCCAGAATCCCATCATCACATAAATGTAGGGAAACGCGGCGTCAGCAAAGCCTCTGCATAACTCGTGAGCCTGACTAATAAAGGCTCGTTCCAGAGGGTCTGGGCCACCGTCAAGGCCGGTGATTTCTGCTACGTAGCGATAAATTGCATGACTTTCGGCTAATGGGACACCATCCACAAATAACACTGGAAGCACTTCGTAGGGAACACCTGAAGTTTAGAGAATAAAAAGGGGAACACTTTTGGAAATCTAGAAATCCAAATGAATTAGTAGCTCTAAACGTGCGACAATCGTTTTGCGCGGCGCCTACTTCAATGAATCGCAAGAAAAAAATTGTTTGTTATAGAAGCATTTCATTGTAGAGGGGTTATCTTCGCCTGGAGTTGGCTTTTGTAGCCTCTGCGATCGTCCGCTATGGGGAGGTCGAACTTTGGAAAAGTTCGTTGTGGTGAGGATTTTGTCAGACTTATTGAACGTTACAAATTTAGTCGCAAAAGCTCACGCTCTTTATTCTTTTTCAGCTCCGACCATTCTTTGAAGTCAACTCGAGTATCTTTGAAAGGAATCCCAGCATAATGCAGCATCAAGCGGATAGTTTCCGCACGGCCTGGCGCTGCGAAATACAGGAGCTCATACTCAGGCATTTCCTTGGGTAGAAGTAAAGTTAATACAAAGGAGAATAAATGGAGAGAAGAGGTTTTGAAATGCAAGGTTGTTCGGCAAATGCATCGAAAAAGGGGTTTCAAAAAAAAAGAAGATTATTGCGACGAACGACGGTTCAAACACAAGACACGGGTTAAATTAGAAATCATATTGTAGAGTTAAAAATCAGAAAAAATATTTGAAAGACGAGGACATTTTCAAATAATTTCCCGGACTTACTATGCTGTGAAGTTACGGGGGAATTACCACAAGTGTGACGCTCAGATTGTCTCTAAATTTTGTACATATTAAATACTTTGGGGACAGGCCACTTATCAATGCCCAAAAATTCTAGCCTGCGCTTTTCAGAGGCAGCCGAGATATTGAATGACCATTGCTGGCCGAGAGAGTATGCTAGACGCGGAGGAGGGTCAGAGAAAAAAAAATCGTTTTAGGCCATGTTTTTGCAACTTAGCACCTAAAAATCTCCGACTCCCAATTTTTCGGGTGACACTTCTGATCAATACAAAATCGATCGACACGGGGCGTGGGGAAGGTGGATACCCAAAGAAAGGTTGCAGGACGTTCGGATGGTTGGCGGACGCTCAGTGGAGACATGCAATATGCGCATTTTTTTCTAATTTTAGCTTTTGCTAACGTTTGCTTTCTGTACATGTTTTTGCAACTTACCACCTAAAAATCTCGGTGGTTTCTGCAAAACGTGAGCTGGAGTTCTCACATGTGCTTTATTAATAAAATTACAAGTACAGAAGAAACGAGAATGTTTATTGTGCGTGAAGAGAGAGTTGTGAGCAATGAAACGAACAACATGACCATCAGTTATAGTGATATGTCTAGAACTTGGTCTCCGGCCTTGATTTTAGGTAATCTTGGAGTTGCGGCAGTGCGTCAACCTTTCGGGCCTGCTCCAAGAATTCCGGGTATTTTTGAATGATTTCGGGATGGTATTTATTGTAGAATGTGATCACCAAAGACCAGTAAAGGTCCGCGTACGTGAGCTTGTCGCCGAAGAACCCACTCGGCCTGAGTTGCGACCGAATGTGGCTGAAGTGCCTTTGCACGTTCGGCGAGAAGACGTCATCGAAGAGTTTTTCCTGAAATTGGGTAATATCGCTAGTATGTATATATGCACATATACTCCCCGTACAATGTTTTGACCCCCCTCCTAACTTCGTCCAAAGTGTACTAATTCGGACCAAATTTGGTATGTAGTATACTCACAGGCTAGTAACAAAAAATAACATAGCAGGACATACCTTAAAGTTGAATTTCAAAATCTAGAAACAATTTTCAAAAATCACCTTAAAAAATCGAGGAAAAAGTTTTGACCCCCCTTAAAAAACTTTAGATATCGCCAGCGGATGCCACGCAAAATTATTGTAATCGACGTCCCATACCTGAATACAGGTTAATATATGGTTTTCCGTTGAATGCTTCGTTGCATTTGAGTATTCAACGCGTTAAACCGTTTTTGATGTAGACCTGCCCAAAATTGTAAAAATCTTGCCCTAGCGCTTTCCTAGAGCTCTAAATTGGGTTTATATTATGTGCTTTAGACCTGTATTTACCTTCTCCTTTCAATAAAAGTGCATGGTGGCCTGGCGGTGTAGATTCGGCAGATACCCTCTTGTCATGCCCAGCCTTGGTGAGCCATTTACTCTTTGAATCAAGGTCGAGATGTGGTCGTTAGGTCCTCAGTGTAATCCTGAGACTCCTAGTTACTCTCAAACAAAGAATAAACTCCGGCTGACACGGTCTCATATGGTTTGCAGGCGCAACTTCGCCGATCTGCACCTTAACGAAAAACCCGCGTTTTTCAAATGGATTTTTAGCCACCAAAGACGGCTTTCATTTGATGGACCAGGTAATTTAAGACGCTACAGCACCCACCATACTCATTTGAGACGTATGAAACGCCAAATGGGAGGTGGGGATGTAATAGTACTCGGGGTCATCTACAGTAACGGCAAACTTAAGATTAAGGTGAATGAAACCCACTACAAAACGTGTCAAATCAAAACATTTTACATTACTGAGAGTAACTAGGAGTCTCAGGATTACATTGAGGACCTAACGACCACATCTCGACCTTGAGTCAAAGAGCAAATGGCTCACCAAGGCTGGGCATGACAAGAGGGTATCTGCCGAATCTACACCGCCAGGCCACCATGCACTTTTATTGAAAGGAGAAGGTAAATACAGGTCTAAAGCACATAATATAAACCCAATTTAGAGCTCTAGGAAAGCGCTAGGGCAAGATTTTTACAATTTTGGGCAGGTCTTCATCAAAAACGGTTTAACGCGTTGAATACTCAAATGCAACGAAGAATTCAACGGAAAACCATATATTAACCTGTATTCAGGTATGGGACGTCGATTACGATAGGTTCGGGTGGCATCCGCTGGCGATATCTAAAGTTTTTTAAGGGGGGTCAAAACTTTTTCCTCGATTTTTTAAGGTGATTTTTGAAAATTGCCCCTAGATTTTGATATTCAACTATAAGGTAGGTCCAGCTATGTTATTTTTTGTTACTAGCCTGTGAGTATACTACATACCAAATTTGGTCCGAATTAGTACACTTTGGACGGAGTTAGGAGGGGGGTCAAAACATTGTACGGGGAGTATATGTAGTATGTATGAACATATTACGGTGGGGCTTGTGGAAATCAATTCGTCGCTAGGGAAAACGAATATTTTTGTATGGGAACCGGTTAGCTTTGGTGATTTTTTCTCACGCGTCAACGAATTACGGTCAAATTTTGGTATACATATTACATAACAAATCGCAAGGAAGCAAAAAAAATTTCTGTTATAGACCGGTTGCTTTGTACGCACAATCGTCAAGCCTAGGCTATAGATCAATCCTATAACGGTCTTGCCAGGCTTCGTAGGCACTTCCCATAACCTTTTCTAGGCATACACTTGCCCTACGCATCGTATCGATCAATTTTGTATTGACCCGAACAGTAGTCGACCCGAAAAAGCCGGCACTCGCCTTTGCCTACCTTTTCGTCCTGCGTGAATCCCAAACAACTCAAAAAGTATTTGACAGTCGCATCATAGAACGCCCTACACATCTCGTAGACCTGGTCAATATGTGCCGCTTCTATCGGATCCGGACCACCATCAATGCCAGCAATTTTGGCGACATACCGAGTGATGGTGTGACTCTCACACAACGGTTTGCCATCAATGTGCAAAACTGGGATCATACCGAATGGAATTTCTGAAAAAATTTTTCAAATTTTCCGAAATTTTTTGGATTTTTTTCGAAGGTTTACAAGGAAATGCCTGAGGCATAAAATATGATTTTAGTCTCACTTTTGCTGTCCGCCTTCCAGTTTTGCCACTCGGTGCTGTCCAAGCGCGTATCTTTGAATGGGATTCCACCATAATGCAAGATCAAACGAATGGGCTCAGCTCTGCCGGCGGCGGTAAAGTAGATCAATTCATATTCTGGCATTCTCTGAAATACCGTCTCGTATCTTAAATTTTGCAACTTGCAGTGAATTATTGAAATTACTCTGAATCATATTTAGAACAATTTCTTCCAAAATAAATACGAGAATCCTAGCTCGCGCTTTGCAGAAACAACCGAGATTTTTAGATATAAAGTCGGCGAAAATTTGAGACTTTTTGCCGAATTTCGGCACGAAAAGTTTCATGCCTATTTCTCCCGTAAAAGATAATGTTTTTACAAAAAATCAAATTTTTCCGTACGAAACTGCCAAAGTTATGGCCAAAAGGCGTTTTTCTCTCTGACCTCTCTCCGCGTTTAGCGTGCTCTCTCGGCGGCAAAAACCGTTCGATAACTCGGCGGCGCCCGCAAAGCGCTAGCTAAAACTTTCAGGAATTGATGTTTAGTCCATACCAGATGTGTGTGCAAAATTTAAAGAAAATCTGAGCGTCGCACTTGGGGTACTTCCCTTGTAAGGTAAAAGTTACGGATCTTCGTTTTTTGCCAAAAATTTTGGTCTTTTATATGTTACAATAACTCAGGGGTTAAGAAAACCAACGTTAGTAAAATAGAATGGAGATATTGCAAGCCTTTGTCAAGCCTCCGCCGGGCCTTCGCCGAGCGTTCGCCGGCCATCCAGCGGCTTTGCCAGTCCTCCTACGCACTTCTCGCGACTTTTTTGCCACTAGTTTTTATGGAAAAACTAGCAGCAAGATGCGAAAAAACAAGCGTCTTTATCTCTGACTGCTCTCAGCGTTCGCCTACTCTCTATGGCGCAACGATTATTGAATATCTTGCAGCTCCTGGAGAGAGCTAAAATTTTGAGCAAGTCATATGTGGCTTATATGTCCAAATCATGCGCAAAACTTAAGCTAAAAATCTGAGAGTCGTGCCTTGAACACTTCCCTGGTTAATCACACTTTCTCAGGCTCCCAATTCACAGCTGATTACATATTTATAAACAAAAAAGAGTCTCGCCGCGATTTCGCAAGTCCAAAACATCAAAAAATTCTCGTAAAGTCGCGAAAATTGGTCCGAAAACAACGTGGAAAAGATAAACTGACAATGTTTTGAAACGTGTTTACCACTCTGCCATACGTTTTTCACAAACGCCTCCGAATTTTGGTCGGACCACCGGAACGTGGTCGCTGCCCATCTTTGAGCCGGGAACCCGCTAGTCACGTTCCGCCGATGACGCTGTAAAAACGTGAGAACGAAGACGTTGTAATAGAAGGTAAATTTTAGATGCGTTCTCATGAATTGGGGAAATTAATGGGTAGGGGCAAAGTCTGATGGCTGAATAGACTACAAATATTCACTTTTTTTAGAATCGAAAATGTTCAAAGCGCAACGTTTTACTTCTTCAAAATTTCATATTTTTCAAAAAGTAAAATTTTCAGTCTGTCGGGAAAATACTGACCGCAACGTCGCTGCGCCGATCTCATCGCTGAAATGTAGAGTAATTTGATTTTGCCGCGAAGACAATTCATTTTCTTGGCGGCGATTTTCGCTGCGACAGAGTGCTCATTATTTTCCCGATAGACTGAGAGTCCATATGGCTATATTGTTTTCTGTTCGTTGAAAATTTTAGCTCACGTTTCACAGGAGCAGCCGGGACACCCTGGTCCCGAAAGCCAATTTTATGCCGGGATGAACCCACATACAACGAAACCTTTCTTTAACAAACATTTTTTTTGCCGTGCACCTAAATTCTATGTGTAGAGGATTGACTGTACTAAATTCACGAGGTAGGATTAAACCTAGCACATGCTTCGGACATTTACCACAAAAAAAATTTTGCGACGAACCGTCTACGCACTTTATGGAACGACTAGCAGTAGGCCACATATCAATTATTAAAAGTTTGAGCTCGCACATTGCAAGGGCAGCTGAGATATTGAACGATCTTTGCCGCCGAAAGAGCACACTGAACGAGGAGAGCGGTCAAACAGAACAATTGCTTTTGGACATATCTTGGCCAAATTTGCGCTGAAAAAAATTGGTTTACGAAAAAAGTAAATAAAAAAGAAAAAATCAGAAACAATCTGTCGGGAAAATAATGAGCACAATGCCGTTGCGCCGATCGCGTCACTAAAGTGAAAAGCAATTTGATTTTGCCGCGAATGCAATTAATTTTCTCGGCGGCCATGCGATTTTCCGTGCCACAGGTGCTCATTATTTTCCCGACAAAGTGATATTGTAAATTGGCGATCGGCTTCATCAAAATTTCAGCGCCACAGTCTAAGCACTTTCTCTTCCCGAATGCCATCGATATTTGAGGTTTGCAACTCGGGGCCTTTGCCGAAAATAACGCATTATATGGTTAGTAATAGTAACATAAGTATTTATTTTGTAAGTTATGGATCAAAAACTTAGACCAACAAAAGTGTAAATTATAACACAGAGCTCGTTGCAAATCACATTTCAGGCTTGCTGCTGTGATTTTAAGTAGTCTTGCAACTGCGGCAACTCGTTGACTTTTTTGGCCTGCTCCAGGAACTCGGGGTATTTCTGGATGATCTCCGGGTTGAACTTGTTGAAGACCAGGATGACTCGGGACCAGTAAATGTCGGCGTATGTGACTTTGTCGCCGAAGAACCCGCTCGGCTTGAGTTGGGAGCGAATGTGGTTGAAGTGCTTTTCGACGTTGGGCGAGAACACCTCGTCGCACAATTTTTGCTGAAAAAATTTGGTGTGAGTCTGTCGGGAAAATAATGTGGGTTTGTGGCGGCTTGGAATCGCCTGTCATCGCTTTGCTGGCGGTTTGATGGGAGAAGCATTTTGTCGCGATTAGTCCACATTATTTTCCCGAAAGAATGCTGGAAAATGACTTGACACAAAATAGAGTAAGGCTTGACTCATTAGAAAAACAATTGACCCAAACTTGGGAAAGACTTGACTCATTGGGGAAACAGTTGACACAAACACGGAGAAGACTTGACTCATTAAGAAATATTATAACTCGACCAAAAATAGAGGAAGGCTTGACTCATTGGAAAATCAGTTGACTCAAATTAGGTGAAGACTTGACTCATTAAGAAATCACTTGACACAAAATAGAGGAAGACTTGACTCATTGGGGAAACGCTTGACTCAAACTAAGGGAAGACTTGACTCTTGGGGAATCAGTTTAAAACTAGGGTAACACTTGACTCATTAAGAAATCACTCGACACAAAATAGGAGAAGACTTGACTCATTAAGAAATCACTCGACACACAACAGAGGAAGACTTGACTCATAATAAAGTCATCAAAAACTCTTGTTTACCTTGTCTTCCTGAAGCACTCCCAGACACACCATCAGATATCTGAACACCGCATCGCTGAACGATCTGCACATCTCATAAATTTGATCGATATGAGCGACGTCGAGGGGATCTGGACCGCCGTCCAGTCCAGTCACTTTGGCGACGTAGCGAGTAATGGTGTGACTCTCACACAACGGCTTCCCATCGATCAGTAAAACCGGCATCACTCCGAATGGGATCTCTGAAAAGACCAAGGTAAATGCTTTATTTTTACAGTGCAAGTATGTATATAACCAAGCAAGCGACTTACTTTTCACGTCCTGCTTCACAGTTGGCCAGTCTTCACGTGCAACTCTGGTGTCTTTGAAAGGGACTCCAGCAGCATGAAAGCACAGTCGGATGGGCTCGGCTCTGCCGGGGATACCGAAGTATATCAGCTCGTATTCGGGCATGTTCTGAAAACGGAGTTTCAGTATGTTTCCGGGCAATTGGTGAAGATAAAAGTTGATCGCGCGTATTTAAAAAGCAACCTTCCTGGGGAAAATGCGATTTACTGTAATGAGCAGGTATTATGCAAAAAAATATGGCCGAAAACTGCTTTTTTCTATGACCGCTCTCCCCGTCTAGCGTACTCTCTCGGCCAGCAAAGATCATTCAATATCTCCGCGGCGTCTGGAAAGCGCGAGCTAATATGTTGAGGGATTGTTATGCGGTCTATGCCCGAAATGTACCCGCTTTTTAGAGGAAATCTGAGCGTCGCACTTGGTGTGACCTGGCCCTAGTTTAGACATGGGAAGCCTCTAAAACTCTCAACCGAACCCTTATCTCTTCTTCAGCCCACCTTAACATGTTTCTTAAAAGGGCACTCCAATTTCATTGCAGAAGGGTCTAGAAATTGCGCAATATTGTCGCAAAAAACAACAACGTTCCCTTTTATACTTCCCGAACACAGTCTGTGTAATCAAAAAATGGCAGAGACAACTCCAAACCAGAAACTCGACGAAAGACGAACTCTCAACACGCAGCTAATCTCGCCGGCGCAATTCTTAAACCCCTACACTTGAAACTTGTGTCAAAATTTGTGACCGAAAAATTTCGCTCACAAATATTTAGTTTCATTAATGATGGGTGCGGAGAGGCCGATTTTCGATTATAAAGCATAGAAAGGGTGTGGCAAGGAACGTGCATGTTGTGATATGATACATGAAACGTGTCGAAATGGCTGCGGAGAGGGGTTTGTGACAATAAACAATTTTTTGTTTGGAAATTTTGAAGAACCCAGGGGATCAGTGCAGCTCATGGGCGCAAACAACTGAATGGACAAGATTCTGAAATCGTCTTGTCGCGGCAGAAGGCCAAAAATTGGCAGCCATTGTAGTTTGCTTTTTCTTGTTGACCAATGAATAAATATCTTTCCTAGATAGTTTTACCAGACATCTTACGCCTCTAAAATTTTAACAACACACAAAAAAAACAAAATTTTCCGCGAAAAATATATTCTGAGACCTTCAATATTTTGAATAAACAGCTAAAAGAGCGCGCTAGCAACCGCATAAAAGGGTTATTTTCTCTTTCCCAGTTCTCTTTTCCCGGCCAAAAAAATGGCCATGTTCCTTTTTACAACAAAGTGTTCGCTTCAGCTATTTCGAAAAAAGCTGTGCAAGGAAAACAAGATACAAACAATAACACGTGTGTGTTGTTGTCAAAGTAAAAAAAGGGGAGAGGACCGACCTTGCTCAAATTTTTGTTGTCTAACCGCTCTACAAGATATAAATATTTCGTTGATGATGTGTTTTAATGAGGTGAGACGAAGGGTCGGACCGCATGAGGTTAAAGACCATATAAAGTATGCAATTATCGGTTGATGAAAGCCTTATTTTCCTGCGGTATGTCGAAATCAACTAACTACATAAAATCCAGTTAGTCTTCGGAAAAATAATGGGCACAATTTTGATTCGCCAATCGCGTCGCTAAAGTGAAAAACAATTTGATTTTGTCGCGACACAATTCATTTTCTCCGCGGCGATGCTGTTTTGAATGCAACCGGGTGATCCTTGTTTTCCCTACAGACTGATAAAATATATTTCATACCCATTTCTACCATAGGAGGCAAGGTTCCACGTCGGTCGGCTCCAAGATTTCTCTTTTTTGTTTTATTTATTGGTCGCTTGCTTGCCACAGAATTCCAAAATTTTTCCAATCTGCGCTTTATTTGCCGGCCTTTTGTGCAACTTACTATGATGACATGGTACGCGCACATGTTTCGGCTGACTTTATTGCCATATACCTCACGGATTGCTGAGTCCAATCACGTAATTCCGGGCCCATAATAGTCCATGGATTTACGTTGTTCTCTTTCAAGGCTTTCAGTATATTTGTGAAGTTGAAGATGCTCTCAGTCTTGGCAATCGTAAACCCACAACATACGAAACTTCTTTTTGCGTCAATAAAACCAAACGGCTAAAAACAGAAGTGAAAATTAAACTGGCAAGCCAGGAGAATAATTGGAGTTGAGGATCGACCGGTTGAGGAAGACGAGAAGACCAAGAAATGGAGTATTTATTGGACACGACAGAGAGAAAAAGTGATTATAAAATGAAGAGATCTGTGTCTTTTATAGTGGATTGGCGAACTTATGCAAATTTGGGGCTTAGCGCCAACAAAATAAAGAAAAATCTTATCAAAAGACAGTTTCAAGATATCGGAATTTGCATAATGGATTTATCTATAAAAGCCATAATAATAGATTTTTACCTCATTCTTTCCCGTGCTCGACGAATGAATCGTCTCTTCTCTGTTGACCGGTTTATTTCGTCTACCGACTCCCCAATCTCCTCCTTTCCGTGCCTATCTTGTACATGGGGTGCTCGTGCACACAGTGAAACGGATCTCAACGTATGGTAAGATTCCCGTCTTTGCCGTTTTTTCGCGTCACCGTTTGGCCAGGGTGTTCGACCCTTTGCATTTAGAGTCCCGATCCCACTAGAGGCCCCGCTTGAAGCTATCCATAGAACAAGCGGTAATCGTGACCTTCATATTGCCCGGAAATGATGACATTGAATTTGTGGACACAAATTCGGAATATTTTAAGGGCAGCTTCCGAACTCTTCTTTGGGGACAGAATGGGAGAATTTGGGGACATAATGGTACAGATTTGGCGACAGCTGACTTTTTCCCAATTGTCTTTTTCTCCAATTCTCGCTGTCAGATTCCACGGAACCTGGAGTTATCCACGATGTGTCAACTCGATGGAATTTATGGAGAGAGAGAGATGTCCCCTGTGTCAACTGTTTCCCTAGTTGTTTTCCCCGATGTTCGAGAATGTTCGATGGAGAGATCCCGAAGCGAAGCGCCTGATTCACGACACCGTAACCTTCTCCAAGGTTTTATCCCATCTTGATCAGATATATTGTTAAGGGTTGTTGTTGTGTCGTGTTGTAGTGGTTGTAGTGTTGTTGTTGTAGAGTTGTGTTGTATTATTGCTTATTTTATTGTATTGTTTACGTTTATTGATAAATTCATTTATTCGAGTTAATTTGATCTTATTCTCGTGTTCATCTTTTAAGGGGAACGAATACAATCGATTACCCGACATCCACATCCGCAACCTTCCACTTGGAAGGCCAAGTAATTTCAGGTAGCAAGAGTGCGGAAGGTAGTCGATTGAAGAGACCACCGCAAGACCACAGCCATCGTTGAATTTCTTTTCTGACCGGAGGTGGAATCGGACACTCGCGGTCCGTTGATGAACAGACCAGACGTAGATACGCTCCATAATTTCTGAGCGTCAAAAAAACTTTATTCCAGCGAAAAATTCCGAAGCATACATAAAACAATTTCTGAAACTGTCACCAAAATCAGAACGGGCACTTAGGTCGAGTGGCAAAATATTCTTGAAGTTTTGGGACCGCCTTGATTAGTCGCTCTTGCTCCATAAACTGTGGGTACTTTTCGATCACATCTCTGGCGTGCTTTTTGTAGAATTCAATGATATTGGCCCAATACAGATCAACGTATGTTATGCCGTTGCGTCCGAAGATATAATTTGGCCGTAGAAGTTCGATGATATTTGGGAAATACTTTTCCACCGCTGGAAGGAACACTTCGGCCTTTAGTATTTCCTGGAAACAATACAAGTACAATAAACATCAGTCTGTCGGGAAAATAATGAGGACAATTTCGCATCGAAAATTGCATCGCCGAAGAGAAAATGAATTGTGGCAAAATCAAATTGCTTTTTAATTCAGCGACGCGATCGGCGCAGCGAAATTGTGATAAAGTCAAAAGAATCTCGCATAGACCTTAGAAAGAAGTAACCTTAATTTGTGCTAAATTTCAAATCGAGAGTCGCGCTAGTACTATGTAGTTCCCTTGTAACATTTGACATGTCAAGTACAATTTCTTTCGTCAAATTAGCCACTACAGACATCAGGGTTTATAAATTCCCTTCACTCACCGGATCCTCTGGGTTGAAACCGAACAAACATAGCCAATACGGCTTCACGGCATCGAAGAAACCGCGACACAACTCATACGCCTGATCCAGTCGGGCAACTTCAAGAAGGTCCGCTTTTCCGTCCAACCCGGCAACCTCGGCAACATAGCGAGTGATTGCGTGACTCTCACAAAGCGGTTTGCCATCAATCAAAAGCACTGGCAAAACTCCATAAGGAATCTCTGAAAAATTGGAAAGTTTTAATGAAAATCTGAGCATTATTTTGGCGTCTTTCCATGTTAGCCATTATTTGCAATTTTTCGAAAACCTGTTATCGTTCTGTTGGAAAAATAATGAGCACAATGTCGCTGCGCCAATCGCTTCGTTGAAGTGCAAGCAATTTGATTTTGCCGCCACACAATTCATTTTCTCGGCGACTATGCGATTTTTGAGGCGACAGAATGCTCATTATTTTCCCGACAGCCTTACAATTACAAATTTTCAGCCTTTTGATAGTGAAGCGCCTGGACAACAAAGAGCTTCTCTCCCCGAGTTTTTTACACATTTTTCTTCAGAGATTTCTCCGACAACATGCATTGAAAGGCCACAATCTTTGCTCAAGCCAACTTACTGCTCTTGTTGTTCTTAATCACTTGCCATTCCGAAAATTCCAGCCTTGTATCCGTGTATTTTATTCCCGCGTACGCGAAACACTGCCGAATTGGCTCGGCTCTCCCGTAGGCATTGAAATAGATCAATTCGTAAACCGGCATAGGGCTGGGAAGAAACTTGAGAGACGAACGAATAAGCGGTGTTGATAAGAAGGTTTCTTTCCGCGGCCTTTTATCAGACAAAAAAGGGCAATTCTATGCGTAATGGTTCTATTATAGTTTCATGTCGAGTCTGGGCATGTTTTTGAAGACAATGCAAGAATTTGATTGTGATTTGATTTTTACGCCACAGATTTAGAAATGAAGTGTGTTCTTGTTATCAAATTTTCAAAATTTCTTTGGTGTGTTGTGCAGTCCATTATCAAAGTCGCTGGGATAAGCTCGGCGACATGGAGTGTGAAAAAATCAAAAAATTTTGATGACTTTCAAGGGTATGTTCGAGATTCTATTTACATCAAGATCCGTCGGCCTTGATGACATATCAAGTAATCAAAAGTTTTAGCCCGCGTTTTGCAGGGAGAGCCGACATATATGCACTCAATTGTTTGTGGCACAAGATGCGGAGAGCGGCCAGAGAGGCGATACTTTTCGGCCATATCGCTTCCATCCCTGAGATTCCGCATCTAAAAAATCCTTTTTATTAAAACATTTTTTTCAATCCTTTTCGAACTTTTTTTCAAAGTATCACAACGCTTATTTTTAACGGTTTTTATCGTTATGAAGACGACGACGTGTCGCACAAAGTATTGGAAATCAAGAACATACATAACTTTCATATCATTTTAACGTGTGGCCTTTTGGATATACTGACCGTGAAAGGTCCCGATTTTCGATTTCCTTTAAATTATGCATACACAAGCTCTTTGAGACCAAAAAATCTTACAAGGAAAGTACTTCTATGGGGTATGGAGTTACAGGTCGAGTCATATATCAAAAAAATCGCAACATTTTTCTGATTCAGAATATGTAAAAATTAGCTGCCTAATTTTGGTTTGTAAGGGTGAAAAAAACCCTCAGAACTTTTCTCGCAACACCACGCAAATGCCTTTTTGACCAAGTTTTTACCAAATCAAATGCTTGTTTTTGAGCTAAAGTAAACTCTGGTATCTTGGAAAGATTTAAAATGTCAAATTTAATTTATACTACACCTGAATTAGTAGTTGCCATGTAAAAAGGCGCATTTCCATGGTGTTGCGAGAAAAGTTCATAGGATTTTTTCACCCTTGCAAACCAAAATTAGGCAGCTAACTTTTACATATTCTGAATCAGAAAAATTTTGCGATTTTTTTGATATATGACTCGACCTGTAACTCCATACCCCATAGAAGTACTTTCCTTGTTATAAGGGAAGTCTCCCCAAGTGCGACGTATGTCAAACTGAGGAGTCCGGTGACCGGAATAGACTCTTCGCTATCGGTTTTTTGCAGTTCGTCTTGATTTCCAGAGAAAGAGCGAAAAAAGACACGCAAAAGCGTACTCTCTCACCCCAAGAATTCCCCATTTCTTCCCCGACAAAACGTTTTTTCGCGTCTTTTTTTGGCAAATTGCCAATCCATTCACCGGACTGTTTTAGCTTATCTCAGTTTGACGTGCGACGCCGAGAATTTCTTTAAAATTTGTCTATAATTCCGGCATAGGTCACATATCAATTAGTGAAAATTTTAGCTCCCGTTTTGAATGCGCAGCCGAGATTTTCAACAATCTTTGCGGCCGAGAGAGTACGTTAAAGGCGGAGAGCGGTCAGAGATATTAAAAACACTTTTTGGCCATAACGTTGTTAATTTTGGATAAAAAATTTTTATTATTTCTGGAGAAATTACTCTCAGCAGTAGAATTATTTATGAAACTTTTCGTGCCAAAATTCGGCAAAAAGTCTCAATTTTTTGCCGACTTTCGATCTAAAAATCTCGGTTGTTTCTGCAAAGCGCGAGCTAGGATTCTGGCATTTATTTTAGAAAAAATTATTCTAAATTTTCCACAAGTTTCATCAAAAACCGAGCGTCGCACTTGGAGTATATCCCCTGAAAACGTCGCACTTGTAGCACTCCCATATCTATAACAACATGCCATTTTTTGCTCTTAAAACTGCTGAAAATGAAATTTTAGGCATTTTGAACTGTGATACCTCTCACAATTTTGAGATTTCAATGAAATACAAGGAGAAAATCATTGCTTTGGAAAACAATTCTTGTTTGTTTCCCCCCAACTTTTCGACGGTCCCTCGAGCCCATGTTGTTCCCCGTCCATTTCTCTTCCCAATCAACCATAACTCTTGATTTTATCAGTTCAAAACTCACGAAATTACGTATCTTCCGTGCATGCTCCCCTGCGAATACGTACCTTCTAAACTTGTGAATTGTTTTGCGTTGAAACGGGCCGCTAAAAAACGTGATAAATAAACAAGGGAATTACCCCAGTGTGTTTTTTTAGTTTTGAATCGCTTTTTGGGGGTCAAATACGTTGCCCGTTCGAGAGTGGTTTGCAAATCGGGGAATTTGCGATCAAAAGTTATGGAAATTGCAAAAAATTGCAATCCGGCTGTTTTTGAGATAGGCAATTGAGCATGTATTGCAATTGCCAATAAGAAAATTAGTCTGCAAAACAATTTAGGCATTGCTTTGAGTACTATATGAATGTTGCTACCGTCTGTCGGGAAAATAATGAGCGCTCTGTCGCATCAAAAATCGAATCGCTGTCGAGAAAATGAATTGTCTTCGCGGCAAAATCAAATTGCTTTTCAATTCAGCGACGCGATTGGCGCAACGACATTATGCCCATTATTCAGACTGAGACAGTCTGTAGAACAAGTTTCGTACAACAAAACAAGTATAAACACTTTCGGAGAGAGCCCAAAAATTTTAAAATTTCGCGAACCGGACCAGAAAAAATCGGTTGTGGACCGGTCAGATACTGGTCGCGTAGTCACTTTCAGACCAAAGTGAACTTCGCTTCAGCAAAAACCTTCTATAACGCACAATTTTTCTTGCGGTCTCGAAGTACAGAGGCTTGTCTGAAAAACGGAAAGAAGCAAACCTTTCCAAAAGAAATGAGCTTTCTTTGATCGATTGCAATCTATTTCACACTGCGTTGACGGTGGTATTACTTACATATATGTATACCACTAGACAGCCCTAGAATCCTTATAAATCTATAGATGGGCAAGCTACTAGATTCAATGCAAAATTAATACTCTTTGAGGGCCACATTTCAGATTACTTTGCTTTTAATTTGGCCGCCACCAACTTCACTGCAGCATCAGAATTTACTGTCCTACCGCATTTTATAACTCTCAGAAGTCCTTCAAAAACTACCGTATTTTACAAACCTCAGAAAGCCCTCAAAAACGCGGTTGGTACATTTATTGCTCTCTCATGACAATTGAAAATAAAATTATTCAGCAAATTTTTCGATTTGATTAAAAAGCAGCAGCTGGTCGGTTCTTGAAGTAGGTTTTGAGTTGGGGCAGGCTCTCCACTCTCTTCAGATGCTCCAAGAACTTGGGGTACTTGCTGATGATCTCTGGCGCGTGTCTGTTGTAGAATTCGATGGTCTGAGCCCAATAAAGGTCGGCATAGGTGGGACCGTTCTCGCCGAAAAAGCCGCTCGGCTTGAGGAGGCGCTCCAATGGCTTGAATTGCTTCTCAGCGTTGGGGGCGAAGAACTCGGCTTTCAGTTTCTCCTGAAATATGAATTAAGATGAAAAACGAAATATCTTCGTTGAAAAGCGTCTTGAGCCCAATTTCAGAGAACCCTGAGCTTTTATTTCTGACCATTTAAAGATTCTTTCTAGCAGCAATCGCTCCCAAAACCCCACCTTGTTTCCCTCGGCCTGCCCAAGAAGCAGCTTGTAATACGGGCCCACGGACTCGAAGAAGGTTCTGGCCATTTCATAGGCCTGATCCACAAACGCCGACTCCAGCGGGGTTGTGCCGTCCAGTTTGGCCAGTCTGCCCACAAATCTGGTGATGGTGTGGCTTTCGGTTAATGGCTTCCCGTCGATGAGGAGGACCGGGATTTGGCCGTAGGGGAATTCTAAAGTAATTGAATTTTAAAATGTGAAAATTTCATAATTGTTTAGTACTGTAAAATCTCTGCAGAACAAAAGAGTAAGAAAAATTATTTGTTTTGGAAGGGTTTTGCTGTGCTACTCCGTTCGCAAATTGCACAATGCAAAGAGAGCTCTTGTTTTCTGTGAGGCGGTACGACCGAGCTTCGAGGATTTTCCCACGAGAATCTACTTCAATTATTCAAATTTGATTGTACTTTTCTACGTGGGGTTTCCCTATAAAAGGCCTCATTTCAACAGAATAAATCACTTGACTGTTGAACTCTCGGCTTGGTCAGTTACTGGGTTGTAGGGATTTTCGACGCTTTCTCACTGCATGTCGCCAAACTACCTAGCTCCACCGACTTTCCGAACGGACTGTTAGTCGATCTGGAAAATAATATGGATTCGTCGCGCCTTGGAATCGCCCATCATCGTTCTGCGGCGGCTAGCGGACTAGTATGGAGGTTCATTTTGGTCGAAAATTGACTCTTAGTACCTTAAAGGCTGTTTGCTACAGACAGACTCTGTTGTAGGGTTGTCTGTGCGCAGAAGATGAAGTTTACTTTGCGATTTCTTACTCCACTACTTCAGCAGTCCCCATTACAAACAAAAACAGCAAAAACTCACTTGTCGTGTCACCCTTCCACTTGGGCCATTCGTTGAGCGGAATTCTGGTGTCCTTAAAAGCAATTCCGGCATAGTTGAAGGCCTGGCGGATGGGCTCCGCTCTTCCGTAAGCATCATAGTACAGTAACTCGTAAGTGGGCATGGTGAAACAGCTTTGATGCGAATCACAATTCTGCTCAAATCCATGTGCGGATGGCCTTTTTATAGCGACCAGCGTGAGCGATAAGATACAAAAAAGACGTTGCTTGTTGTTGCAAACAGGTCCTGCCCACTTTGGTCGAACGCCGAAAACGTGGCGTTCCTTGAGCTTGCATGTTTCATGTAAACAGGCGATGTTTACGGGGGAAACTCCCCAAAAAATTGTTTTTGATAATTGTAGAAAAGAACTTGGATAAAATCTCGATGGAAGGCGATAAGAAGATTTTTCCGCTCTAGCTTGTGATATAGCGGAATTTTTTGTACGTATCAGTCTGTCGTTAAAATAATGAGCACAATGTTGCTGCGCCAATCGCGTCGCTGAAGTGAGATGCAAATTGATTTTGCCGCAATACAACTATTTTCTTGGCGGCGATGCGATTTTCGAAGCGGCAGAGTGCTCATTATTTTCCCCACAGACTGGTGTGCCATAAATGCGAAACTTTTTTACAGTAAAGAAAGGCCGTTGACGTAGAATGCAGACTGATAGCACGCAATTCTTCTCTCAGTTTCTTTCTGGATTTTTATTTCAAGGGACCAAAAAAACAGAGGTTATTGAAATGGTTGCTTTAAAGAATCTCCTTTCGGCCTAGAATTAACTATTGGGGTCTCTGAAGTTATTCGTTATGGATAGATTTTGTTTAGTTGAAGGAAATGCACAAGATCTCAGAGCGCATCAACGCATTCGTCGAATATCGCGGCGTTCTTAGTCATAGTTTTCATTAATGAGTACATGGCCTATGAACAGTGCGGGACGGCGGAATTTTGATTCAGAAGGGAAGTGAACCAAGTGCGATGCTTCGCGGTTGCGCTAGTACCGTCGCAACCGGCAACGAGCACCGGAATTTGTCTCTCAGCGAAACGAGAGCCGGAGCAAACGTGGACAATTGGGATGAAAGGGACAGTTGGTCGGAACGAGAGCCCGAAGAACGGTCGGTGATCATGGACGGGTCTGTGGTCAAGGAGGGTGTGAGACGGAACGACCGCACTTCGAGCCCGAATTCCCACGGAAATCATCATTTATTATTCAAATTTGACTGTACTTTCCTACGTGGGACTTAATTATGGGCCGCTTTTCACTCAATAAATCACTTGAACTCAAGCTTCTCGTCTTATCGTGTGGTTGTCCCCCGGGCCTCTCGACAAAGGGCACGGCAACCCAGGGAGTTTCCCTCCTCGTTTCGGCACTTCGCACACCCAGTATCGGTCAAATTCACACGAAATGTCGCAACAGAGTTTGTCGTGTGGTTTTTCGAAGGAAAACTATTTTTCTCGAAATTATTTTATTGCTTTTTTCAGTTGTGACACTTTGTTTGGACGAAACTCAAAAGTGGGCGGGAGATATTTTTGTTCTATTTTGGTTTGCCGTGAAGGGGTTCTGGAGGACAGAAACTCTAGTCGTCGACCGTGTTGTAGTGCATTTTGGAGATTAGAGGACGTTTCGGAGGATAAATTGGTGGTTATATTTGTCTTGGGATTGATGCTGAAGGTCGAGAGAGCCGTTTGGAGGTATTTTGCGTATGTTTTGGTAATACCAGGAACATACTATTCGCTTTCAACCTTGGATTGCATTCGCATTATAAACACAAAATTTGGAAAACCTGAGGGTGGCATTTGTATAATAATTTCCTTTTACATACAATTCGAACCAAAAAGACAGAATTCCAATCTCCGTATTTTACAATCAAGAAGAAAAAAAATCAAAATTTTGCAAGTACATTTATTACCCTCTCATGACGATTGAAAATAAGTTCATAAAAAAGTTTTTTTGATCAAAACGCGGCATCCGGGCGGTTCTGGAAATATGTTTTGAGTTCGGGCAGGTTCTCCACTCTCTTCAGATGCTCCAGGAACTTGGGATACTTGGTGTAGAGCTCCGGTGCATGTCTGTTGTAGAATTCGGTCGTCTGCGCCCAATAGAGATCGACATAGGTGGGACCGGTGGTGCCGAAGAAGCCGCTCGGCTTTAACAGGTCCTCCAACGCCTTGAATTGCTTCTCAGCGTTGGGCAAGAAGAGCTCGGCTTTTAATTTCTCCTGAAAATGAAAAGGGCTAATAGAGGTAATGTTTGAAATGTGACGCTCAGGTTTTGATGAAGCTTGACATTTTAAAGAAACACACAACGTTTCGAAGTTGGGTGCCGCAAAAAATCTAAAAAATCGAGAATGGGGTCTACGTTTTTTTGTATTGTCGGCTCGCCGTGGCACGTATTGAAAAATTAAAAAATGTATTTGAGACTCTGAAAGTTTCTTATTCAAATTATATAAAAATTGTCACCATGAACTTTGTAAACCCCGAGCAGATCGCATTAGAAAAAATGAAAATTTCATGGGCGAATTTTGGCTTAAAAACGTTTCACGCGTTTATACTGCAGAGTGTAAGGCTTCCACAAAGAATCAATTTCGCCGGTCACAAAGCTAAGTCTCCGCCGAGCGTCCGCTGACCATCCAACGGCATTGTCAGGCCTCGTGGACACTTCCTACAACCTTTTTTTGCATATCCACCTGCCCCGTATCGATCGGTTAAGAAACTATCCCCAAAATGCATACCTTATCTCCCTCGGCCAGCCCGATCAACGTCTTGTAGTATGTGGCCACAGAGTCGAAGAAAGTCCTCGCCATTTCGTAGGCCTGATCCAGGAAGGCCGTCTCCAATGGGTCGGTTCCGTCGAGTTTCGTCAACCGGGCCGCATATCGGGTGATGGTGTGGCTTTCGGTGAGTGGCTTTCCGTCGATGAGGAGGACTGGGATTTGGCCGTACGGGATCTCTGGAGAGAAAAGTTGCAAAATACGTGAAAGAAAGTATTGTCACTCTGTCGGGAAAATAATGTGGGCTTGTCGCAGAAAAATCTCTCGCCTCAACGCAGTCAAGACTAAATTTCCAGCCGCGGCTAGTCGTAGTGAAGCGATGATGGACGATTCTAAGGCTCTACAAATCCACATTATTTTCCCGACAGGCGGATATCAGCTTGCCCACAGTGCATGCCGCAGAAATCACGCCAGCTGTTTTCCGAACGGACTATCAGTCTGTCGGGAAAATAATGTGGATTTGTCGCACCTTGGTTGCTTTGCGCCGGCTAGCGGCCTAATGTGGAGCTTAATTTTGGCCCAAAACTGACTTTTAACTACCTTAATCACTGTGTGTCATAGACAGTTTTTGCGTGAATTTTTTTTCAAAAAAAAAAATCAAAAATTTTTTGCGGTCTTTATGCACTGTGCAAAAGGCGAAATTTTGCACAGTGCGGTAAAAAACCATGCCTGGTTGAAATATTTTTTTTTTCTTTTCTAAAATAGGCTCTGAAGTCCAATAAATCAGTCTGTCGGGAAAATAATGAGCGCTCTGTCGCAAATCGCATCACCGGCGAGAAAATGAATTGCGTCGCGACAAAACCGAATTTCTTTTCACTTCAGCGACGCGATTTGCACAGCGACATTATGCTCATTATTTTTCCGACAGACTGATCACGTATAATTGCAACCTACTCGTCGTATCCGTCTTCAACGTGGGCCATTCAGCGAAGCTGATTCTGGTGTCCTTGTAGGTGAGTCCGGCGTACGCGAACGCCTGCCGGATGGGCTCCGCTCTTCCGTAGGCGTCGAAATACAGCAACTCGTAGGTGGGCATGGTAGAAAATTTCTTGAGAATGACAATTCTGATCAAATCCCCTTGGAAATCGCGCTTTTATAGGGCTGGCGATCAGCGGTGGGGTTGTAAACAAGTCCTGCCCACTTTGGTCGAAAACGTGGCGCTCGTTGGGCTCTTATTGTTTACGTAATGCGAGTACTTTTAGGGGGAAACAATCCGGAAATTGCAGTGATAAGAGGAAACCGTTTTTTTAATGCAAAATGTTGATGGAAGTGATTGAAAGTCGATGATTATGTCAACAGGGTTTATGATAAATCAAGGTTATTGTATTATATATCCAAACCGTTGAATATCAACACATATTATACCAATATAAAAATAAATACTAGTCCGTTCGCAAGTCGCTGGCGTGGTTTTTGGCGTTTGCACTTGCGAAAAAGTACGGCTTTTTTTGGGCTGCGAGCGACAGCTCAAACAAGCCTATTGCACTGTGCAAAAAGCAAGAAATTGCACAGTGCAAAGTAAACTCTTGTTTTCTCACAGTGCATGTTGCAAAAATCACCCCAGCAATTTTGCGAACGTATTAGTAAAACGTAATCAAAAATAGTGGAGATATCAAAATCCTATAGCCGAAATTAAAATATCTGACGTTCTTAAGCCTTTGTGCAACGAACAAGAAAATTGCTGTGTATAGTAGTCGCGACATAAATTCCGTAGAATTTGCACAGTTCATTTTTTCGCCCTTGCCGCGCGACTTCCCGTTTTTGCACTAGCGACATGTACTTTTCGGCGAAAAAAATTCTACGGACTTTATGGCGCGACTAGTAGAAAAATTTGTTGAATGGAACTTCATTTTGGCCTAGACTTGACTTCTGAGAGCTCTAAAATTTTTCACTATCAGTCTGTCGGGAAAATAATGAGCACTCTGTCGCATAGGCAGAGCTCCGGGCCGGGCTTTTAAAAATTTTTTTTGGCCCGGACTGCAGATTTTTTTTGTCAGGCCCGGGCCAGCCCAATTTCAAAAAAATATGGATTTCCCTTAATTGTCAAAAGAATAGAGAAATTTCATAAAAAAATCGCTCGAAAATATTGCAAGATTACATCAGGAAGACCAAAAAAAATGTCTGGTCTTCCCCAGGTGGAATGGCAAGAGTTTCTTGGCTTCCAAAAAAGTCCGGCTAGGATGTTTCTCACAGAATAAAAATTTTCAAACTCAAAGAATTACAAGTCTTTTACCCAGGCCAGTCTTTCAAAATTTTGCAGTCCCGAGCCCAGCCACAAACCAACAAAAAATCAGCAAAAATCTCAAAAAAATACCATAAAAATTCACTGCACGTGGCTCAACGTTTTGAAAAGTGCAAATATCACCTATCGTTTGTTGCATCATCGGTTTCTCATGCTTGCTAGGAGGCAAACACTGTACTTTTTTTTTAATCTGATTTACCCCCGTAAACAATGTGATGTTTGGATCATAAAGTTCAACTGAGCCTTCTCCAGCTGTTTTTTAGATTGATTTCGTTGAAAGCGAAAAAAGGCATGTATACAAAAACAATTTTACAATAAAAATGGCGTTCTTGCTGAATAAAATTGGGGATTTTTTTGAAAAACCGGAATATGGATATTGCATGGCCTGGGAGCCATTTAGATTTTTATGGATTTTTTATTGAAAAAATCCAAAAAGTGTTTTTCTGTCTGACTGCTCTCCGTAATTAGCGTAATCTCTTAGCCGCAAAGATTGTTGAACATCTTGGCTGCTGCTGCAAAGCGCGAAACAAAAATGTCCGGAATTTCTTTTCTGTGCCGAGATTCGGCAAAAACGCCTCTCATTTTCGTCGACTTTCGACCTAAAAATCTCGGTTGTTTCTGCAAAGCGCGGCCTAGCATTCGTGCGTAGAAAAAAATATTCTAAATTTGTGCCAAGTTTCATCAAAATCTGAGCGTTGCACGTCAAACTGAGATCAGCTAAAAAGTCCGGTAAATTGATTGGCAATTTGCCAAAAAAAAAGACGCAAAAAAGTTTTGTCGGAGAAGAAATGGGGAATTTTTGGGGCGAGAGAGTACGGGTTTTGCGCGTCTTTTCTCTGACTTCTCTGTGAAATCAAGACGAAGTGTAAAAAACCGATAACAAAGAGTCTATTCCGGTCACCGGACTTCTCAGTTTAATATGGCAAAAGTGCGTGCCATATTCTCGAAATGTGTACAAAATTCAAAGAAAATCTGAGCGTCGCGTATTCCCTTGAAAATTTAGACCTCTGTAAGACATGAAAAACTTCAAGTCTCGTTGTGTACACCCATTTTTCCGCGCGACATTTATGAAGATAAAAAAAAAAGTTTTCCCATGACCGGTCTCCCATTTCGCACACTCATAAAAGGTTGCTGGATATCCGGGTTGCCTCTGCAAATATCGAGCTTTAATGTTTTTGAAAAATTTAGGGCACTTCGGAGATTTGTATACTGATTGCGAATATTGTATGCATTCGCAGCTAGCGCTCTCTTCGTGAAGGAAAGCGCTCTTCAAAGCGGGATTTTTTAGGTTAGAGAAGGGAGGTATTTTGCGACATTTTGGTTCGTTCCTGGATGCAAAACGGTTCTTTTTTTGCCACTAGATCAGGTCCCGCACTGTATGTGTTCATTCCTTTCAACTTGGGCTCAAGTTTGAACCTTTACACGGCCAGATTAGAAAATAAACTACAAGAAGGCGTCAATGGTGACAACAAAATGTCTAGCTGATAGCAGGCAAGAATGGGCTCTAATGACGTCATAGTTTACAGAAGATAAAATTTAAGAAATTGTTGGTTATAGACAGGTTTCTTTGTACAGGAGTTCCACTGTATTTCAAAACAAGTCAAATTACTGTAAAACGCTCTGTAAAGCAAATCTTTTAAATCTGCTGGTTTATTTATGTAACACATTAACCTTATACATACTGTACTACCCAATATTCAACCCAGTATTCGCAGTCGGCGCATTCAAACTGTCTCTCGTCGCCAAGTAGCTTTGAAGCTGAGGCAGCGAATAAACTTCATTTTTCAGAGCCACCGACCTCGGGAATTGCTGAACAATCTCCGGATGAACATCATTGATCCAATCAATGAGACCAGCCCAGAAAAAGTCGACATACGAAAGGCCCAGTGGACTGAACAAGCCGCTTTGGCTACCCTGGAGTTTGCCGTCGATCAGTGGGATGAAACGTTGGGCCGTTGGGAGGAAAGTGGTCGTGTAGTTGGCTGCCTGAAAGTGGGATTGGAAACGTTTCGCCACAGCCGAGATATTCAAAGACTTTTGCTGACAAGGGAAGTCGTTCAGATCGCAAATGAACTATGACATGAGACCTGTGTGGTTTTATAGTCACATACTCTACTATATCGAATATAAAGGCATTTTTGCGTCTGGGCCCCCGCGGCCGAGAAAATCGACTATACAGTTTCGCAAGAAGAGAGCGCCGAAAAAGTCCTCTCTCCGAAAGCAAACCCAAACAGCTGCCCAGTTGGCCGAGTGGAAAGAGCGCTCGTCTAACGAATCTTCTTTTGGGTCGGGGGGCTGGGTTCGATTCCTTTCACCTGCAATGTAAAGGGTAAGACTACTGTGTACACTACACAGCGTTCTGTACTTTTTTGGAATGATTCCGACACCGATTTTTTCAAATTTTTCTAAAATAGCCCGCATTTACGCGGGTGTCGCGAGGGAATACTGTAAGACTGACTTGTAAAATTTGAAGTGCTGATAGAGTAAAGAGAGATCTTTCCAACAATACAACTTACGTAAATTAATATGGAAAAAGAAACTTGTAATCAGCGCTGAAAAATGACCGACTTTGGATTTTAGGCGCTAAATATTGCCCTTGGGCAGATCTCTTAGAAGAAGTGGATGGTACCACCTTATGCAGAATTTAATTCTGTACAACATATCCAAAAACTACGAAATTTTACTGCTTTTCCGTCGAATTATGCCTCAAAAATGCAATTTTTGCACTAGTTTTACCAATATTTTCAAAATATTTGCACCTTAAGGGCATTATTACAAAAACTGAGTCGTACATATTGAAGCCTGCATGGTAGCTGAGCATACTGTTTAATTTTACCCTGTCATCTTTCTCCGTCTTCAAGAACACCGGAGCTAAAGTTTGGTGTTTGGACCCAACATAAAAATGCCCTAAGGGGGAATTTCAAAAATGCGATAGTGCCATTGAACATAGAATTTTTTGTACTACAGGCACGCCAAATTTGAAGAAAAAATAAACGTTGAGATTTTCCGGAATAGTTTGATACATCGGTGGCCTCATGAACACATTTACGCGTTCATGATGTTGCATGGATTTCTTGGAGCAGTGACAGAAGAAGGAATTGAATCGTTGCCTTTTGAGCATGGCTGTTCGAACGCTTATTTCACGTCCAGTGGCACTATCGCATTTTTGAAATTCGCCCTTAGGGCATTTTTATGCTGGGTCCAAGCACCAAACTTTAGCTCCGTTGTTCTTGAAGATGGAGAAAGATGACAGGGTAAAATTAAACAGTATGCTCAGCTACCATGCAAGCTTCAATATGTACGACTCAGTTTTTGTAATAATGCCCTTAAAGTGCAGATATTTTGAAAATATTGGTAGAACTAGTGCAAAAATTGCATTTTTGAGGCATAATTCGACGGAAAAGCAGTAAAATTTCGTAGTTTTTGGATATGTTGTACAGAATTAAATTCTGCATAAGGTGGTACCATCCACTTCTTCTAAGAGATCTGCCCAAGGGCAATATTTAGCGCCTAAAATCCAAAGTCGGTCATTTTTCAGCGCTGATTACAAGTTTCTTTTTCCATATTAATTTACGTAGGTTGTATCGTTGGAAAGATCTCTCTTTACTCTATAAGCACTGCAAATTTTACACGTCAATCTTACAGTATTCCCTTGCGACACCCGCGTAAATGCGGGCTATTTTAGAAAAATTCGAAAAAATCGGTGTCGGAATCATTCCAAAAAAGTACAGAACGCTGTGCACTACAGTATGCGTAAAAAAAAAAATTTTTTTGTGTTTTTCCAATTTTATGTAGATTTGTGCCTTTTCTTGAGACAAAAACAAACAAAATTACTAATTTTTTTATTTAACTTTTTAACTATCATTTAACAACAGTCGTGAACACATTCAACAAAATGATGAAAACAAAGTTTTTGATTACAGTACGAGCACAAAAAAAAAGACAAGATGTCACAACTAGAAGCAGAACAAGCTGTGTGGACATCATGGGGGAAACAATACTCCACTGGAGTCTTGAAGGAAGGAGGCCTATTGTCAAGATAACCTCCTTTGAAATTTAACAGTCTGGAGAAAAGTCGACTAAATTTGTTTGTTTTTGTCTCAAGAAAATGCACAAATCTTCATAAAATTGGAAAAACACAAAAAAAATTTTTTTTTACGCATACTGTAGTGTACACAGTAGTCTTACGCTTTACATTGCAGGTGAAAGGAATCGAACCCAGCCCCCCGACCCAAAAGAAGATTCGTTAGACGAGCGCTCTTTCCACTCGGCCAACTGGGCAGCTGTTTGGGTTTGCTTTCGGAGAGAGGACTTTTTCGGCGCTCTCTTCTTGCGAAACTGTATAGTCGATTTTCTCGGCCGCGGGGGCCCAGACGCAAAAATGCCTTTATATTCGATATAGTAGAGTATGTGACTATAAAACCACACAGGTCTCATGTCATAGTTCATTTGCGATCTGAACGACTTCCCTTGTGAGTGCGGAGGGAAATTGAGAGCACGCGAAAAGCGGAGGGTGATCGGAGAGAAAACCGATTTTTGGACATATCTTTTCAGGCTTGGCGCGGAAAACATTGATCTTTTGTGGAAACATCCTATTTCGGCTGGAAACAATGTAAAAACTTTTTGTTCTGCAGAGACAAAAAGCACCAAAATGTAAAACTTTCGTCGTCTCTAGAGGGCCTTTAAAGCTACTTTTAAATTTACGACTTGAACAAAATTCCCAAAAAATCCCGTTTCTGCCTTTTTTGCTCTTTTTAGTGAAAACTTTCAACGATTCTTCTACAAAGAATGCGACCATTTTTGTAACTGCATCAAACCTTCCCACTTACCGTAGCTTGCTTTCCGTCTCGGAGACTAATCGTCAAATAGCGATGAATCATGTCAACGAACTCAATCCCAAGCGTGTAGATCTCATCCAGTCTCGCCGAATCCATCAGGTCGGCGTAGTGATTGAGGTTGACAATTCGCGCAATGTAACGCGTCACAACGGCAGTCTCGGCGATTACAGTGTTGTTGATGCGGAGAACCGGCATCACTCCGTATGGGAATCCTAAAATAATGTAAAAAATGTTCGTTTTCCAGTAAAAATAAGGTGGGTCCAGTCGAAAATTGTGCCGCAATTCGTCGTTGTACGAATTCGGGTCCTAGGATAGTTTATGACCTATTTTAAGGTATTCCGCATGTACATATTACTGCAATAATTTCCGGATAAAACCTATGGACTTTTGTTTTGCGGAGCAACTTTTGGTCTTTTATATGAATGCTACGACAGCTCATGGTCAAGAAAACTAAGATTAGCAATAGATAAAACTATTGTCGAAAAAGTAGGCGTATGCTTCGCCAAGTCTCCGCCGAGCCATCGCCGAGCGTTCGCCAAGCATGCAACGGCTAATGGAATACAAATGCGGTTTTGGGTGGTCCGTTACAGCGACGGATCTGTTCCGGTGGCAAAAAGTGTACCATTTTGCATCCGGCAAGTATCAAAAAAATGTGCCTCCCTCTCCAACTATTAGGTTGTCCAACAAATAATGACCCTCTTCGAAAAATTTACTTTTTTGGTAAAATTTACCGTAATAACTGCGAGCTATTTAATCAAAATATTAGGATGATTCAAAAGTTTTTCCACATTTTTTTGTGACACTTCAAAATAAAATTTCTAGAGCCTGATTGAATGTACGTTAAAACTGAGAGCATAGATGTATGGGGCAGAACATTGCAAAATTTTTGATTCGTAGCATTTTATTTTCTACAAGCGTTCTTTCAGAATATTTCAAAAATACTAAAAATTTCTTCGTTTGTGTCATGGTGAATATCCCGGGCCCTAGCAATTTTCCAGCCCACTAAAAAGTCTCGGGTTTTGGGTTATTCGTACTTGCGATGGCTGTAGTTTCTTCTGAATTTATTGCTCTACTCATATCTACTCTGGCGTTTTTTGTAGGATCCCATAAAGTTGGCCGGAGAGCCGAGCTACCGATAAAAAGCAGATTTTAAAAAATTTTTTGAAAGGAGTTAGATTTTTTTGACTCGGCTGCCATTCAGGTTGTACAAAGACAGTATGCTGATGATACATTCAAAAAGTCACCAACTGAAATTGCCTTATAAGGTAGAAAAGTAGCATAAACTGCACTTTTAGGCGAATTTTTGTAATTTTTTTACTGGTATGGCAAGCGGACCTTCAGCTTAGCGCGTCTAGCAACTGATAGTGTATGTCAAGTAGGATCAATTATTTATTAAATAACTAGGATACCGGGCGAGAGTAATGAACAGAAAACGTTTTTGTAAAAATCCCCTAACTTTTGTAAAATATTGATAGATTAGAAAGATTCGATTTTTCTGTCGCATAGCTAAAGCTAGCGCGAATGTTTAGCGTTGGCGTTGTAGTGCTACTCATACACTACAATAACAGAAAGCGTCATCTCTTAGTGCTTCTAATAGCTGCGTCGACAGGGTCTACTTTTGCCAGACCCTAATTTTTGATTTTTCGCACTAAAAATTTTTCGACTAGCCCTATAGCAAATTGTCCTCGATGCCATAGAGATTACATACAGGAATACCATATTCTAGAATATTAAGAAGATACAGCCACTCTAGACGTAACGCCGGCGGTTTACTTTTTCTTCCTTCGAGTAGTTAAGGTTTAACACAGCGCTACTATTACAAATTCCTAAGTTGTAAAAAGCTGTTAATCTAATATAATCTACAAACAGCCCTTTTTCTAACAACATATATATCAGGCCCACTGGCTTTGGTCTAAATTTTTTAAAATTTTTTAAAGACATGTGGAAAAACTTTTGAATCAACCTAATAATTATCATGCGCTTTATCACGCTTGTTACAACGTGCCAAAATTTTTTTTATGTCTGTAGCTTTGCAACCCTGGCTTCTGGAGCCGGTGAAACTTTTTAAGGCCTTTTCAAGGGCGTCTTGATTGTCGAATTTCCTACCACTGATGAAACGTGCTAGATTCTTGAACTGATGGCAATGTGAATAGGCCAGCTTTGACAAATAGGCTGGACGAGGGACAGTCTCGTATCTCTATTAAATCTGCTTCTGGAGGGTCATCTTTCAAACTAGAGGTTCCGTGTAGCCGCTAAGAATTTTTGGACTTCTGCGACGCATCGTTGAAGACGGACGCTGCCTCAAACTGTCTATCTGGATACAGTAGGGTATGGTATCTACATTTTGGCCAGCTTTCAAGAAGCTGTATTTTACTATGCCCATGCTGCACCATCAAGAACTAGTCTTCACCTTGTTTTGGGGGGAGTCGGGCTTTGACAAGTGCCGCAGTGATACCCTCGGAGGACTCCGTTCAGCATATCTGGTCTGGTTGTCCCAGAAGGTCCTCTTTTCATCAGAGGCAACGTTTCGATCCAGAAAACGGAACGCAAACGCGAGAAATGTAAAGATTCCAATCTTTGCTTTGACCCAATAACATGGGAAAAAGTTGCCGAGCGTTTTTTGAATTCCATCGACATCAAATGGTTAGTCGCCGATTATTTCAGCAGCCAGACAATGTCAGAGACGCGTTGAATATTGATTCTAGGATATTCGTCAACCGACGACCTCAGGGTAAATTGATAATGTTTGGAATCCGTACTTTATCTTTGTGTCCCTCGCCGTCAAATCGTAATTTTTAAATCCATCGTTTCACCGTGTTCAGACTCAGAACACACTAGTCGAACATAGCGTTGATACTTTGCGTAGCTTCTGAAACTTTCGCATCCTGTTTTTGCCCGTAAAAGATGACAGCGCGAACCGACTTTTTCTTGATAATTTTTGATTAGGGCTAAATTACTGTAATTTGGTCCCAATATGACAAACGATGCATCAAACGAAAGCCTGAAATCTCAGCTACAAAATTATATAATATTTCGAAATTCCATCATCGCTTGCCTTTTTTAGAGGCTTTAAACTTTGCCCCTCTCACAGAGGGTCATTATTTGTTGGACAACCTAATAAAAAGCTTCGTTTTGAAGGGCGCCCTCACAAAAAGAGCGGGTGCGCTTTTGAAATCAGAGTTTTTTACTTGGAGAAGGAGGTATTTTTGCAACATTTTTTGATAACGGTATGCAAAACAGTAGGTTTCTTGCCACTAGATCAGGTTTGCCACTGTATCAATCCCGAATGTCGCAGCGAAAAAAGCATCAAAAAGCGCCTGATTTCGGTCGTTTTTCCATATAAAATTCAATGTATCCACTCAAAAATTTACCGTAGTCCCAACCAGAGATTGCCAAAGTCAAAATTTCGGCTCCGGCTCTTAGCTCCCAGAGCCGGAGCCAAGGCCTAGTTTGCAGCTCCGGCTCTTGGCTCCGTGCAAAATTTAAAAAGACATGCCGGCTCCGAATTCCGGCTCCTATGCAAAATGTTTTTTTAAAAATATTTTTCCAAAAATAAAAGTTATTAGTGCCAGAGATCATACAGCCAACGTTTTTACAGCCAAGTCGCATCCTCCGCTGTGTTTTTCAAGCAATTTGGTTTAACAAGATCACGAAATTTTTACTTTTCTGAGCGCTGAGAAGCCTGGCCCCGACTTTGGGCTCGGGAGCCGGAGCCGACCCCAAAATTTCCGGCTCCGGCTCTGGCTCCCGGCTCTGAGCCGTAGCCGCTCAGAGCCGGAGCCACGAGCCGGCTCCGGAGCCGTGGCAATCTCCGGTCCCAACATAAGCCCTGGCTCTTTTTCACCGCATACCCACTCACTTGTCGTATCATTCTTGATGGACAGCCATTGTGACCACTGAATTCTCGTGTCGGTGAAGGGAATGTTCGCAAAATGCAGCATCAATCTCAAGGGTTCAGCGCGGCCTTTGGCCGCGAAATAGGTGAGCTCCAGGTCCGCATGAACAGAGACGCCCAGAGCCGCCAACAGGCAGATAATTGCGCGCATTTTTGTCGCATTTCAACAAAACACGGGGTTTTTATGCAATCCAAAACTACAAAAATAAAACCACCCTTTCGCCGTGCGGGTTTGACAAAGAGAACAGGGAGGCCGCGCATATACGTTCAAATACGAACGGAGCTCAAAATTTGAGTCTTTGAGTGGGAGAGTGGATAAAAAAAAGAATAGAAAAAGATGTACATGTAGTAACAATTGTCTCGTTTTGCACTTTAAAGGGGTTCGCTTTATTCGACGAACATGAATTGTTCGACTCAAGAGCAATGAAAGCGGCATGTTTGACTAGAATACGTATTAGGTTGATGCATAATTATCCGGCGTTTTTTCAACAAATTGCGTGATCGGCTTTGTTGTTGTCGGGGAGTTCGTGAGGGACCCATCCAGCGAATTTTCATACATTTCCAAGCTTTTTTGAGACGTCGAACAATCGTTGACTGCATTCGTGTTGTTAAGCTTTCATCGTCTTCCACTGCTGCCAGATGTGCCTGATCGTCGAAATCCGATGGCCGACCTATTCCCGGCTTATCTTGCAAGCTGATGTCACCTGATTTGAAGCGCGCAAACCACTCCCTACACTGACCGAAAAGATCGTTGAGATCGCGAAATGACTGTGCTGACTTCCAAATGCTGAAGTTAAGAGCAATTTTATTCTACCGCGGCGCAATTCATTTCCTCGGCGGCGACATGATCTTCGTACGCTCATTATTTTTCCGCATACTGATATGCACATTGACGGGCCTGATACAGTGGCAAAAAATGTGCCATTTTGCATCAGGGAAGTATTAAAAACGCAGCAAAATACCTCCTTCTCCAACTAAGAAAACCCCGTTTCAGCGCGCCTGTGCCCTCAGAAAAAGAGCGCGCTTTTGAAACCGGAGGTTTTTCACATGGAGAGGGAGGTATTTTGCTGCATTTCTGATGCTTCCCGGATGCAAAATGGTATGTTTTTGACACTGAATCGGGTATAACGAATTTCGTGCGACCAATTAGTATTGGGTTGATGCATAATTATCCGGCGTTTATATTGGTGCGTTTTTTGTTAGTGAAAATTGGCGTTTTGTTAATTTTTTTTCAACAAAATAATCCCCTCTAGTTAGTTAATAAAAATGATGATTTCCGTCATCCTGTTGGCCCTTTATTAATTCTAATGGAAATCACAAACATACAGTGACGGACCTGATCCAGTGGCAAAAAACGTACCATTTTGCATTCGGGAAGTATCAAAAAATGTAGCGAAATGCCTCTTTCTCCAACTAAAAAAAACTCCGTTTGAATTTTCCGTGAGCGGGCTATTAAATCGGAGTTTTTTCACTTGGAGAGGGAGTCATTTTGCCACATCTTTCCATACTTTCCGGATGCAAAATGGCACTTTTTTTCCATTCGATCAGGTCCTCCACTGTAAATAAATTTAAAGACTTGCTCTTTTCTATCGAACGGGGTTAAAACTATCAGCGATTCTTCTACAACACCACCCTGTGGCCTTGTGTCCTCAAATAGGGTTGAAGTTGTGGCAACGACAAGATTCTAATTCGATGAGCCGCTGAGATAGGATGTTGCTGGACAATTTCTGGGTGAATATCGTTGATCCAGTCGACTACGCTTGCCCAGAAAAAATCGGTGTAGGATAGGCCTCGACGTGAGAAAAGGCCGTTGGCGTTTTCTCGGATGAATTTTTCCACCAATGGGAGATATTTTTGGACGTGCGGAAGAAAGAGAGTGTTATAGTCGGCTTGCTGCAAGTGTTTTGATAGTAGAACATTTTATTGGGGTTATAGGTACAGTGAGGGCCTGATCCAGTGCCAAAAAACTTACCATTTTGCATCCCGAAAGTATGAAAAATGTGGCAAAATACCTCCCTTTCTAACTAAAAAAAACTCCGTTTTGAAGGGCCCTCAAAGAGAGGGCGAGCCCTTTTGAAATCGGAGTTTTTTCACTTGGAGAGGGAGGTATCTTTCTGCATTTTTGATACTTCCCGGATGCAAAATGGTACTTTTTTTGCCACTGGATCATGTCCGCCACTGTATAATAGAAGCTCTAAACGGGACTACCATACAACAAAGTCTGTGTATAACCAACAATCTCAGGTATCCAAAGAGTCGTTTAGGCCAGATGAAAGTTCACAAGGGAAGCGCCCCAAGTGCGCCCCTCAGATTTTGATGAAACTTGGCACAATTTTATATTAATTTTTTCTCACAAGGAAACTAATTTTATGGGGGATGGAGTTACACAGGTCGAGACATAAATCGAAAAATCGCAAAATTTTTCTGATTCAGAATATGTAAAAATTAGCTGTCCAATTTCGGAAAAATTTTTGCGATTTTTTGACGACTCTATTATACCCCACAGAAGTACTTTTCTTGTAGCATAAGCGGTTGACGAGATCGTCAACTTACAGTAACAACTTTTGTGCCTTCCACAGTACCCGAGATGTAATGAATCACCTCGTTGAAGAAGTCCGACGCCACTTCATAGACTTCGTCAATTCGGGCCTGGTCAAGCGGGTCATAACTGTGATCAAGATTTGTAATTCGAGCAACGAATCGAGTTATGACACTTGTTTCGGCAATAATTGTCCGATTAACTTGAAGCACCGGTATTACAGCGTAAGGGAATCCTGAAAGGAAATGGATTGCTTTATGTCGCCTACAAAAGTCATTAGGTCAGCTCAACAGCTGGGATTTCAAGGGATTGTTATGCGACCTCCAAGGCTATGTACGAAACATTTACAAACAATGGGAGCGTAATTTGGCGTACTTTGACGGACCCGATCCAATGGCAAAAAACGTGCCATTTTGCATCCGGGAAGCATCAAAAATGTGGCAAAATGCTTCCCTGTACAAGTAAAAAAAGTTTCGTTTTGAAGGGCGCGCCTTTTTCTTCACAGAAAGAACGGGCGCGCTTTTGAAATCTGACCTTTTTCACTTGGAGAGGGAAGCATTTTGCCACATTTTTTATACTTCCCAGATGCAAAATGGTACGTTTTTTGCCACTGGATCAGGTCCCTCCACTGTAATTTGAAGCTATATTTATTTCCTGACCAAGAGTTACTCAATGTGGCGTGTCGTCGCAAATACAATTTTAGAGACGATCTTTGCCCTGTTTTCTCCTCGCTAGCCGGTACAAACCTTCCTTTATGGTCAGAAAATAATTTCTAAATTTTTATTGATTTTTTGAGAACATCTTTTTTTCTATTCATAGTATCCGAAACGTCTAACAGTTTCGAAAATGCGCTGGATTGACGAGAGCATCTCTCCCATCACTCTGCGCAAACTTACTCGATTTGTCGTACTTGATCCTCGTCCATTCCTCCGCTGTAACCCGCGTATCTCGGAATGGTATTCCTCCATAATGAAGGATCAATCTGATAGCTTCAGCTCTCCCTTTTAGTCCAAAATAAATCAGTTCCACATCAGTCACAGCCGCGACTGATAAAACTCCAAACAACAGCGCAAGGGCAAAAAATTTCATTTTGCTGCAACTTTAAAGTTGGCCTTTTCAAAGCCAGAGCCGTCTTTAAATCGTTGGAAATCATGACGTGAGCTTCTGTTTATCTAAGCTTTTATATCGGATGACCCTTTCTCTAACAACAATATGCAAGTCAAACGTGGTGTTTCGAACTTTCTTTTCAATGCTTGCTAACACCTACGGATCGGATTAACACCTCCGTTGCAAACGATTGTTTAAATAAATCCTTCAATTCGAAAATTCTATTGATAATAGAAAAACAAGGGTATGTACGTTGCAACCTCGCGGTTAAAATCAGTTATAACGCGGCAAAGTCAAATTGCCTTCACTTCAGCGGCACGATTGGGCAGCGACACTATTCTCGTTGTTTTCCCGACAGACTGATATTTAGAAATGTAGGCGAAACTTCCGATGGCTACTGTCCCAAGCAAAGCCCTTTGTGCCCGCGGCGGCATGGGTGGACAAGAAAACCAGCCAGAATATTATAATATTTATTCCCAATCAAAAAACATTGTCCAATTGGAAAGTGTCGTTCCTCGCAAAGTCAAGATATCTGTTCAGAAGGTACTTCTGAAGATTACTATTGTTGTAGCCATCAACTCTGTTCCAATGGTTTATCGAGGCGTAGTATTTCAGTAGGACATCTGGAGCGTAGTAGTTGATCAGGTCTAGGATGTTGTACCAGGCAAAGTCCATGTATGTAATGTCGCTATGGCCGAAAAGGCCGGTGTTGTTGTCAGTGTAGGCCTCAATCATTGGGAGATAGTATTGGGCAGGGTAGTCGACGAGATTGTAACGAGAGGCGTTCTGGAATAGATGGGGAAAATTACTCTAAAGCCATGCCATTTTTCATCAAAATCTGAGCGTCGCATTTTGCGCCCTTCATTTGTAAATGGAAGGCCCTTACTTACGGCATCTCCAGGAGATCGTCCTTCGACGATATCGATGTATTGAAGCACACTGTTCAGCAAAGGCTGCGACTGCTCGAACAACGCATCCAATTTGGCGTCTTCAAGCACAGTCGGCGTTAAAAGATGAGTGATTTGCGCGACGTACCGGGTAATGGCTCCGCTGTTTGCGACGATTGTCATGTCATCAACGATGGCGGGTATGGTGCTGAATGCTGCAAGATTTATACATAAAGAAGTTATCCAGCCTTTTTCTATCGGAGTAGGACCTTTCAACAAAAAAATGAAGTTTCTGACCGTGGCAAAGACACTCCGCGGTTTTCTTACTCTCAATGCTCGTTGAATATTTGTGCCTGCAAAGCGCACGCTAAACTTTTCCGAAGTCGATACTAGTCGTTCCAGGAAGTGCGTGCACTTTTTGTCGTAGACCGCACTGTGCACAAAATTTCCTTTTTGTGGGGTGCTTTTGACCTTTTGCAATGTGCAACCGGATATCGCTGCGACGCAAGCTTTTCTCAACGGAGCGGGCGCGAATTTTTGAAAATTGCACAGCGCAAAATGTTTCGAATCGGATCGCGTCGCGCGGGGAATACGAAACTTGCACTGGGCTGTGCAAAAGAAGGCGGAGAAAAGTGCACGCACTTTCTGGAACGACTAGTATATGGTCAACGTCCAAAGCGTGTGCAAAATTTTAAAAAATCTGAGCGTCGTACATGAAGCACTTCCCCATGAAGTATTTATCATAGAAACGGAAAAAAAAAGTAGTTAGGAGGAGGGGTTTCTCCTCAAATTACCCAGTGTATACTGCGCGGCGTTCCAGTCCGCTCTGGAGAACCGGTAATCCGTGAAATTGATCCCAGCAAAGTGGAGCATCAATCGGATTGGCTCCGCTCTTCCCTTCTCGTTGAAATAGTACAGCTCCAACCCGCAGAGCTCGGACATCAGCATTACAAAGACTCCAATCTTTAACACGCCAGCTGCCATTTGGAAACGGATGTGAAATGTGTTCGAACTCGAGCTGTGCTCCGTTTATAGAGATTTTATAAAACAAAACACATGATAATCCGACTTACCGGGAACGGTTGGATTTGCAAACGCAGCGAACAGCGCTTTGTAGGCAACCGAAGGTGTAGAAACGACGACTTGGCAAGGTGTGTTGGCTTTTGGAGAGTCAAAAGAATGTTGCTAGAAGAAGCCGTTTAGCGACATAGACAATAGGGAAAACAATGATGTCGCTGCGCCAAACGTGTAGCTGAAGTGGATGTTGCTATTTTGAGTTTTACAATTCATTCCCTCGACGGCGCACGACAACCTGTGGTTTTTCGATGGGAAAACATTTTCCTGAAATTATTTATTTTGTTTCTTTTGTCAATTGTGATCGATCACATCTTTGGAATCTAAGCATTCGTCAAGTCTCCGCCGAGCTTTCGCCAACGGCTTTCCCAGTCCTCATAGTAGTCACTGCCTACAACCTTTTTTGGGCACCCACCTGCCCTATGAACTCGATCGATTTTGTGTTGACCCGAGCTGTCGCTGACTCGAAAAGTCGGGACGAGCATATTTCAAGTCTCCGCCAAGTCTCCGAGCCCAAGATCCCCGAGCATACAACGGCTTTGACAGGCCTTGTAGTCACTTCCTACAACCTTTTTTTGGGCATCCACCTGCCCCACGCCCAGTATCGATCGATTTTATGTTGACCCGAACGTCATCTGTTGACGCCATCACTTCTTGTACACTTCTTGTACTTGACTCCCAACCGTCTTATTTTTACCTTGGGTGCACGACTAGTAATCAAAAAAAAAGTTCTAAATTTCAAGCGAACTTGCGATGTTTATTTCTTTACACACGTTTTTATTATTGAGTGGCATTGAAATAATTGTAAATCGTGAATGTCTCGTTTCTCAGAAAATCGTCGCCCCGGGTTTGAAAATAGTTCTGAAGGTTGGAGTTGTTGTAGCCCATGACATTCCACCAATGATTGCTCGATACAGGGTACTTCGCGAGGACGTCAAAAGCATACGAATTGATGAGGTCTGAGAGATTGAACCAGACAAAATCAAAGTATGTAATGCCATACCGGCCGAAGAATCCAGTGTCATTGAAGATGTGTTGCTCGATGAGTGGATAGTAGAGTTGGCAGGGGTATTCGACCAGTCGATATCGGGCATTTGTCTGAAATAAATATTTTGTGTAAGATGGCTAAGTGGTAGATGGCACATGTTTTCTCCTGGCTGGGTCAAGCCTTCCTTTAGAAGGGACAAGTTTTTTCCCTGGCTGAGTCAAGCTTTCCCCTATCTTGATCAGAAATTTCCTGTCTAAATCAAGACCAGAACCAGGCTTTTGTTCAAATTCGACTAGTTTTTTTCCTGACTGGGTCAAGTCTTTCTTTAGATGGGACAAGTCTTTCCTTGGCTGAGTCAAGCCGTTCCCCCTCTTGGTCGGAAGATTTTTTGTCTGAATCAAGTCTTCTCTGACAAGTTCAGGCGTTTTTCAAACGAGTCAAGTTTTTTTCCTGATCGGGTCAAGTCTTGCTTTAGATGGGACAAGTCTTTCCCTGGTCAAACTTTTTCCTCTTTGAACTCACCGCATTTCCTGGCTTTCTTCCCTCAACAATGCTGATGTATTCTAGCAAGTTCCTCAAAACAATTCCCGATTGTTCGAACAACGAATCCAATTGAGCGTCTTCAATGTACGACGCTGTCAGAAGACCAGCGGTTTGAGCCACATACCGAGTAATCGCCTCGCTGTTTTCCAAAAGATCCGAGTCTTGCACCAGAGCCGGGATTGTGTGGAACACTGAAAAGTATTTTGAAATTTTTTTGCGGTGACTGCAATGCTTGAAATCTGACCGTTCTAGGTCGGGTTGATCGTTAGGACTGGTCCAAGAAATTGTCCGACGGACAGATATCATTACTTCACATACGCATCGAATCCTTCGAGGTGTTCCAATCAGCTCGCGAGAATCGAAAGTCCGTGAAGTTGGTCCCAGCGTAGTGGAGCATCAGCCTGATTGGCTCCGCTCTTCCCTTCTCGTTGAAATAATACAGCTCTAATCCGCGGGCCGCACCCACCAAGACTACCAAAACAAAGATCACGCTTGTCGCCACCATGCTAGACACGGATGTAAAATACAGCTCAATTCAACAGTTGCAGACTTTTATAAGCCTTTGGACTGGGCAAATCCCTCGCAAATCCGATTTGGTTTGTACTGCGAAAAGCGGATTTATCACAACTCTGTGTGATGATGTAAGTGTAGGCAAGTGGAAAACAGGTAAACAGTCATTTAAGTTGAAGGCTTGAGGATAAACCAAAGTTAAAACGGGATTGTTGAAATGCGAACTGTAGCTTAGTGGGATTGTTCAATTAATGAGCTGAGCTTATCGGGACAAGTCTTACCTCACTGGGTCATCTGTCGGTTGGAGAGTGCAGCTCATATCCACATTGCACCTGGACGGATGGTGCACCTGACCGCATCGAAGAACGCTCTTGGACAAACTGTTCACCTAAGCCGGCAGCTTACTGTGAGAAGGAATCACCGAGCTTCGAGGATTTTCCCACAAGAGCATCTTCAATTATTCAAATTTGCCTGTACTTTTCTACGTGGGCCTTCGCTATAAGAGGCCTTCTTTTGACTGAATAAGTCACTTGATTGTTGAGCTCTCGTCTTGTTTGGTTACTGGTTTCTTGGGCCTTTCGAGATTTTCGCCCTTATCGGTCTGTCGGGAAAATAACAGTAGGGGTCTCGCCTTGGGATCGCCCATCATCGCTTTGCGACGGCAAGCCGATGGCCAAAAAGCATTCCTCTCTGACCGCTCTCTGTACAGGGTCTTTCAAGAAACCTGAAGAAAGACCGGAGGCCATAGCTTCCGGTGGAGGCTGCGCAGGGACTTCGTTCTTGGAATATGTACTTTTAAGTGACATTAATTTTTGCCTATGAAATAACAGGATTTTAAGGTGCAAACTGAGATCTCTACGTTGCTTGAAAGGCCCTGTATTTTGAGCGTTCTCTCGAGGGCCAAGACTATCAGTCCGTAGGCGGTTGAAAAGCGAAAATGGGCGATTCAAGTCGCGACGAATCCACATTACATATTTTCCGATAGCCTGACACGGCAGCCGCAGTGGACAAGACAAACTTTTTGGTGATTGATATGTGGCCGCGCATAACTTGTGGCCAAAATTCCAAGATGTCAATCTGCCGGAAAATTAATGAGCCCAATGTCGCTCCACCGATCGTGTCGCTGAAGTGAAAGTAATTTGATTTTTTTGCTACACAATTCAACTTCTCGGGTGTGATGCAGTTTTTGATGCGACAGAGCGCTCATGATTTTCCGGCAGACTGCTAAATTGAGCGTCGCACTTTTAACTGTTCGCATGTGTGTCAACAGCTCATAAGTGGCGTTTTCCTAAGCCCTGAGGGTTTTCCATCTTTTGCGGAACATAACCTAAACGCTTTCAAATTCTGCGCACAACTGGATTCCTACGAACAGTGCATGATTTTATCCCTATTAACCATGCAAACACTTCCAAAATTACATGAAATTTTCACTTTATCTTCCTTAAAATACATTGGTGATCATGATGGTGCCATTCCGCCCGAAATCGACGTATCTGTTCTGCAGGTAGGATTGGAAGTTTGTGTTGTTGTAGCCATCCACCTTCCACCAATGCTGAATGGACTTGGTGTAATTGGACAGAACATCCGGTGCGTATGAGTTCAGCAGATCCGAAAGATTGTACCAAACAAAGTCCATGTAGATGATCGAGTAGCGCCCGAATAGTCCGGTATCTGGATTGATGTAGGACTCAATGACTGGATAGTACATTTTCACAGGCGCATCGATGAGAGTGGGACGGGAGGCGGTCTAAAATGTATTAATATATTTGATATAATTCTACGTATTTTAATATAAGTGTGTCGGGAAAATAACGAGCACTCTGTCGCATCGAAAATCGCACCAACTGTCTTTGCGGCGAAACCAAATTGCAAGATCTATAGAAAATCTGAGTCTTACACTTGGAGAACTTCCCACTAGACAAGATTTTGAATAGTTAAGGTACCTGAACCTCTTTGAGGTCTTATAAACCTCACTCACCGCATTCCCCGGAGTCCTGCCTTCAACAATATCGATGTACGTTAAGAAATCTTGCATGAGAACTTGTGATTTCTCGAAAAGATCATCCATTTGTGCGTCTTCCAAATAACTGGGCGTCAAGAGACTTGCTTCATGAGCAACGTATCGAGTGATCGCACCGCTGTTATCGACAATGCCCATGTCTTGAACGAGAGCTGGGAGAGTGTTGAACACTGAAAAGGTGTGCATTTATTGTTAGAATTATAAGAAAATAACCCAGTCGCTTTTTGGCTAAACCATAATTCCAAAAAAAACGATGACTTTTACTTACTGATCGAGTTCTTTGAGGCATTCCAATCGTCTCTGGAGAACCGATAATCCGTGAAATTGATCCCAGCATAGTGGAGCATGAATCTGATCGGCTCCGCTCTTCCGCGGTCGTTGAAATAGTACAGTTCCAGGCCCAGAATCCCTCCCATCACCGTTGCCAGCACCACCGTCTTCAACACATTGTTGGCCGCCATTCTGTTTTTTGAGCGGATAAAAATTACATTCGAACAGCAAGTCTGCAGCTTGCTATTTATACGCCGCTTTAGACCGGAGAACCCACGGTTATCCGGCTTGACTATTACCCCGAAAAGTGGATCAACCCCGCTGCAGCGGGTGATGTGGCAAATGTAGGCATGTTTCGGAGGTAAACAGCTAGATTGAAGGCGGATTAGCGTGAGTTAAAAATGGCATAAGCCGTGTTGAAACCGCGACTGTAGCGTTGTACCGTAATCGAGGTTAGTGTGTGGGATGATGGAGAAGGCCAGGATGTAGTTTTGGGAACTTGCTTGTTTGGTTTATTTATGAGATGCTCTGTGTATTAGTCCGTCTACAAAGTCGCTGGAGTGGCTTCGGCGACATATACTGTAAGAATCCAAAAGTGCACATTTCACTGTACAATTTTTTGCTGTTTCTGCGCTCAAATATTTGAAACTTGCATATATTCGGACTATTTTTTAAAACATACGTCAGATCATAGCATGTAAACATTCATTCTTATTTTTATTTATGGTAATGCGGCTTATTTCCGAGTTTTCAGATATTCTTGAAGTTGTGGCAGCTCTTGCACTCTTCTCCATAACTCCACGGACTTTCCCAATTTCTCAGTGTAATCCAGGGCCAAAAACATCAGCATATCGATGATTGCGGCCCAATAAAAGTCCACATACGAGACTCCCCTCTCGCTGAACCAGCCATTTGGCTTTATGTGCTTCTCGATCAACGGGAAATACTTGTCCACATTTGGCATTAGAATTTCCCTTTGGGCTTCCAATTTGTCGCCAGCAACGCGACCACAAACTATGAGGACATATTTAAAGATATTGTCATAAAATGCGCGACCAAGTTCGTAGACTTCATCCAGATGCGCAGCATCAATTGCGTCATCGGAATGGTCGAGTTTGGCCAAGCGGGCCACATAGCGATTGATCACATGCGATTCGGCAATGCGATCGTTGTCCACCCAAAGAATCGGCATCACTCCGTAGGGAAATACTGAAAAAGGGTAGGTTTATGATGAAGCTTACGCATTTTTTAGCTGCTACGTATTATATTGGCAAAAAAAAAAAAATAATGCGGATTTGTTGCGACTTGGAGTGCATCAGAGCTTTGTGACGACTAGCCGGAGATTTGGTGCGCAACTGCGGCGAGGCAAGACATTTTACTGCGATAAATCCACATTATTTTCCCGACAGATTGATAAAATAAAACGAACAACTTATTCCTCTACAGTAAAAATAGACATTAGGCAGAAAATGAATACATAGAAAAAAAGAATCTTACATTTCCCATCTCCCTTCAATTTTGGCCAGTCTGGCCGAGGCACTCTGTGATCAATAAATTCAATTCCAGCATAGTGCAGCATCCATCTAACCACTTCGCCTCTGCCACGGCCATCAAAGTAGTAGAGTTCATATCTTGTCATTTTTTTAAGAAAAATCAACTATTGGATCAATTCGACCGTCAAATCAATGTTTACGTGACTTGGAACGACTTCCAATCGCCTTTTATAGAGGCACTAGACTACAAACTAAAGATGACTAAATTGACATCACTTCTTGTATTTTTTGTACGGGAAATAAACAATGAAGGGTCGGGAGAAGAGGTAGCTGAGAAGATTGGTATGTTAAATTGGTCACTATCTATAGATAAGGTTCCCCTCTTAATGGTTGTTCAATGGAGCCACGGCCGCCCGGAAGACACTGGAACCGCCGCCGAGTCCCGCAACGAAGACCAATCAGATCCTGGCATTCCGCCGCAAGCCGTCGATGAACAGGAAATAGGGAGACGAGACAGTTCGGCTGGAGAGAACAGAGTGAGAAGCAGCGGAGGAAGTCAAGGACTACTCGCACTAGGAGATTCATCAGTGATAATATTGCTGTGGCCCGCTTTACCGGCCATCTATTGTAACTTGGAGTTGAGGCGGATAAATCTGTTAGTGTTATTTGTTGTTGGTGTTTGTCGAGGATTTTAGGAAGCGTCTGACAAGGGAAGTCCCTTTTTTCGCAGACGGACTTTGGAACGGGACCTAGTAGGTTTCAAACGTGAAGCGTCTGCGATCATAAAACTGATTTCCAAAAGTGTTTACGGGGCTTCTCGGCCGAGAAAATCGACCGCAAAGTTTAGCCGAAATGAGCGAATAGCCTCCCCAAAAGAAACAGCTTATTTCATCTGCAGTGGTGGCCGAGTGGTCAGCGCGCTCGCTTTTTGCGCCAGAAGAGGCGGGTTCGATCCCTTGCGCAGTTTATTTTCTTTTGTGGTTCGTAAATATTGATTTAGTATGTAAACATGAGATGTATACACTTTTGTAATTTTTTCCAGTAATTTAAACATAAATTCAAAGCTGAATGTTCATGAATATTGTAAAATCAAAGCAGGGCTGGGTTAATGAAGATATAGTTTCTAAATTTGTGTTTTATTAAAAATTGCTAATAATTAGCATATGTGATGTTAACGGCATCTCTCTATTTGATTCAATGGTCAAAAGAAATGCATCCGCAGACGACCGAAGTCGAACTCACGTCTTCTGGCGCAAAAAGCGAGCGCGCTGACCACTCGGCCACCACTGCAGATGAAATAAGCTGTTTATTTTGGGGAGGCTATTCGCTCATTTCGGCTAAACTTTGCGGTCGATTTTCTCGGCCGAGAAGCCCCGTAAACACTTTTGGAAATCAGTTTTATGATCGCAGACGCTTCACGTTTGAAACCTACTAGGTCCCGTTCCAAAGTCCGTCTGCGAAAAAAGTGACTTCCCTTGTGAGGGAGTTGTTCCGGACGGCTTGTTGAGAGGAAAAGGTGCCTGATCGCGTAAGAAAAGGACCCAAAATCCCATTGTTCAAATCCGCCTAATAAACCTTGTTGTCCAACACAATGCCGAGGTTCAAAGAATGATGATTCATATGCTACCAGGACCGTCTTTTATAGGTGACCTTTACGGTGTATTTACAAAAAGAGATGACTTAAATAATTATGAATAATGGGGAAGGCACTCTTGTCCGCACGGTCGGTTGTGCTTCCTCCTGGGAAACAATAAACAAGGAAGCCAATAAAAAAGTTCCAGAACGATTAGTAATGAGTGGGGCCACGGTCGCCGCAACAGCATTCAACCCGTCGCTGCGTCCCGCCACGAAATCTGAAAGGACATCTCAATCAACCGAGACGTGGATTTGGAAAGAAAGGAAGATCATAGTTTAGAGGGCGCAGCTTGGGCGAGCGGTTGGCCATCAGAGCGTGTGAACAGTTGAAATCTATGGTGTGTATTGACCATCTAAAGTATTGTGTTGTTTGGGCGAATGAAGAGGTCATTTGGTAATTGTTGGAGTGTTGGGATAGTTCTTCTAGGGCAGCGTATTAGGAGAGCCGGTGTTTCATCACGTTGACGAGGAACCGAGGATCTCTTTAATGTAACAATTATGGCAATTTATCAAATCCAGTCTATGTTTTATATCCATAAAAATCCATCACAATTTTATTCCGATTTTTCAAATATTCTTGAAGCTGTGGCAGCTCTTGAACTCTTCTCCATAACGCCGCCGACTTCTCCAATTTCTCGGTGTAATCCTTGGCCAAAAACATCAGCATGTCGATGATTGCGGCCCAATAAAAGTCCACATACGAGATTCCTCTCTCGCTGAACCAGCCATTTGGCTTTATGTGCTTCTCGATTAACGGGAAATACTTCTTCACATTTGGTGTTAGAATTTCCTGTTGCGCTTCCAATTTGTCGCCGGCAATACGACCGCAAACTATGAGGACATATTTGAAGATGCTCTCGTAAAATGCGCGGCCAAGTTCGTAGATCTCGCCTAAATGCGCAGCATCGATTGGGTCGTCGGAATGGTCGAGCTTGGCCAGTCGGGCGACATAGCGATTGATCACATGCGATTCGGCAATACGCTCGTTGTCCACCCAAAGAATCGGCATCACTCCGTAGGGAAATACTGAAAAAATAGAATTTATATGAAGAGGTTCTAAACTACGTCTTCTTTCGATTTTGGCGAGAAAAGATAGTATTTCTGTACAACAAACTCCCGCTCAAAAAAAAACAGCCTATGACGAACAATTTCCAAGGGCTCAAGGTGCAATTCAACAAGTGAATTAATCCAAGTGCGACGCTCAGTTTTGATGAAACTTGGCACAAATTTAGATCAATTTTTAATCTATATATCCTTGTAAATAAAATCTCACATTCCTTATCTCCCTTCAATTTTTCCCACACAGGCAGAGGCACTCTGTGATCGATGAATTGAAGTCCAGCATAGTGAAACATCCATCGAACCACTTCGCCTCTACCACGGCCATCAAAGTAGTAGAGTTCGTATCTTGTCATCTTTGGTAAACAAATTAATTATTAGATTAATTCGGCCGCCAAATCGATGTCTACGTGACTTTGAACGACTTCCCATTGCTTTTATAGACGCTCTAGACTACAAACAAGAGATGACTAGGTTGACATCACTTTTTCTAAATATTTCTCTCTCGAGTGGTAAACAAGGAAGAGCCGGAAAGAGAGCGGGTGTTTTTTGGCTGAAGTTTCATTTGGCACGTAAAAAATGATGCGCTATTTACACTTGATACATCTTCGGTCTGCCGGGAAAATAATGAGCGCACCGCCGTGACTAGAATGGAATCGCCGCCGAGAAAATGGATTGTGATGCGAAAAAAATCAAATTGCTTTTCGCTTCAGCGATAAGATCAGCTCAGCGACAGCGTGTTCATTATTTTCGCGACAGACTCATAAAACGACTTTTTTTTTTGAAATTCATATTTTTTGCTCTGTCAAACCTTACTGTAGCAAGAACTTAGCTTACAAGGAAAGTATATAGTTCTATAGGGAATAGAGTTACAGATCAAGACATATATCAAAAAAAAGGCAAGTTTTTCTGATTCAGAATATGTAAAAATTAGCTGCCCAATTTTGGTTTCTAGGGGCAAAAAGCCATCAGAACTTTTCGCGCAACGTCACGCGAATGCCCCTTCTTTATACTGAAACTACTAATTAAGGTGTAGTATTAATCAAATTTGATATGTTATGGCTTGTCAAGATGCCAGAGCTTTATTTACCTCAAAACAAAGCTTTCAAATTGGTTAAAACTTCGATAAAAAAGGCATTTGCATGGTGTTGCGAGAAAAGTTCTGAGGGTTTTTTTTTCGCCCTGACAAACCAAAATTGGGCAGCTAATTTTTACATATTCTGAATCACAAAACTTTTGCGATTTTTTTGATATATGTCTCTATCTGTAACTCCTTGCCCATAGAAGTACTTTCTTTGTCATACTTTTAACTTTTCTTCTTGCCGTATTTTAAAACATTACCCATAATCAATTTTTTGACCTTTATTTACTTCCTTTCTGATTATATTAAAATTTCAATTACATCCACCTCAATATTTCCGATTTTTAAAATACTCTCTCAACTGTGGGACTTCCTGAATTCTCTTGTAGAACGCGGCCTCCTCCTTCTGCTGTCCCATGTAGCCCGGCGCCAGCCAAAACAACATGTCCAGCATGTGGCCAAAAAACAGGTCGACATGTGAGATGCCGCGCTCGCTGAACCATCCATTCTCCTTGATATGGCCCTCTATCAGTGGGAAATACTTTTGCACGGCTGGCACCAAAGCTTCATCCAACAACTTTTTGGGGTCGCCCGGTTGCATGCCGCTTGCGGCCAAGACAAATGGGATGGCGGCGTCGTAGAATGAGCGGCAAATCTCGTAGACCTCGTCCAGATGGGCATGGTCGATCGGGTCGTCGGAATGGTCGAGTTTTGCCAACCTGGCCACATAGCGATTGATCACGTGCGATTCGGCCAAACGAGTGCCATCCACCCAAAGAATCGGCATCACTCCGTAGGGAAATACTGGAAAGGGAATGAGTAGAGGAGGTTGTAAAAGACGGATTAAATTTGTAAGATCTCTATAAATCTTGCAAATTTTCGGGTTTCAGAATTAGAGTCTCATTGTGAGGGCCTACATCACTTCCCTCCTTACAGTGACGGACCTGATCCATTGGCCAAAAACGTACCATTTTGCATCCGGGAAGAATCAAAAATGTGGCAAAATACCTCCCTCTCCAAGCGAAAAAAAACTTCGATTTCAAAAGCGCTCCGTTCTTTTTGTGAGGGCGGCGCGCTTTTGAAACCGGAGTTTTTTTAGTTGGAGAGGGAGGCATTTTGCCACATTTTTGATACTTCCCTGATGCAAAATGATACGTTTTTTGCCACTGGATCATGTAGCCTACTCCTCAAACTCTTTTGCGTATAAGATTTTTTACGGTATATTTAGTTGCTCAGATTGCGCCGATAGCACAATTAAAATAGTATTCAATTTATGCGTTTGAAGTATGGATCCACCAGCTAGGTTGTTCTGAATTACCGCTAACATAAGAAAATTGGAAATTGAGGGGCCTTTCTTAACTGTCGGAGCTCTAACTTTGTAAGATAAGCTTACAGTTCTTATCTCCCTTGATCTTTGGCCATTCATCAAGGCCAACTCTGTGATCTTTGAAGGGAATTCCAGCGTAAGTGAAGAGCCATCGGACCAACTCGCCTCTTCCTCGGCAGTCAAAGTAGTAGAGTTCGTAGCTGGGCATCTGGAATTGGTGTTTCAATGAGTTCAAGGGTTAAGCCGGAAAAGTCATCGCTCCGAAAAGCTAAAGCACTCCTTTATACCGAAAATGAAAGCTTTATGCAATAAATTTTGACCATTACAAAAAAAGACACGACATTATCAGTCTGTCGGGGAAATAATGAGGCCAATATCGCTTCGCCGATCGCCTCGCTGAAGTGAGAAGCAACTAGCTTTTGCTCCGACACAAGTAATTTTATCGACCCATTTCCGACTTTGGATGCAAAATTTTGCTCACTATTTTCCCGACAGACTGATACTTCTTCCAAAAAAGACTCTCTAAAACGAACTTTCAGTCCACCAACATTTTTATTTCCGCTTACACATAGACTCCCCTTTATATACCACTCAAAAATGCTTAGCCTACAAAACTTAGAAAAGACCTTGCTCTTTTTTCTCCTCGGGAAGGCGGAACAAAATATATCTTTTTTTTCAGAGAGTTCTTCGGGTAAAAGCGCCACGTGCAAAATACAACATTTTTAACGAACCAAACGAAATGATTAATCAAAGCACAAAATAATAGAAATGATGATAATTTAACCACCATCGATCAAAGAGACCATTAACGTTTGGTCAACTACGCTCCGTTATGGTTCTGTTTTGTTCTACGAAGAGTCGAACATGGAGGTCTGTCGGGAAAATAGTGAGCACAAAAACCCAAAAACCGATTGCTTCGCTGAAGTCAAAGAAAAATTTGACTTTGCTACGACACACTCATTTTCTCGGCGGCGATGCGATCTTGGATGCGACATTGTGCTCATTATTTTCTTTGCAAGCTGATAACAACTACTCAAACTTTTCATTAATAAAGAAACGCTGAAAATCAAATAAACTTATGGCTACAACCATGTTCGTCATTTCAAATCCAAAATCAAATTACACTTACATTTTATTGCTCTGAAAAACGACCATAAAAATTTAAGGGAAATAGGATTAGTTACAGTTCAAGACACGGCAATTTCGGGTTAAAATTTCACAAAATTTCTCCGCAACCTTTGTCTCCAATCACTGCTTTCTCTTGGCCACAAACTCCTTGATCCGTGGCTCCGCGGTAACCCGCTGCCAGAACTTGTAGCTCTCAGGTTCGGACTTCAAAAAATCCTGTGCAACAATGTTCAGCATGTCCAGAAGTTGGCCATAGAACAGGTCCACATGCGAGATGCCGCGCTCGCTGAACCAGCCATTTCCCTTGATGTTGCGCTCAATATTAGGCACATGTTTCTCGAAAGCGGGCACCAGAATCTCCTCAAAAGCCTTGTTTTTGTCGCCGGGGATGAATCCAAACACAGTGATGACGTACTTGAAAGCATCGTCGTAGAAGGCTCGGACAAGCTCGTAGACCTCGTCAAGCCGAGCATGATCCAGTGGGTCTTCGGCGTGGTCGAGCTTCGCCAATCTGGCAATGAAACGGTTGATGACATGGGACTCGGCGACACGGTCATTGCCAACGTGAAGAACTGGCATCACGCCGTAGGGGAATACTGAAAATAGCGGTCTGTGGCGGAAATAGAAAAATACGTCGTAAATACATGAGTTTCTTTGTAGGAAAGCTTCCTTCTTGTTAGTTTAAGACTGACTTTTGGGAGTAGTTTTTTGTTAGACCGGCCAAAACCCGATTTTTTTGGCTCGGGCCATGATTTTTTCGGTCTCAAAACAGTACAGGAGAAGTCCGTTATCAACCAGTTTTGTCTTGGAGTCGGCTGTACACTCTAATTTCAGCCTGTCGGAAAAATAATAGATACACAATGTCGTTGCTCCAATCGCGTCGCTGAAGTGAAAAGCAATTTGATTTTGCCACGAAAATTGATTTTCTCGGCGGCGATACGATTTTCGATGCGACAGAGTGCTCATTACATATTTTCCTGACAGACTGATATAGTGTGTACAGCAAAACTCGTCGATAAAGAAAATGCTTTGTAAAATACGTTGTGATTTGCTTTTTTTAATCATAGCTTACGCTTCTTATTCCCTTTGAGTTTTGGCCATTCCTCCACGCTGACTCGATGGTCCTTGAAGGGGATTCCGCCGTAGACAAAGAGCCATCTGGCAACCTCACCTCGCAATGGGAAGTCGAAGTAGTAGAGCTCGTATTCTGGCATTTTCTAAAAACATTCGTATTTTTGCGTGTGCTAACTTTTTTGTGGAAACATTACGGTAGAAATATATGTAGGTAATACAAGCTATAAAACTTTTCACGCAAAAGTTTGCAAAAAAGCGTCGTTTCAATTTAATATAATCCCTAAAAACTGAAGGCAACAAAAAAATTCTTGCTCAAAAACAAAAGGAAACCAAAAAAATCCTCCGTCGTATGTACAAATAAACAAAATCTCCTCTCTTATATACCGCTTGAAGACGCGGAGCACACAAAACTCAAAAGGGTGCTCCAGGCGAGGCTTTGCGCTTATTGTTTATAGCCTTGGCCAGAATTTGTCGCAAAAATGTCACAAACAAAAATAAGATACAAAGCAGAAATCATAAATCATCATTCCAAACAATCGACTACAAAACGGACACAAAGTAAATAAAAATTGACGCGGAAGAGACGAAAATTGATATGAGTCATACGAAAAAATGTTTGGAGTAAGAATTAAGGATTAGGGAGTGGGAATCTTTATCAATTTTTGAGAAGGGCTAGTTTTTTTAGACACTTACTCAAACTAAAGTAGAACAGAATGGAGATGAAAAGTTTTCATAGATTATTGTATATAGGGGGAGTTTTCTGATGTTCATGTCGGCCGTTGCAGTCTACAGCAAAATTACTAACTAGGGTCTCCAACTGCGACGCTCAGATTTTATTTAAAACTTGCTCACACGTCAGGCCACTTGATACTTCCATGGCCATAAGCGCATTTTCGATAGCAACAAAAAAGCTTGCTTTTTCAAAAATGCTGCATTAGAAAAACGAAAGCAAAATAAATCTTTATTTTTATGTTCCTTTCCTCAGAGTCCTCAAAAAATGATATTTATCTTCGTCTTGCGCCGTGGTTAGAGCTAATCAAATAGTCGTTTTACTCGATGACAGATCAGTCTCAAATTTCGGCTAGTAAACGCAGCTCTTCACGACTGTAAACGCGACCACAAATCTTTTTGGCTCGGCTCAAAATCAATTTTATTGATGAGGCAGTGCTAGAAAAAATTTGGTGTAGTGTGACCTATTACTTCTATAAATTCTGGTAGCTTCTTTTTTATTGTGTTCTTTTGTCTATAATATGTAATGAATCAATCAAATTATGGGCGATTTCTCAAATATTCTTGAAGTTGCGGCAGGCCTTTCACTTTTTCCATGTGCTCAATTGACTTTGGATGTAGTTTCAAGACCTCTTCAGCAAACGGCAAGTACATGTCGACCACTGAGGCCCAAAAAAAGTCGACATAGGAGAGCCCTTTGTCGCTGAACCATCCATTCGGTCGGATGAATTGCTCAACGATCGGGAAGAACTTCTCGACATTTGGGATGAAAATTCGATTCAATGTTGCTTCCTTATCGCCTGATATGAATCCCAAACTCATCAGGATAAAGGGGAACGCGGCGTCGAAGAAGGTGCGGCCCACTTCGTAGATCTCGTCCAAGTGAGCCGCCTCCAATGGGTCATCCGACTGGTCGAGACGGGCCAATCGCCCAACATACCGGTTAATCACGTGGGATTCGGCAATACGATCGTTGTCGACGAAGAGAACTGGCATCGTCCCATAAGGAAATACTGAAAAAGTTTAAAAATCAAAAGAGACTCCCATTTTCAATGGGAGTCTTGATCCAATGCCAAAAAAACGTACCATTTGCATCCGAGAAGTATCTAAAAATGCAGCAAAATACCTCCTTTTCCGAGTGAAAAAATTCCGATTTCTAAAGCCCGCCCGCTCTTTTTGTAAGCGCCCTTCAAAACGGAGCTTCTTTAGTTGGAGAGGGAGGCATTCTGCGACATTTTTTGATACTTCCAGGATGCAAAATTTTGCGTTTTTTGCCGTTGGATCATGTCCGTCACTGTACATAATTTGATACAAGAATAAGCCAAGCCGCTTACATTTCCTGTCAAATTTTATTTTCGCCCATTCCTCGCCTGAAAGCCTTCGATCATTGAACGGAATCCCAGCATAATGCAGCATCCACCTTGCTGTTTCAGCTCTCCCAGGAGGCTCGAAGTAATACAACGTGTATTTAGTCATTTTAAAGCAGCAACAAGAGAAAATAGAATGAGTAAACTGTGTTTGCAACTAATTTGGGAATAGTCTTTAACCTGTCTTTTTGGGTGACTTTTATAATTTTTGAGTTAACACAAGACAACAACTAGTTGATCAACAAAATTTGTTGCTCAAGACTGCACATCGAACTCGATGTGATGATGGCGCCTTGTGACGCCACTATAGAAGGAACCGTTTCCTTCTTGGTGGGTTTACACTCATCTTCAGCTGTTGGATCTGCGCCAGAGCCTTTGAAAGAGCTCAGTCAGATCCATCCATTCGTGGTTGATAGGGGCTGCACTAGGCTGAGGTGGTTCCAGGAGCTCTTGAAGCGCGGCGGGATCCGTGAACATATCCGGACGGCATTGAGTTGAACAATCTCTGTTGACTGATTGGTTAATCCCCCAATGAGGTAAAGCCAGGCTCTAGATGACCGCTTTCACTGAAATAGTCTACTTTTAGATAAAGTTTTGTTTACAAGGGAAGTACCCCAAATGCGGCGCTCAGATTTTCTTTAAATTTTGCCCACACGTTGATAATGAACTAAGTATCAATTCCTCAAAGTTTTAGCTCTCGCTTTGCAAGCGCCGCCAAAATATTGAACCATCCTTGCATTCGTGCCGAAATTCGGCAAAAAGGGTCAACCTTTCGCCGGCTTTCGATCTAAAAATCTCGGTTGTTTCTACATCCAAGATGTTGTGTAGGAGCCTCCCACAGCTTCGTTTGGGTCTGTCGACACCTGCCCTACGCCTTCTATCAGTCGATTTTGCGTTCAACGACAATGTGGTCGACCGGAGTGTCGGGACAAAAAAAAAATGAAGCCGCCGAGCTTGATTTGAAAATGTAATAAGAGAAAATGTCTCCGCCAAGGCTTCGCGGAGGGTCCGCCGAGCTTCCAACGGCTTTTCCAGGCCTCATGTCGATCTCCTATAGCCTTATTTGGGTCTTCATTTGCCCTAGCTTTGTACCGAACGATTTTGTGATAACTCCAAAAATCAGTGCTCGTCCAAAACAAACCCAAGTTCACACACATGTAAACAAACTGTCGACTAAAAACGTATCGAAAATGCCCTTTATCTCACCCGAAATTGTTTTTGATTTCCGTTCAAAACAATATTACGCTCCAACGCGTATCTCAACAAGCCTCTGTTTACAACGCAGCTAGATCAAAGGTCAGTGTCATTTGGCGTTGAAAACAACAAACACAGAGAAAAATGGAAGAGAATTCTTTCGATTGACCAAAACTGATAAGCCCACGTGTAGGCCCACCCCTAAAAAGTAATTTTTCGGAAGAAAAAAAGATTTTTTGATCACTCCATATTATTTCTATTGGCCCTCTGCAAAAGCGGTGACTTTTTTGAGCAGAAAAAATTGGATTTTAAGAATGGAACAACTTTTCAAGTAAGATTACTTCAATTTTTTGGGATTTTCATCGTTTTAGGAAGATCGATTCACATCAGGATGAGTTTATCCAGCTGTTGAAGGAGGCAGTGGCCATTAAGAGTGTCTCGGCGGACGCCGCTTATCGTGATGAGGTTTTTCGGATGATCACTTGGACGGCGGAGGTAAGGCGGCCGGGAGAGAAAAATATAGGATCACATTGTCAGTCTGTCGGGAAAATAATGAGCACAATGTCGTGTCGAAAATCGCATCGCCGACGAGATGAATTGGGCTGCGGAAAAAATCTTTTTCCTTCAGCGACGCGATCGGCTCAGCCAGATTGCGGTCATTATTTTCCCAACAGGCTGAGAGTAGCTCAAGCTTTGCACAACGAACCCGTTTGAACCGGCTGAGATGTCTTAAGCCGGGCTCAAGCTTTGTACAGCGAACCCGTTTGAACTGGTTGAGAGTACCTTAAGCCGAACTCAACCTCTGTACAACGAACCCATTTGATAACGGAAAATAATGAGCACAATGCTGCAGCGCCGCTCGCGTCGCTGAAAGTGAAAGGAAATTTGTTTTTTTCCACACGAAAGTTCATATTCTCGGCGGCGATGCGATTTTCAATGCGACATTGCGCTCATTACTTTCCCGACAGACTGAAATTTGGCTTTTGAAGCTTGACTATGCATTTTTCAAAAGCTGACTACATTTCCTTTTAAACTTTTGAAAAATTGATCTAAATTAGTTTTCTCCCCTCTTATCAGCCAGCCGGTGGTTCCGCTTTTGCCACTTTTCCGGACCAAACCAGTTATTTTTAATGAAAAATAAAAATTACTTGACAAAATGGTCTGTAGTTATTGCATCATTGCCGATAACGGGGACAACTTTGCTTTCGTGTCAACGAAAGAAAAACCCAATCTCATCATGTTTCTATTGTGACAAAAAAACAAAAAGTATGCTTACAGTAGGGCCTATGCCTGGTCAAGGGGCCGGGCCAAGTGCTTCTGGCCCAACGCAAGAGCTCATAACAAAACCTGTGTATAACGAACTGTTTCAAAGTTTAGGAGAGTCAACGCTTGGCATAGGTAATACATATAATAAGCAACCTCCGCACTATAAAAACCGTTTTATAACAAAAAATTTTTGATCAACGGAGGTTTGTTTGATGTTCAAAGGCCTTTGTTGTAAACAGGTTGGGTCATATAGGCGTTCTTATCAGTATGTCGGGAAAATAATGAGCGCAATTCAATTTCACAGCGTCAATCGGGTCACTAAGGTTGAAAGCAATTTGACTTTACAACTCATTTTCTCGTGCGACATTATACTCATTTTTTCCCCGACAGACGTTACACCACATAATTTTTCTGCATTTACCCAAAATTTCCCAGAATAATAACAGCTCGTTCTTCTTTCAGAAGCTCAAAGGTATTGGCGCCACCGTCGAGCTGATCGACAATGGAATGCAAAGCTTGCCGGACGGCAAGCAAATCAAACTGCCTCCGGTTCTCTTCGGCACCCTTGGCAGGGACAAGTCGAAGAAAACGTTGTGCGTATACGGACATTTGGACGTGCAGCCGGCCACGAAATCGGATGGATGGAACACCGAGCCGTTCGAACTGACCGTCAAGGACGGAAAAATGTTTGGACGCGGCAGTAGCGATGACAAAGGGCCGGTTTTGGCGTGGGTGAATGCGATTCAAACCATGCAGGAGCTGAAAATTGATATTCCGGTGAACATCAAGGTGAGAACGGCGATGCGATTTTTGATGAGACGGAGCGCTCTTTATTTTCCCGACAGACTGATAAAAATACAATTTTTTTAATCCTATATCGCTTTCAGTTCGTTTTCGAGGGAATGGAGGAGAGTGGCTCGGAAGGGCTGGTCGACATCTTGACCAAGCACAAAGACAGCTTCTTGGGCGACGTTGATGCCACTTGTATCAGCGACAATTACTGGCTCGGGCGGAACAAGCCCTGTCTGACCTACGGGCTGCGAGGCGTTTGCTACTATTTTGTGGAAGTGTCCAATCCCAAACAAGACCTCCATTCGGGGATTTACGGAGGCGCTCTGTAAGCAATTTTGAGACTTTTGGCTAAAATACGGCGGCTGGGATTACAAGAAAAAAAAAGAAATACAAATTTGCTTGTAGACATGAGCCAATGACGTCATTGATAAAACTCCTGGGAACGCTGACAAAGACCGATGGCACGATTAATATCGATGGCTTGTACGATTTGGTGGCTCCAATGAAGGAGGGAGAGGACGCATTGTATGAGAATATCGATTTTGATCCGGTAAAGCAAAAAAAATTTTTTTTTTTTTTTTTGAAAAACAGATCTGGACGGTGCAGTGAAATTTTTGTGATGCACAGTGCAAAAAAAAATTGTTTCGAAAATTCGAATTTCATGTGGAAATTTTTCTTCAAAACAAGGTTTAAAATTTTGCACGGTGCAAAAAAAATTTTTTGACCGCACAGTGCAAAAAAAAATCTTTAATTTTCGGTTTTTTGATGATTTTTTGAGCAAAAATTCAAACTCTAAAATTTTTAAAGAAGCAACGAAATATTTACTGCAAAAAATACGTTTTAAATTTCCGATTTTTGGTGATTTTTTCGACAAAAAAGTTACTCTAAAAAACACTCTGAAAATTTGCACTGTGCAGTCAATATTTGTGTTCTGCACAGTGCAAAACATTTTTTTTTTTTTTTTTGAATTTCAAATCTTTTTAAGATTTTTGTATTAAAATTTCCATGATTTTTTAACCAAAAATTTGCATATAAACCGTTAAAAAACTTTAAATTTTTTTCTGGAGTACAAAAAAATATAAAAAATCATTCTCCGTATTTTAGGAGGACTTTCGAAAAAATATCGACGCAAATTTCCTGACCACTTCCAATAAAGCGGAGCTCCTGAAGCGCTCCTGGAGAATGCCCTCGCTTTCCATTCACGGGATCCAGGGGGCGTTCCATGAGCCCGGCTCCAAAACAGTCATACCGTGCAAGGTGACGGGCAAGTTCAGTATTCGCATTGTGCCGGACATGACACCCGACGACGTGCACCAACTCGTCTGTAAGCACATTGAAAGAGAGTGGCAGAAACTGGAGTCGGATTGTGATATTCGCTTCCAACCGATGCAAGGGAATATGCCGTGGGTGGCCGACTTCAACAACCCGCTGTACAAGGCTGGAGCGAGAGCGCAGGAGAAGGGTAGGTCAAATCTAGTAATCGCTGCGTGCTGAGCGTATAGAATAGACCCACAGCGATGCGTCCCGGTTTTTCGTGTCGACGACAATTTATGTCATCACAAAATCGACCCATGCCTGGCGTAGGGCAGGTGGATACCCAAAAAAAGGTTGTAGGAAGGGCCTGCGAAGCCTGGCAAAGCCGTTGTATGGTCGGCGGACGATCGGTGAAGGCTCGGCGGAGATTTGCAATATATCTAGTTTTTCTAATTTAAGCTATTACTAACCCAAAGAAAGTTTGTAGGAAGGGCCTGCGAAGCCTGGCAAAGCCGTTGAATAGTCGGCGGACGCTAGGCGAAGGCTCGGCGGAGACTTGGCGAAGGCTTGCAATATGCCTAGTTTTTCTAATTTAAGCTATTACTAACCCAAAGAAAGTTTGTAGGAAGGGCCTGCGAAGCCTGGCAAAGCCGTTGTATGGTCGGCGGACGATCGGCGAAGGCTCGGCGGAGACTTGCAATATATCTAGTTTTTCTAATTTAAGCTATTACTAACCCAAAGAAAGTTTGTAGGAAGGGCCTACGAGGCCTGGCAAAGCCGTTGAATAGTCGGCGGACGCTAGGCGAAGGCTCGGCGGAGACTTGGCGAAGGCTTGCAATATGCCTAGTTTTTCTAATTTAAGCTATTACTAACCCAAAGAAAGTTTGTAGGAAGTGCGTACGAGGCCTGGCAAAGCCGTTAGATGGTCGGCGAAGGCTCGGCGGAGACTTGACGAAAACTTGCAATATGTCCACTTTTTCTAATTTTATCTATTACTAACGTTAGTTTTTCCTACCCTGAGTTATTGTAGCATATAAAAGACTAAAATTTGCGGGGAAAAGACAAAGATCCGTAATTTTTATCTAGATATTATTGATGTGACTACATGTAAAATCACCTCAAAATAAATAGGTGATAAGCCGTCCTAGGACCTGAGCAATCTTATCATTTGTGTCAACTACGCTTTCTCCTAGCCTCCGTCATGCATAAAACAACAAATCGAGGCAATCCAAGACATTGTCGACCCGAACTGTCGCTGACCCGAAAAGTCGTAGGGCCAAACATTTGACCTGTTTGGTCCTAATAAAAATTAAATTTTCAGTCTTTGGCGTCTCTCCGGACTACACCCGTGAAGGCTGCTCAATCCCAATCACTTTGACATTCCAAGAGCTCACCGAAAAGAATGTAATGCTACTGCCAATTGGCGCTTGCGATGACATGGCGCATTCCCAAAACGAAAAAATGAACATCTCCAATTATATGAACGGAATCAAAACTTTGGCCGCTTTTTTATTGGAACTCAAAGGCGCTTTATAAAAAATTTTTTTTTGTTTTTTTTTTTTTGATTTTTTTCAAACCGAAATTTTGCGATTTTTGTTTTTTGAATAAATTAGATAGCTAAGAGAATTTTTGTTTTATTCTTTTTTATCAGAATGAGCATAGAGCCGCTCAACTGAAGTCAAATTTAGAGCCGCTCAACTGAAGTCAAATTTGATTTTGCCGCGGCACAAGAAAAGTTCTCATCGGTTTTTCGCCCTTACAGACCAAAATTGGGCGGCTAATTTTTACATATTCTGAATCAGGGAAATTTTGTGATTTTTTGATATATGTCTCGACCTGTAACTCCATGTGTGAACCCACGGCCGCAAGAACGACATTGGACCCCGACCCGCGCCCTGACACGAAGGGATTGAGAGCCTTGGCGTTCCGGTGGAAGAAGCAGCACTGTGAGCGGTTGGCCACAGTTGCTAAAGGATTTGATTGTACTGTATTGATTTTGCGACCCTTCATTCGGCCATATTGTAAGGAGAGGAGTGTTACCGAGGATAAGCATATTTGCGGTTTATTCGGTGATTGTTTTTGTTGATCTTTGGGAGATTGTCCCTCTGGTATTTGTAAGGGGCAAGCGGTTGAATCGGTTGGAGGAGACCCTTGTTCCCCATATAAGTACTTTTCTAGTGAGAAAAAAGATGGCAAAAATAGGTCTTTGTAGCTGCCAAAAAAATGGGAGAACACCCAGAGGCTTGCCGGAGTGATTTTACATCGAAAAGGATTGAAAATCGGCCAGCCAAACTTGGATGTTATTTTCATATTGGATGACTAAAACAATGCCTTTGGTTGACTATTAAACTATGTTTTATACAGTTTAAATTTAACATGAATAGAATCAGCCCAAAAACTTTAAAAGTGCGTTGGGATGGCTTCGAGACAATTGATAACGCTATTACAAGTGTTTCCGGTCACTTCGATATTCATCGTATAAAATGTCCTCTGCAAGTCGCAAAAATCTGGCGCAGCTTAGGAAAAAAGGACGGTGAAACAAAGTCTGCAGCAATATTTTGACCCCACAAAATCTATATTTTGTAGGATCCCCCTCAGTTCCGGCGACTTTGGATACAAAATTTAAACTTGGGCATGTAGCGGGACTTTGTTGGGACAGCTGTGCTTTTTTGGGCGGTTATGACGGAAATGACGGAGGACACACGAGTATTTTGTGGGAAATTGCAAATACAGAACGATATAAAAGTGGGCTGAAGACGAAACCATGATCACAAAAAATGGTGGCGTTCAAAATACTGGGTCTGCTTTTGGCCATTGGTTTTGGCGGAGTGTTTGGATCAAGGGTAAGTTGTTGCAAAAAATGAGTACAATTCAACACGATGTATACATTTTGCTTACCTCTCATGTTTTAGGTTCAGCTTGAGTTTTGAATTTTTTTCGAATCGACCAGTCGATAGCAAAAAAAATTTTTTTCTTCTAGACGCAAAAATTGCCAAAAATTTATCGCGCCCCAAACTCCGTCGCACTCTGAAAACACGATTTGTCGCCGCGAAAAATCGGAATCGCGCGCTACATAAAATCCAAAATTTACATTCTGTGCAAATCGTGTTATTGGGTCAGTAAAAAGCACTTTTTTCACGATATTCGCAGCGACAAATCATCTACAACGAACAATTTTAAAGGCGTCATGAGTGACATATAAGCCAAACTGAACCTCCGTGAAACAAACCCTTCTATAACGACAAAATTGTTTAGTCCCCTGTAACATTTACTTCTTGCCTTATATTAGTCTGTCGGGAAAATAATGAGCACTCTGTCGCATCGAAAACCGCATGAAAGCGAATTGTCTTCGCGGCAAAATCAAATTTCTTTTCACTTCAGCGACGCGATTGGCGCAGCGAAATTTTGCTCATTATTTATCCGACAGACTGATGGCACCTCCTCATAACCTCTCTCCAACTTCCAGGACGATATTCTGAAAGACGGCTACTTTGGTAAAGGCGCCAAGAAACCCGACGACGAATCGATCAAGCCCTTCACCATCGCGGTTCCCGACTCCGAATTGGCCAAACTCAAAGGTCTGCTGCAAAACGCGCGGATTACTCACACTCAACTCGAAGACATCAAGAGCTACGAATACGGGTTCACGATGAAATCGCTGCTCGAAATGAAGGACTATTGGCAGAATACGTACGACTGGCGAAAGGCGGAAAAGGAGTTTATGACATTCCCGAATTTTAAGACCCAAATCGAAGGTCTGAACATCCACTTCATTCATGCCAGGCCGCCAGCCGGCAAATATAAGACCGTGAAGCCGCTGCTGGCGTCACATGGCTGGCCCGGAAGTGTTCATGAGTTCACGAAGGCGTTTCCAATTTTCACCGATCCCAAAGCGAACGGGATCAACTCGGATTATGCGTTTGAGGTCATCGCGCCTTCTATTCCAGGTGAGTTTTAGTGTAATGTCCGTTGACTTATGTATACAAAATGTCATATGTATGACTTTCCCAGTGTGCAACTATCCGTCAAAATTCTACAGTGACGGACTGATCCAATAGCAAAAAATGTGCCATTCTGCATTAGGGAAGTATCTAAAAATGTGGCAAAATGCCTCCCTCTCCAACTAAAAAAAACTCCGTTTTGAAGGGCGCCCTCACAAAAAGACGCTTTTGAAACTGAAGTTTTTTCACTTGGATAGGGAGACATTTTGCCACATTTTTTTTGATACTTCGCTGATGCAAAATGGCACATTTTTTGCCATTGGATCGGGTTCGCCACTGTACAATCCAAGAGAGATATCCCAAGTCCGACGCTCAGATTTTCTTCAAATTTTGCACACACGCCAGGTATAGGCCAGATACCAATTCCAAGAAGTTTTAGCTCGCGTTTTGCAGGCTCCGCCGAGATATTCAACGATTTTTTGTCGCCGAAAGAGTGTGCAGATCGCGGAGAGCGGTCTGAGAGAAGACGACTTTTTAGTCATAACTTTTTGGGTTCCGCGCGGGAAATTGATTTTTGTGAGGAGATATTGCCCTATACGGTAGGAATAAATATGAAACTTTTCGTGAGGGAAATTGGCCAAAATCTGTCGCAATTTCGCCGAGTTTTGATCATAAAATCTCGGTCGTTTTTGCAAAATGAGTCTTGCATATATTTTAGAAAAAAGCATCCTATTATAAATGAACCAGTGAGAAAAATGTACCACTTTGCATCCTTGAAGTATCATAAAATGTAGCAAAATACCTCCGATATATTTTGCCACATTTTAAGATACTTCCCTGATCCAAAACGTAACGTTTTTTGCCACTGGATCTTTTTCGCTACCGTATAACCCTTTCATTCGCAGGCTACGGCTGGTCGGACGCGGCGCAACGCTCGGGTCTGCATCAAGCCGCGGTGGCGCGACTCTACATGAAACTGATGAAACGTCTCGGTTTCAACAAGTTCTTCGTGCAAGGCGGAGATTGGGGCTCCACCATCGTCGGGAACATGGCTCGTTTGTATCCGGACAAGATCGAAGGCTGCCATCTGAACATGTTGGCCAGTGGCAACAAAGCGGTCTTAGCCAAGAGCGCTCTGGCGTCGGCGTGGCCACGGCTTCTGAAGGACCCGGATTTTAAGAACTTCTCGCTGAAAACGTTGGTTTCTTTCGTTGTGAACGACGCCGGCTACTTGCATTTGTTCGGAACACAGCCCGACACTGTGGGGATTGCGTTGAACGACTCGCCCATCGGACTGATGGCCTGGATTCTGGAGAAGTTCGCGTTGGGCACCAACTTGAAGAACAAACAGTTTGAGGATGGGCGATTGACGGAGAAGTTCAGCAAAGACGACCTGATCACCTCCGTTATGGTCTACTGGGTCAACGGAAATATGCTGCAATCGGCGAGGTTCTACAAGGAGTTGTTCCGATCCAAGGATGCGCAGGAGCTTCAGAAGTAAGAGAGGTTAAAAAAGGGGTGTTTTTAAAGAAACGGGCCTGATGCAGTGGCAAAAAAAGTACCATTTTGCATCCGGGAAGTATAAAAAATGTGGCAAAATGCCTCCCTCTCCAACTAAAGAAAAAGTCCTTTTTTAAGGACGCGCCATTTCCATAACAAAAATAGCGGGCGCCCTTTGGAATCCGAATTTTTTCACTTGTAGAGGGAGGTATTTTGCCACCTTTTTTGATACTTCTCGGATGTAGAATGATACGTTTTTTACCACTGAATCTTTCTACAATAAATTATCATCTTTTCAGTGAATACATCAAGGTCCCAACCGGCTATCTTGCCACCATGAACGACGCTATTCCGGCGCAGCCGGAGGCCATCGCCAAAGCCGCAGTCAACCTGAAGCATTACGGCAAAGTCAACGCCGGCCATTTTGCCGCAATGGAGCAGCCAAAGGCTCTTGTTCAAGACTTTTTCGCCTTCACTAAGCAACTGATCAAGTGATAATATTTGATGGATATTGCATGCAATACAGTAATAAAGACCGGTCTGTTACGGAAATTTTGTAATGTCGACGTTTTGACCGCTGTCAAAACTTTGTCCAATGAATAACGGGGAGCTATTAAAAAATGGTGCTAGCTTATCGAATCTTTAATTTCATCGTCGCTTGGCGCTTTACTAGGCATTTCAGCCTCATATCTACTTTTTCTATGTATACTTACATACAAACTGTTTCTTCTGCTAACACTTCATCATCCGGGCAAAAAATCATCCTACTACAGTAGAGGAACCGATCCGTTCAAAAACGTACCATTTTGCATCCGAAAAGTATAAAAAATGTGGCAAAATGCTTCCCTCTCCATGTGAAAAAGCTTTGTTTTGAAGGGCGCGTCCTTCGTTTGAAATCTGAGTTTTTTCACTTGAAGAGGGAGGTATTTTGCCACATTTTTTGATACTTCCTGGATGCAAAGTGGTACGCTTTTTGCCACTGGAACAGGTCCCCCCACTGTAGTTTTTTCCAGTAAGTAATGCCCCTCTTTGAAAAATTTACTTCCGCAACGAAATTTTATTATAACAGCGACCTAAAATCTACACATTTTATAAAAAAAAATTATCATTTGGGAAAATAATGAGCACATGTCGCTGCGCCAATCGCGTCACTGCAGCGAAAAGCAACTTGATTTTGTCGCAATGACAATTCATTTTCTCAGCGTCGATGCGATTTTCGATGCGACAGATTGCTCATTATTTTCCCGACAGACTGATGCATGCAATAAAAATGCTTTGCAGTTGGAAATAAAACCAATTTCGGCGATTACTCTGGAAGTCACAATGTTTTAACTTTCTTTACTCTTTTCGGAAGTCAAAAAGCCATTTGGACGATTTTGCGGCCGCAAAAAGATGAGATGACCCGAACCAAGGACTCTGGTCGAAAATGGGGTTTCCGAGAACCCATGAGTATCTTTACAGTCTTTTTTTGCACGAGAATGGGGAGTTTGTGGAAGTCGGAGATGACTGACCGGCTGGCACTGGCGTTTTTGCGACTTTTTGGGAGCTTTGGGTGTTCGAGGGAGAGAAAATTTTAATTTTATGAGTTTTAAGATATAGACGTTCCAACCTCTGTACAGGGTGGGCCACTAAAAACTTCCGTCCTCTTTTTTTAGATTTCTCCGCGGCGACTCCGCCGATTTTCATGAAATTTAGGTTTTTCTGGAGCTGAGATGCGCCATTTTCAACATGTTGAATTTGAAAAAAAATATCCTGAATTGACCTTTCTATGCCTTTCCAAAGTTTTTGAAAATTATTTTCGAGCCGAAACCGCTAAAACTTAGGAAATTTTTGGAATGATTTTGAAAACTCGGTCATTTTTTCGGGTTTTTGGGTGAAATCTTACTTGCTTTGCCTCATATATTTGCAAAATACTGTTGTAAAAAGTAATCTTTTTAACAATTTGATTATTCTATCTGATTTCGACGTGTCCACCTCCTTTTGCAGCACGAACTTGTAGGGGCTTTGAAAGTTAGGAACAGCTCGAATTGCGGATCTTGAGCATGGTTTAACTTCAATCGAGCCTGGCTCCAAGCCTCAATGCGCCAAGCCATGGCTTGTAGCCTTAATGTGGACTTTCTCACTCTTGTTGAAAAAAAATTTTTTTTCAACATTCATACCCTAACGGTAATACAGACAACACTTTTTTTGCTTTTAACTTGCTTTAAACAAAGTCTAGAAAAAGCGTACGGAACTTTTTACTCCACAATTTTACCAAAAAAAGCCCGAAATTTTCCAAGTCCGAGAAAGGCAATTGAAAATCATTCCAAAAATTTTCAAAGTTTTAGCGGTTTCGGCTCGAAAATAATTTTCAAAAACTTTGGGAAGGCATAGTAAAGTAAATTCAGAATGTTTTTTCCTGAAATTCAATCGGTTGAAAATGGCGAATCTCAGCTCCAGAAAAACCTGAATTTCATGAAAATCGGCGGAGTCTCCGCGGAGAAATCTAAAAAAAGAGGACGGAAGGTTTTAGTGGCCCACCCTGTACATTTGACAGCCCGCCCCGAAAAATTTTTCCTTACAATTTTTTGATTTTACTTTTTTTATTTGCCTGGAATTACTCCGAAGCGTCTGTTATGCTTCTTTTTTTGTAAGAAATATCCAACAATGTCAATCTACCACCTTCAAGTACCATTTCTCCAATTATTTCTTCATTCCGACTCAAGAAATTTTTTCTCTGAATCCCGCCCACGAAAAGATTGGGCCCGGCCCTTCAAATTTTTTTTTCAAAGCCCAAAGCCATGTCTGCAAAACGCACTGACAGGGGAAGTGCTCCAAGTGCGACGTTCAGATTTTCTTTAACTTTTGCACACACGCCGGGTATGGACCAAATATCATTTCCTCAAAGTTTTAGCTCGCGCTTTCCGGGCGCCGCCGAGATATCGAACGATTTTTGCCGCCGAGAAAGCACGCTAAACTGGAGAGCGGTCAGAGAAAAAAACGCTTTTTGGCCATAACTTTGGCAGTTTCGCGCGGAACAATTTGATTTTTTGTAGAAACATTATCCTTTACGGTAGAAATAGGCGCGAAACTTTTCGTGCCGAAATTCGGCAAAAAGTCCTAAATTTTGGCCGACTTAAAAAATCTCGGTTGTTTCGGCAAAGCGCGAGCTAGGATTCTTAAATATGTCTTAGAAAAAATTATTTTCAATTTGTGCCAAGTTTCATCAAAATCTGAGCGTCGCACTTGGAGTACCTCCTCTGTGAGCAAAGAAAATTTTTAGCGATTTTCGCAGCGACGTGCCAAACCCACACTGTGCAAATTCTCAGGTCTTTTTGAGCCGAGTATCAGTTTTTGATCCAAGCCCATGAAAGACCTTCTTTGAAAAGAAGTTTTCTTTTCCCGAAAGTTCAAAGAAATTGGACGTCAAAATAAACGGACTTGTTCGTGGATGAAAATTTCGGACTTCCTGTGATAAACAATGCCACCCAAATTCCGGCAAAAAGAACAGCAAAAAAAGCTGAGAAATGTTGACAAGCAATTTCTGATTGGTCTAGACGACTTTAATCGGAGGTTTTAATGTAGAATAGCTTGTATATAAGGAAGTTCTTAGCTTGTTTTTAGACAGTAATCGCGGCCAAGCTGTTCCAAAGTAATTTTTTGGCTTTTAAAATCCACGTTACTGAACCATGGCCGGTTTATGGTTGAATTTTTTTTGTCTCTAAAAAACTGAAAGAGTTCTTTTCGGGGCTAAGGTAGTACAGCCCCCCAGTCCAATTTAGCCCCCCATGGCCCAGTACAACCCCCCTCGTCCATTCTGAACCCCAAAATTTATTTCAAAGGATTAATCCAAGTTGTATGGTCCAGCACAAGCCCCCTACGTTTTAGATCAAACCCCCAACGTAGTAGATCAAACCCCCACTTACATTTTTTGTATTATTCTTATTTGTTCATTATGTGGGGTGTGAAACGGGCAAAACAGTGGGGGTTTGAACTACCTTTCATGGGGGGCTCAACTACCGAAGCCCCTTCTTTTCTTTCCTAATTCGTCAAAGTGACCCCAGTTGAGCTGCTGACTACTTGGTCAAAGTGACCAATTGTTGTCTGCAATCGGACGTTCGGCCAGCCTGATTGATCGACTGGGCATTCTGACAATAGAAACGGCGATTTTTGTGAGAGGTTAACTTTATTTTCAAGCGGACAATTTTAGTCTGTTTCTACAGTGAGAGACCTGATCCAATGGCAAAAAACGTCTCATTTTGCATCCCGGAAGAGACCAAGATGACTCCAAACCCAGTCTGTCGTGAAAATAATGAGCGGAATTAGTTTTGTCGCTAGTTTCATCAAAATCCGAGCATTGCAATAGGGGTACTTCCCTTGTGCCAAAAGTTATAGACTGACCTTACTTTATAAGGTAATTTCTCAATAGCACAGCCCTTGGATTTTCTTGAAATTTTGGATATTTCATCTAGGGCAATACACTTTGTGCCCTCTTATTTGCTGAACTTTACCCTCTAATCGTCCACCTTTCCCCTCTAATTTGTGAATGGCGCCCTCTAATATAGATGCCCTCTAATGGAAACTGAACTGTGCCCTCCGAAAAATTGAATCGACGCCCTCTGATTTTATTTTCCCAAAATGGTATTGTTTCCTTACATAGTAGTGTAAGAATGCAGAGTAGTAGTGTTAAGTAGTAATTTTTGAAAATTTTGGGTGAGGTATCGATTCATAGGTAATTTGGGGTGCTGAATTCGAAAATGACATTCATTTTTTATGATTGTAACTTTTTTCTTAAATAGTAGTGTTAAGTAGTAATTTTTGAAAATTTTGGTTGAGCTATCGATTCATAGGTAATTGGGGGTGCTGAATTCGAAAATGACATTCATTTTTTATGATTGTAACTTTTTTCTTAAATAGTAGTGTTAAGTAGTAATTTTTGAAAATTTTGGTTGAGCTATCGGTTTATAGGTAATTCGGGGTGCTGAATTCGAAAATGACATTCATTTTTTATGATTGTAACTTTTTTCTTAAATAGTAGTGTTAAGTAGTAATTTTTGAAAATTTTGGTTGAGCTATCGATTCATAGGTAATTGGGGGTGCTGAATTCGAAAATGACATTCATTTTTTATGATTGTAACTTTTTTCTTAAATAGTAGTGTTAAGTAGTAATTTTTGAAAATTTTGGGTGAGGTATCGATTCATAGGTAATTTGGGGTGCTGAATCCGAAAATGACATTCATTTTTTATGATTGTAACTTTTTTCTTAAATAGTAGTGTTAAGTAGTAATTTTTGAAAATTTTGGTTGAGCTATCGATTCATAGGTAATTTGAGGTGCCGAATTCGAAAATGACATTCATTTTTCACGATTGTTACTTTTTTCTTAAATAGTAGTGTTAGGTAGTAATTTTTGACGCTGCTGTCAAATTGTTTAGCTTGGGAGAGCCTGCCTCTAGCCCATCATTGGGCGCGCCAAAAATGGGCGCCAGCACAAGTTCGGCAGAAATTATGCTGCTGT